GATTTGCAAGAAAATAGAATATAAAATGTATTCCAACCAATTCCTCATCTCTCTTTACATCATAATAGTAATCATTTGTTATAAATTCATGGGTTAATAAATTTCTTCAAAGTTGAGGAACTGGAAAGAAGTGTATGAATGTGTTGAAATGCAACACCTAACAAAAATTTGAGTGAAAAGGCTTTTTCATGTAAGGGTTTGGAAGTGCAAGTTTGCAAATATAGGATAAACTATAAGCACACAGTAGGTGATATAATCACATATGGATTACAAAAGTTGCAGTAAACATGGAAAAACCTTCAGCTAATCTGAAAAAATAGATTTTACTCAGGCATCAAGCATTTTTAAAAATTTTGGCTCAGTTTTACATAATTTTATAATATTTAATAAACTGAAAAGATTTCAATGGCAAGCTGTCACTTCATATTTTACAGTGTTTTGTTTTGAATACTTGGATGCTATTTGCTGCCAAAAATTTGACGGAGAGATCTTGAGGCTGATTGGGTATATTTAACGGACTGTTTGGTACTCGTACCCTATTGGTGCAGAATAATGGTTTGTTAAATTGTGAAATCCACCCTAAATCTAACAAAATTAATTCTTCTTTTTGGTCTTCCTGCGAATCGATCAATGTTAATACTTACCATCCCCTTTGAATCCAGTGCTACAACTTTTTTGTGGTTTTGTCCGTCACAGTAGAGGATTTAAGTAAAGGCAAAATGGTCATTGCCCCCCAAGGAAGGGTGGTCACAGGGCCCCCCAGCAAAAATCAGCTCTAGTCTCTATATTGTTCAGCGCGTCTGAATGTTAACAAGAAATCAGAGTGTTGTTATATTCTTTTAATGACCATCTGCGTAATGTTTATGAATAAGAAAATTTCCATTTCATTTCTTAAGAAATTTTTTGAAAAACGACCGAATGATCCATTTATTTCTCAAGGAGTAGAGGGGTTATTTTTTCATTTTGTGCTTACAGTGATATATTATTACCTATAATGTTCAGTAAATAAATATCTTCGTGGTATGAATCAGCATCTTCCAGTCTAATAAAGACTCTAATGCGTCTATTACAGTCTTTCCACGTCTTCAATGCTTATAACCATAAACTTTCTGCTAGTTCATGATTGCAAACAATTTTGTAGACAGTTTTCCAAAGAGCTGCAGATTATTCAGATTGCTTTTGACTTTGCCTATAGATTCAGCTAATGCTGTACGTGTCATGAGCTCTTTGAAAATTATTAATTATATATAATTGAATAATTGTAAGCCCCTGATAATATGTGACATCCTTATTGCCAGCAAAATCTGTAGTTCGGACTTTATCTGAACAATTTAGATGGATTTTACGTTATCGAAAAATTTTAGATCCGCGTGAATATTGAAACAGTTGAATTAGCTGTTTTATTGGCACGTTGAACCAACATCAGATTAACTTTTTGCATCAAATTACTATTAAAAAACCTTTTGCACTATACATGAGCTTGTCTCGGTTACTTGTGCAGGGCTGTTTATTTTTTTATTCTCAGTTGCTGTCATTAATTTGCAAATAACAATAAATGCACTATTATGCGACGGAAAACCCTTACTGGGTTAGGCAAATAGATCTCCAAAATAAATGTAGCTTGCATGTTCGGGGACGAGTTACTGGCAGACAAGTTATCGGGCCTTTCTTTTTCGACAACAGATTAACTGGTACCGGATACTTGAATTTTTTGATCGAGCATTTGCCTTTGCTTTTGATGATGTCGACCTAAAAACTCGGATGCATATGTACTTCCGACATGACGTCGCACCTGCGCATTATCATAATCGTGAGCGTAACTATTTGGACACCTAAAGTAACAATCGTTGGATCGGTCGTGATGGGCCTATATCTTGGCCTCCTAGATCACCAGATTTGACACCGATGGACTTCTTTCTATGGGGCTACGTAAGGAAAGGATTAAGGATGCTTTTCTGAACATAAGGGAACACATGCTGAGGGATGTGCAACGGTCATTTATCCAAAGACTACGGCTGTGTATTCAACTTGGTGGAGATATTTTCGAGCAGTTTTTGTATATTAGATCTTGAGTAGTGATAGTTGTTTGTTTATGTTGTTCTTATAGTTGTCTTTCTCTATTACACTTGAAGCTGCTTTATACTGTTCTGATTGTTATTAGTTTTAACGTCAACTCTATACTCTTGGTGGCAATGTGGAACTAGCCCACTGTTTATCTTTTGTTTCCATGGATGATGTGATTTTATTTCCTTAATTTTGGTGTGTTGTTCTATTAAAAGCTTAATAACTCAAAATGTAGTGATTTTATCTGAACCAAACCTTGTACAAAAAAAAAAGATAATAAAAAACTGAATCCAAACATGCACAAATGTACAGGTTGATGCGTTTGAAATTTTCGAGAGCAAAAATGAAAATTCGAAAATGTAACAAATAAGATAAAAGCTGACGTGTGTAACTTTTCTTTGATACAAAATTCAGCACTCCAAATTTCAAAATGGCGGATTGAGGGGTTGCCAAGGTGGACGGTTTTTCTGGACAAAACACCTTACATCTCAGTAGCTAATTACCAAAACCCCATAGTATGTTATATACTAAGTGACATATAAATCCGAACACCCAGTTTAAATGGTTTTATTTTAATAAAATTTTGTATACGTACTTAATGAAGCATAATAGGTAAATGATAAGAATTTCAAAATGATTGCACTGCTTTAAAGCCCTCTGACCTTTAATAATGTGTGGATGCACCCTGATGTGCTACGCATTCTCCAACGTGCCTAGGCATGCTTCTGATCATGTGGTTAATGTCCTCCTGTGGTATCTCATTCCAGGCAACCACCAACTCCTCTCGACGTGCTTCTAGAATCTGAGGAGGACGTTGCAAATTGAGCAATCTCCTACCCACCATATCCCACACGTGCTCAATTGGGGATAAGTCGGGAGATCTTGGTGGCCATGGTAACAATGTGACATCATTATGTTGAAAGAAGTCTATTGTGACTCTTGCAACATGTGGTCGGGCATTATCTTGTTGAAAGTTGGATCTGCCAGGGTGTCAAGATAGGGTAAAAGATGGGGTTCTAGAACTTCGTGGATATAACGCTGCGCGTTCATGTTACCTCTGATGAACCATAAGCTATAGCACCCCAAAACCATAACTCCAACAGTGTGATGAACATGTCTTTCAACAAAAAGCTGTGCATTCCTCCTTTCACCACGTCGCCTTCTAACCCTGGCACGATCATCATGCATGCCTAAACAAAATCGAGACTCGTCACTAAAGACAATACTGTTCTATTCCTGATCCCAGAGTGACCGTTGTCTGCACCACTCAAGGCGATTACGTCGGTGTTCTCGAGTTAAAGGGAGGACCCAGTGTGGCCGGTATGAAAACAAGCCAAAACTTCTCATTCGTCGGTAAACACTTCGCATGCCAGTAGGTCTTCCGTGTTCTGCAAACCATTCATTTGCAATGGACCTGGTAGTGGAGAAACGGTCCCTTAAGGCCAATAATCTTAGGCGGCGATATTCACGGTCTGTTGTTCTACGGCTGCGTCCAGTGCCCCTTGCTCTTTGCGTACGGCCTTCTCGAAGCCATGCCTGACAACACCTAACCACAGTGTCTACACTTCTTTGCACTCTAACTGCAATTGCCCGAAAAGAAAGTCCAGCTTCCCGAAGTCCCACTATACGGCCCCTATCAAACTCACTAAGTTGACGAAATCGTACAGGTCTCCGTACTCTAGGCATCGTAACCGATCGTAAAGGATGTCAAGAACCAAAATCCGCCAACGTTGATTCTTTACTGCTGCTGAAATATTCATTTTTAGAGCGTTAGTGAATTAAAAAAAAGCAGTATCAAAACCGGAATGTCCAACTGATAAGGCTGAAAATTTTTTCACTTGTTATTTACAGTAAGATAAATACATTCACCAACTTTTATTAAAATAAAACCATTTAAACTGGGTGTTCCGATTTATATGTCACTTAGTATATCAATCTTCTTCTTTTGAATTGGTTCATCCAAAAATGCAAAATTGGGACGCCCTGTATAATTGCCGATATTTTAGAAATGTGCCCTCGAATGTCGTGTATAACATGCCATTCACAGATTTTCCCAAAATGTATTTGTTTATGAGTAATATTCCGTCCACACATGAATGGGCCACCCTGTATAGTTGAAAAATTAATGGTTATAAAATTCTATGTTTGGTCCGCACCAAGTCTTCTGCACAAATTTCTGCAAAGAACATATTTCCCCAAGTTTTAGAGAAGCGAATCTGTAGATAGCCAGCCTTCAATTATATTCTGAATCCAAAATTTTGGACAGTCGTCAAATATACCTTTGCGCTCTTCCAATTCCAACATGGACAAGGATAGGAATCTCTATCACTCGCATCAGTATAATACAAGACTGACATTCAACGACGTTGTAATTACCCAGGCTCACAAAACCATTGGCCAAAGGTCATTTAACTATCTAACACCTAGAGCGTATGCATTTATTCCAGAAAGCTTAAAAGTACTGAAATCAAAAAGAAATTAAAACAGGGGATTCTATCAATGCCTCAACTTTTTGCAGCACAGCTTTTTTAGCGTGTTAGTTTAATCAGTTCCCTCACTCGTAGACATCTGTATTAATTTTATTGTTTTTTTTTATTATGTACTTTTAGTTCACCTGCTTCTTTGGAAATATTTCATTCATATTTATGATCTTCATCATAAAGTTTTTGCTTTAAATTGTATTGAATATTTTGCTCATGCATAATAAATCTCAATAGTGTTCAGGTTTAACTTCAAAGCCGAGCACAAGCCTTTGACTTTGGCGGATATTTTATGTTTATTTGTAGCCTGATGGCATGTATTGTCATATTACTTTATATTCATTTACAAATAAACATTACTACTACTACTAAATTACTACGTGTAGTTTCTGACTATGATTTCTGTTCCGGAAGATGTTATCGAAATGTATATTATTTATGGCATATCAAAAATCCCTTTTAATGGCTACATTTCCTCAAGGGCAATTCTCCTTTATTCCAGATTACCCTCGATGGTGGAATCCAAACGCGTCAGTTCCCCAATAACAAGACGAGACACGGAGAGCATTAAAGTGAAGATCCGGAGGGCCAACATGTTGGTAGATCGCGTGAAAGAGGCTTTGGATGGAATACGATTCAAAGACAAAGGATCCACGAGCAGCTGCTCTTGCACGGAACCAGAGCCCAGAACTAAGCCGAACGCTAGCAGTGATTCGGATAAAGAAAACGACTGCTGCTTTATTATTCAACAGTCCAAGGCACAGCTTGATGCTCAGCTGAAAGCTCTGGAATTAGGTAAGTCCATTATAAAATGTAGTGATACTAAAATCGATTGGGAGCTTTGTATCAATAATACTTTTTTATGCATCTAAGGCGGTCAGTTATGGTTCGCTGTGTGAAAAGCAAAATAACAGCATGCCCGAGGTACAGGGTGGTGCATCTGGGCGGGGGTGACACCAACCCTAACATCTTAAATGGAAAGGGGGTCGAGTGATACCTTATTTTAAAGGTATTTCAATTCCATTTATAATGATGCCAAATACATGAGCTTCAGTTCAGTAGTTTTGTAGATTTATATATTTAAAGCTTAAAGTAGACTTTAATAGGTACATCAGATTAGTTTGTACTACTTTCAGAATGAAATTTGACTAAAAGAATTTACTTAATAAGTAAATGCTTTTCTTCACTACGTCCATTGTTTTGTTTATCATTTTGTTGTTGAAAATAGCTATTGGAGCGTTTTTTTTTTGTGGCAAAAAAGTTATTTCTTGAAGGAAGATAAGGAAATATCTCGTACTTATTTTAAATAGGAGTTTAGTACATAGTTTGCGATTGATTTGACCAAACTTTGTTGCTGAAATAATTTGTAACGCTTTATTACATAAACGAACCATTGTATATTCCACAGCAGAAAGAGTTGAAATTATCGAAATATTTTTCGGAAATAATCAGTGCGCTAATAGAACAGCAGAAATATTTAATGAGCGACATGAGAACAGTAACGTGCATCGAAAATATGTTCTAGAACTTGTAGCTTAATTTCGGGAAACTGGGTCAGTCGCCAATAAAAAACGCTGCATTGAAAATCCCATAAGGAACGAAGCAATAGAAGTGGGGGTTTTAGGGCAAGTTTAAGTAGATCCTACGTTAAGTACCCGCAAATTGGAGACTGTGTGTGGTGTTAGTCGACGTACTGTCCAACGGATTCTAAAGGCCCATATTTTTCACCCGTATAAAATGCACTTGGTACAAGAACTTAATGAAGACGATTTTGATCGGCGATTACAATTTTGTGAAGATATGAGTGAACGAATTATAAACGACGAAAATTTTCTATTCAACACTTGCTTTTCCGACGAATGTTCCTAAATGGCGTAGTAAATCCTCATAACTGCCGATATTGGTCCGATTCTAATCCCCGGATTTATCATGAGGTTCATACACAGCAGCCACAAAAATTAAATGTTTGGGCTGGTATTTTTGGCGATCATTTAGTTGGTCCTTTTTTCTTACCTGAAAATTTGACCGGTGAAATGAATTTGGAATTACTGGAAGACACCATAGATCCAGCATTAACAGCCATAATTGAAAATCAGAATGATCGGCGGTACATTGCGAATAGGTTGATGTTCCAACAGGATGGTGCCCCACCAGATTACGCATTACGTGTTCGACAATATTTAGATCAGACGTTTCCAGATCGATGGATTGGTAGAAGAGGTGCCATTGGATGGCCCCCAGATCGTCAGATTTATCACCTTTGGATTTTCTTTATGTGGGTCATTTAAAAAGAAATCTATGCTACCCAGCCAACATCATTAGAAGATCTGCGACAAAGAATTGTGAATGAGTGCCTTCAAATTACTCCTCAAGTATTGCAAAATGTGCGGCAACGTTTTGAGCAAAATCTTTATTATTGCATGGAGAGTCATGCTGGCCATTTTCAGCATTTACTTGCCTAACGGGTCAGTTCGTTCTTCACTTTTAAATTACTTTGCTGCCAAATGTATTGATCTCTACTAATGATGATGTACTAGTTTTATTTAAGCTTTGAATCAATAAATCTTCATAAAGTGAAAGACCTTTAAAATAAGGTATCACTCGGCCCCCCTTTCCATTTAAGATTTTGGGGGTGGTGTCACCCCCGCTTAGGGGGCTGCAGGTGTTAACGTGATTTTTTGCCAAACTTGTGTCCCCCTCGAAAACAAAATCGACGGGTCTAAGCGTATTTACAAAAAAAAACTGAGCTGCCCGTAAATGCGTTTGTTTCGTTTTCGATGCGCCACCCTGTATAATAGGAACTTCTAAGATCGGCTAAAACGAAAGATCTAAGGTCGATTTTAAGTAAAATTTAAACAAAAAAAATTGATCGTACTATTATATACTCAGTAACAAAGAATATCCATTAAACACATTACATTAGACATGAGCAAGAGAAAGTAAGCATTTTGTCGTGGAAATATTTGCAGGTTTTACCTAATAATGTGTTGAGTCACCCCAATGACGTATGCGTTCATCCAGCCATTCTGAGAAGCTGTTAACGTTTTCCCACACATGCTCGAGATCTAGAAGGCCAAGGAAGGCTAACTTGTGTGTCATTGAGGATCTAGCAGTATGGGGGCTGGCAATATCTTGCGAGAGAATAGGATTCTCAAGTTTCTGGAGGAATCGCAAAAAATGTGGCTCCTATTTTCTGGATATACAGCCGCGCAGTCATACCCTCTCTAAAAGCAAGTGGTAGTGATGTTTATCCCTTAAGTACCATGGCGGGGTCAAATTTGATCTCCACGTTTTGTATGCCAAGTTTCGCTATCAAAATATTTATGGCGCGCTGCGCGCGTTCAGCTAATCTTCGACCGGTACGTGATTTATCGAGTTACTCACATGTAGGGTCAAATTTGACCCGTTTATGGTATAAGTGTTTCTAGTGCGAGTAGCGAGTAATTTGAAATGGCGGGGTGTAGTGGCAATAAACACGCTCTGACACAGAAAGAACTTGGAGCGGAGGCGCAAAAAATGATTTCTAACCACTTTAGGTCAAGAACTTATTAAGGACCATTTGTCTCGTAGAGCTCAGCATGTTTACCGAGAGAACTTCGTAGTACCATTTTTAAAGTTTCCACTAAGACGTTATGCATAAGTTGTGTTGAAAAGTAAGGTCAAAAACAGCTTGTCATTTTTTAGATACGAAATCTAAATAATTTTTTTTTACATTAGGTAGCAGCTATGATAACTAAAATTCACCACTGAATACAAGAAAACTGAAAATTTTTATAATATTTCTTATGATTTTCGAAAGTCCACACCTTTCTTAATTTCACTGGATACCGAAGTTTTTTTTTAATAAAGTTATAACTAACTATATTCGTTTTATTTTATAAAATTGTAAAACTAGTTGAAAACAAAATAACTTAACATAAAAACAAGGTACAAAATTAGATTTTTTATGTGAAAAAAAACAATGGGGTCAAATTTGACCCTGCCATGGTATAAATGTTACTGTTTTTGGCCATGGTAGTTAAGGGTTAACTGAAACCTTACTACATCCTCGCTCAGCAGTAAAAACAATGATATACCATTTTATTCACGAGTCAGAAGCTGTCTCGGAGAAAGACATGCTCTAAGGCCGCCAGTTGAATGTCATTTGCACTATAGTGTAGGAGTCATGGTTTGAGGTATCACCACAGAAGGTGCACATTACATCCAGTTTTCATGTTACCCTATTTTTCAATAAGACAGTGGCCGCCCCCATATTGCTAGAGCTAAAGTCGGCTACCTCAATAATGGTCTAATCAAGCTCCTTCTTTGGCCTCCTGCATTTTTAACTCATTCGCTAACTAAAGATGCGTGGGATATGAAGGAAGCTCTCCGCAATCCAGTACTGCTAGCTTGGGATTAATGAGTTACTGTTTTATTTGTCACTGAGTATTGTAACGCTCTCGTATAACTGGTACTCTGGGTACTAGCGAGTACTAGCGAAAGTCCCTCCGACATCAGCCAGGAATTCGACAGGTGTCCAGAAACAGCGACGCTTAGGCAACCAATTATGCCACCGTGTATCGAAAGCGATCGTGTTCACGTTCGGCGTCATCAAGATGAATCTACTGCCATGTAGACCACTTTCCTGAAGGTTTATGACTCGGCCTGGAAAACGCTGGAGAATTTCTCGACTCGTCCATAGGGGAATAAATATAGGCAGAGATAGGGAAGGAGAAGTCATCACGCAGCGCCCGATAAATGACAAGCTATAGTCCAGTCGACATGGTTATAAATTTAATAATAATAATAATAATAATAATAATAATAATAATAATAATAATAATATCGTCTTTACTTACACAGATACAGAGTGCGATTCATTATGGCGAAGTTTAGCTAAAGCTACTCTTACACTTAACCATATGAATACGAAAAAAAAGAAGATGGTATAGGAGAGACAAAAAAAAAGTTTGGCTATTACAATGTCGTAATAGTATTGAACGCAGATAAATCAAACAAGCAACTAATTTAAATGCCTACAAGCATGTGTGCCCATAAATTAACTTATAAATGTATTATTAACAAAAATTAGACAAAGAAGAAACATTATAATGTAGAGCGCTGTAAATATAGCCTAACATGCTTACGGAAACAAGACAGATTTATGGTTTTGTAATCATCAGGAATATTATTGTAGCGTCTAGCAGCACTATAGGAAAATGAGCGTTGGAAAAGCGAGGCGTGTAAACAATCCAGATCAGTTTTGTTACGTGTGTGGTGATGTGACTTTTGCGTCTCAGAGACGGTCTATTACTCCACTAATAACAAAGGCATATCAGCTTTTTTTCGGTTGTAAACTCTAGGTGATCAAGACAAACAGTGGGCACCCCACATCTGCTGTAATACATGTGCTTCAAGTCTGAGGAGCTGGTTAAATGGCAAAAACGGTCTATGCGCTTTGCTGTCCCAATGGTTTGGAGAGAGCCTACATCATATTAATGATTGTTACTTTTGCATGGTACCTTGTGTTGGACAAGCCACAGGTATGTCCAAGAAAAAAAAAATGGTTATTAACTACCCAAACATACCATCTGCGATGAGACCTGTGCCTCACAGTGACGAAAATCCTATTCCAAAACCCCCAGAATCCTACACTTGCGAATCAGAAAACGAATCAGATCATGGCGATCGAGTGATTCGTCAGGAAGAAGATATGCCATCAACGTCAAGAAATCCTGATTTTATACCGAGCACGTCATGCCACCAACCGCACAAAATAACACAGTCAGAATTAAATGATCTTGTAAGAGATTTAGAACTTCCAAAATGTAAGGCAGAGTTACTTGGATCAATTCTTCAGCAGTGGAACTGGTTAGAAGACGATGTTTCGGTATGTGTTTTTCGTAAACGCCACAAAGACTTAGAACCATTTTTCAATACGGAGAATAACTTGGTTTTCTGTAGTAACATTAACGGCTTACTGGCGGCTTTAAATATAAACTATAACCCAGAAGAATGGAGATTGTTTATAGACAGTTCAACATTGAGTTTAAAGGCAGTGTTATTGCATATTGGAAATATTTTACCATCTCTTCCTGTAGGGTATGCAGTTCACATGAAAGAATCATATGACAATATGAAGTACCTATTGACATGCATAAAATACGATGAGCACCAATGGCAAATTTGTGGCGATTTGAAAGTTGTTGCACTTTTACTTGGGCTGCAGCTAGGCTACACAAAGTTTTGCTGTTTTTTGTGTGAATGGGACAGTCGGGCAAAGGCACTTCATTACACCAGACAAAACTGGCCTGTTCGTCAATTCCTAGAGCCAGGTCAAAAAAATGTACATTAGTAGATTCGAAAAAAATTTTATTACTACCACTGCATATCAAGTTGGGCCTAATGAAAAACTTTGTCAAGGCATTAGATAGAGATGGGTCAGCTTTTCAATACCTGCGTCAGAAATTTCCAAGACTAAGTGAAGCAAAGGTTAAAGAAGGTATCTTTGTTGGGCCACAGATTCGGAATATTTTGAAAGATACACAGTTTGAAAACACTTTAACAGGTATTGAAAAAACTGCTTGGAATGATTTCCGTCTGGTGGTCACTAATTTCTTGGGAAATAGAAAAGCTGACAACTATAAAACCCTTGTCAAAAATATGCCGTCATCGTATCAAAAGATGGGCTGTAATATGTCTCTTTCCCACACTCACACCTGGACTTTTTTCCTGACAATTGCGGAGCCGTAAGTGATGAGCACGGCGAACGTTTTCATTAGGATATTTCAACAATGGAAAAAAGGTACCAGGGAAAGTGGAATCCTTCCAGGCTTGCAGACTACTGTTGGACTCTTGGTAGAGATGCTCCAGAAACGATCCATAAAAGAACAGCAAAAAGACAGCGCATATAGTGATTCTTATAAGTATATGAATCTTGTTACTTTTTTTAATATATCCTTAAAAATAAAAAGTTTATTTTCTAAACCGCAACTAATTTTTTTATTTCATTGTCATTTTTGGATTCAGCGCCCCAAAATTAACAAAGAAGTGCACTTTTCCCACAAGATACAATTAAAAAACTAAAATTTGTTGTCCAGTGATATTTTTTAATGTTATGTTGTGATGATAACATTGCAATAACGATATATTATTATTAAATACTTCATCTCAATGATTAATGGATATTCTAAGCGTTATAAAATTTAAAGTAAAATAAAATCATGTCGTATTGATACATTTTACACAACTGTTAATGGCATAAATTCTCCTTCTTCTGCAGTAGTTCCTGAAAATCGAAATTTAAGCCAATTTCTTAATATATCTATATAACGAGTAAACATATTGATCTGCGGCTTTCATTTTTATGCACTTTCTGTATCAACACAAAAAATTTGTGTTCAAGATTTTCGAAAAAATCTTCAAAAAACGCTAACACATCCACAAAGCGCCATCTAGCGGCCACAAGTTTAACCAATCTGACAGGATTGAGCGCAAATGAAAGCAAAATCATTGAAATCGGTACGCCAAACAGAAGTTATGTCACTTTCTCTGAAATGACATTCAACCCTAATCTAATCAAAACATGAAAAAATTACATGAACAAAAAAGTTCGGAAATTAAGCAGTCAATGCTAGTTACGGATATTTGCAGAATGGTGCCGTTCGAATTTTTTAAATTGAAATGACGCCACCTAGTGGCCATTTTAGGAAGGTGATACTAATTTCCAGCAATTTCCCATGACCTCTTCTATGATATAATTTCTTAACCCACATCTAGGATCAACGATTGCCGAGATACAGCCCGCTCCCTTTATTATTACGAGTAATGCGTAATTATGAATTAGTCTCGTCGTAATCTGTTTCTTTACCTCCTAGTTCAAATTGCTGGGTGGCAGCTTTTCTCTAAACCTCGTAACAAAATCTATTAGATCATAAAAATAAAGCATTAGAACTGTTTCTGAACTATTGGCGTCTCTCGCGTTGCCTCGCGCACTACACTGTTACACGGTAATAAATGGAGTATTTTGACTAGAAAGGAGGGTGGGAGAGTATTCGTCTTACACAATGGCGCATCAAAAAAAGTATAGTAGGAGGGTTCATTTGTCTCCACAGAAGTTAAATTAAGAGTATCTTCCGCATAGGAACATACAGGAAAGCTAGAATCTAATCTTTGAGGTTCTTTTGTGTGTTTCGTATTCAGAAGTGGGATGGATCTAGGAGAAAACATGGGTTAAATCGAGCTCTGAACTTCCCACGTAATTCTGTCAATTAGATTATCTTTGGTTTATGATCAAACATGTGTTCCGAGGGAGGCCAGTTGTGAGGGAGCGAGAAGATATGCACAAGTGGTGCTGGCTGCCTGCCGACCCCTTTGGTCAGTCTGAGCAGTCATCATCAGGCGGTCGCATGGACCACTCGAGGCATTCAAAAATATCTCATTTTCGAAATTATGGCGATCACAGAACCTTCTCTGTCCTTTCATTATGGTCTCCCTTTGACCTATCTACACAATTTCAGGCATTGCTCCCAAGCCTATCCCAACAAAAATAACAGTCGACTTAGATCCAAGTCGCCCGAAAACTAGAAGATGTTCGGAAGACGAGCACGATGCCCAGGAGCGTTACAGGATGACACCCACAACGACAAGGACCCCTCCTCCAAGTATGACCGATCCGGGCAGTACTAGCAGCGATGAGGGAGACGACAGGTTGCGATTGGTCAAGGCGAAGCTAACCGCCATCAGTGAGCAGGCTACTGAGGTTACAGAGAGTGAGAGTGAAAAAATAAGTAAGTTCGTGGAAAAGGGTTGGTTAAAAATACTATTCTGTGCAATGGAAAGGATAATGACCCAAGGTCAGGCTCATTGGGTTCTTTGTAAGTCCTTCCCAAGAGTTACTCAGACTCAACGAATTCGGACTAGGTAGGAGGAGCAAGAATACGATTTTTTAAATAAAATCACGTAGTCAGTAATCAGGATGCAAGTTCCTAGGCTAGTGGCTCCAGTAATTGAACAGTTAGGTGGATTTTCAACTTCAAAATTTCATTTAGAGGTCCTGAAACCAGATAACGGGTTACTTAATATTTCCACGGTTGCTTTGGGCACTAAAGAACCCCTCATATTTTAGAAAATAGTAATTCGCGTCTTTATTAGTGAGCTAAAGCCATTTATCTGGAAAAAGGGTACATTATCCAGTAATTGAACGGCTTGAAGAGAATAATTAAACACCTTGTCGCCTTCTTCGAATTATTTGATATTCTCAGACTTTTCAATCTTCTACGTTGCTTTTCTACTGGAAGATGTAATAAAAATTAAAAACGTTCTATTTCTACTAATAAATCAATCATCCATCACAAGTAAACTCCCCTCTGCCCTAGTACGCGGTACAAGACTGTGCAACCAATTGTTGTATATTCCACAGATGATTTAGTCGTTGGATGGGGGATTTTAGTACACTTCCTAGTGGTCTGAACAAGAGATATCTTCTTCAAAAATTTCTTGTTATCTTATTACGAATCGCTTCGTTATATCTGTTCCTGGACTCTTCTGTATGCCTTGATCTTCTGCTGACGAGCAGTGTTGCACGATTTGTTGAACCACCTGTTGGATCCTGGTTTAGGCACTTTCACTGTATAATAATAATAACAATAATCATAATAATGTTTATTGGAGTATTAATACATAATAGAATCAAAATACGAGCACATAATATAACGCTAAAAACAAAAAGATAATACTTCAAAGGGCTGGGGATTGACATAGCCATTTTTCACCCCCGCCTGAATAGCTCATGTAAATTCATTAGTGCATTACTATATATTACTAGGGCATATAATATATGGTACATCACATAAAGGACATGTAGCTGACAATAATAGAGCTAACAAAACTTTAAAATTTAATAATATTAATAATGAGATCTATTCAACCACCTGTAGATTCATTAAATTGTAACTGTACTAGCATTCTTTTGAATTCTCTTTTGAAGCTGGATAATTTCGGTTATTGATAAAAATGCAGCCGACACATCCACGTCAGTGAAACAAACATCTCTCAAAGGAAAGGAGGAGAAAAGGTCTCTAAGCCCCTCCCAGTTGGCACGTCCGTAATGCCAAATTTTGCGTCCTGGGCGAGTTTCTACTACCACAGCCTAACCTCCACCATATAGTGGTCTGAGTTACGATGGGGAGACAGGACAGCAGTGCTGTAAGGGACAGGTTTCAACTCCTCCTTTCGTATATGATCAATCCTACAATCAGCTTTGCTGATGACAGTACTTTACACGCAGACATTCAGTGAGCCCAGCCCATCTTTGCTGACAAGTTCAAGAGATCTGGAAGATATCTTCGCTTGGGAACGAAGAAATCTGGTACTGTTCAATGTGTCCGGCTATCAATTGACCTCCTCTAACTTTTTTGCGACCTTCTAGAAGAACAACTTGTATGTATATAAAAGTTATAAAATCTGGTATAAAGTTTTTCATGAAACATTTTTTTGCATGTCTCAGAAAGGTGCTATCGAATAAAGTTAGTTGTATTTTTTAAATGAAACACCCTATATATTTTCTGCGATAACGATAGTCCCCTTTTTCTTATTGCAAACATATATGGTTTGTTGAACTCATTTTCATTATTTTGGTCAAAAACTTAGTGATTGCATAGGCGGCAAACTGATTCGAACTCGGATACGCATGAATAAATGACACATGAACTTAAAATTTTTGGCCAAGCTAATGAAAATGAGTATGATAACCTATATACTGGGTGACGGGGAAATAGATGCGGAGCCGGTGGAGGGAGATAGTACAAGCCAATCTGAGCCGATTTTACTATAGGAACTACTGTCCGAAAATTAGCCGTTTTCGAATTATTCTAATTTTTAAGATTTTATAAAATTAACGTCCCTTATTCGTTAACCAAGTCATAAAACTTGAAAATTGGGTGTTTCATTTGATTTTTATAAAAATATTCTAAAATACGAAGATTTATACTCAAATGTACATTATTGACGTTATCTCATGCAGTAAGCTTCAAAATAGTTCAATTTTTGTTAAAACAAAGTCTTCGTTCATCTCAAAAGCTTCAGTTTACTAGAAAAAGTCGCATACAAATTTTTCGTACAAAATAATTAGAAAACATCTACGTTTCATTGCCTTTCAAATGAGGTATAAAAATCACAAATCGATTGAGAATTGGCAAAAATATGACAATTATAAGAGGAGGAAGGAAAAAGCAATAAAAATACTACACTTACAAAATCATACCTTAATACAGGATAATTTGTTTGAAACTACATTTTTTTATTTTTATAATACATTTTCAATGTGGCGCCCTCTATTTCTAATACACACACGTGCTCTTATTATGACAGCTAATTTTACTACAGCAGAATTCCTAAGAGAGGCTTGAATTTCTTGTGCTGCATGCATTATCCTGTTTCTGAGGTATTCTATTGTGGGTACAGGATTTTGATCAGAGTATACTAAAGTTTTCATGCGACCCCACACAAAAAAGTCCATAGGTGTGACATCGGGACTGCGTGCTGGCCATGGGATTGGTCCGCCTCTACCGATCCATCGATTCGAAAACTGCTCATTTAACCAATTTCTAACATTTTGTCTGAAATGTGCTGAGCACCCGTCATGCTGAAAAATCAAGGCGGACCAATCCCATGGCCAGCACGCAGTCCCGATCTCACACCTATGGACTTTTTTGTGTGGGTCGATATAACATCTGTCTCGGTATTTGGCTACGCGGTTGCCTCAGTATCATAAAAACATATCACCCACCTATCTTTCAACAGAGACAACTTGTGCAACAACTTGCGAAGCAGCTTGCAACACATTAGCAGTAGAAACGATAACCTCGGCAACCAATACCGAACCACCTCGCACGATGCACAGTATAGAGTTACAATGTAGTCCTTGCGGAATGTCAAAAGGGACACAGTCCTACACACCAGCGCTAGAAAAGTCCCTACAGACGGAAGAAAAAAAGAATGCGGTCTTGACTTGTCACACTGCCGAGAATGCTGCCATACCGCCTAAATGCTGTAACCAGGTAAGTTTTTACTTTTCTGATCTTAGATTTAAACCGTAGAACTCAGTTCCAGTAGACGGATTGCTGCGATTTTTTGTGGAATGCGTTTGAAATATTGTTTATTAAAAAGTTTACCCATTAATTTTGGCCGCTTTCAATTTTCTTTTTCTTTATTTTTTGTTTACTTACCTATACGGTTATTCAAGTCTATAATAAACCATCTGATAAACCTAATCAAACTGAACAAAAATCTTCATATTAGCTAATGTATTATACGGCTTCCTTACTGAGATACAGGGTGTTCAGGGTGTCAAGTCCATTCCTTGATATCACGAAAGCGTGGGATGCTGCCCCTTTAAGCAAACTTCCATTCTATTTCCTCCCAGATAAGCTTTACAGATGGGTGGCTGACTTCCTTTCTGGCCGCAAGATATTCGTTGTAATTGATGGAGTCCTCTTCATCCCACATATCAATGACCTCCTCTCTTGTACGGTCAAACCAATCAACATCTTTGCTGGTGACAGCACTCTACAGGCAGGAAAACAGAGTGACAAGCCGATCCCTGCCGGTGAACTAGAGAACAGAAGATTAGCAACGACTTCCTCTTTGGCGAGAGACTTGGAGCTTACCAATGCTTGGGGACGCAAAAATCCTGTACAGTTTAATGCTTCCAAAAGACAGTACTGTACCTGGACGAACAAGAAGCGTCCTAGCGCTCATCCGGTTTCGATGGATGGCCGAGACTTACCAAAGAGCCGTCCATTTCGGCTGATCGGAGATCACCAAGAACTTGATCTAGTAAGCACACATCTCATCAACAGCGACAGCTGTGTTTAGAGCTAAGAAGTATTTTTCTCCACACGATCTCCTCACTCTGTACAAGGACCAGATAAGGCATAGCCTCGAGAACTGCTCACATGTTTGGGTGCTGCCGCCCCAATTGCATTATCCATGCTCGATGTTGTTTGGAGGAGGGCTGTCCGACTGATCGAACGGTCTCGGCGATCTAGCTCCCTTCTACTGCTACGCCAATGCGCTCTCCTCCATGATGCCGCCGCTCGATGTGCCTACCAGACAGACCCGCCTGACTTCAACCTCCCATCCTAACCCAGAACTGGCCGATCCGGTCCTTCAATTGTCCCTAGGATATCGAAATTGTGGAACAATCTACATGAAGAAACTTTTCTTAGTTCTACTAATATTAGGTCAAAAATTGGATCAGCAAAGTTTTCTCAAGCTCCTCATAGCAGCCGCGGCGCCCTGGCATTTAGGCTTCTAGCTGTGCGATTGCTTCGGTGTAAAAAAAATCCTCCTATGCTGATATTTTTTATTTCTCTCGAATTAATAGAGTCATTTAGATATTTCTAAATCGTCGAAAAGCATAAAATATAGCGACATCCAAAAATAGGTAACACAAAAGTTTCTATAGAAATTTCCTGAAATATTCAATTAGCAAGATGTTGTGGGGTGAGTGGGGTGTAATGGGTAAAAAATTCAGCTTTGTGTGTAAACACCGAAATGTAATTAAGATGAGACAGAGCCAGTATCTGGAGAAATAGTATACCTTGTACTTGAGCTTAACAATAGTCTGTCAGCAAGATCTCACATCAACGATTGCCTACGTGACGCTAAAGGAGCACTTGTGATCTTAAGGATCACCCACACCGACGCGGTAAGGCGATAGCGATAATCGCACGGCAGTTTTCAGTGCGGCGGGGTGGCCCGCGGTTTATCGCTTTAATAGCGTTTCATTTCAGAAACGCTGCTGACGCGGTTCGTATCGCATCGCCACGTTTTTCACGACGTCCACAACGGAGAAATTAATTGAACAGTTAAAAAGTACCCAATATTATACGATTTAAGTCACGGAGGTTACAAAAATTTCAGGAAAAAGGATGAAGTTTAAATTAAAGATTTCTTCAAAACAATCGGGAGTCATTCGAAAGTATACGTAAAAACGTTGTGGATATCTATTAAAGTATGATATTTTCCATATATCCTTCTTTGTTTATTGATACCATGCATCTGTTTCTTTTTGCTTTCCTTAAACACAAGTATTAATTATCATCAAAATACTTAACTTTTTCGCCTTTTATCTTCTATTAAGGCCAATAATAATAATAGTTCTTCATTAGAAGACATATTGTATAAGAAATCAAAAAACGTTTGAGAATATCGCGCATATAAGAAAACTGCCGTACCGCGGCGGTGTGAACGTGCAGCTATCGCGCTAAATGCGATTTTTAACGCTGACGCTACCGCTGTCGTATCGCATCGGTGTGGAAGAACCTTTATACCCCATAATTCAATGGAGATCAAGTGTCGACGTTGCCGTGAAGCCGCGAGTAATTGACTCGAGCATTGTTCCCATTTTGGATTATGGAATCGTGCAACTTTCTTGAGGAAAGCCTACAAGGTTGCAGGGAGGTTACCGCGTGGTCTCCCGCCGAAACAATTTTGGGAAAGGATACCTACCATACCGGTGTAGCAAATTCGCAACAGAAAATGTTAGTGAAGTTACAAGAACAACCAGTCACACAATATTATCTTATTTTCAGGCCAAATTAATAATCCAGCATTTGCCTCCAGTAGAAGTCCGATCGCATAATCGCCATACGCAAAGTCTGCTGCATTATTCCATAGAAAACAATGAGACAAAACTTTTATTCAAAAGCGATACATGCAATGTTGGATTTCAGATGGCAAAGTCGGCAGACTTAACAGATCAAAAGTAAGTAAATATACATTATACACAGGAGGCTCATCATGTAACTGTAAAATTACAAGTTTTTGAAAAATTCATTAAAAACTTCGGGCTTCATGTCTATAACTTTGATCTGTGATAAAAATAGCATTATGGTATTCAAAATAAAGGGTAAAAACGAAACTGTTTCCCAAAAAATGTTTACCAAAACATCTCCTCCTTGTTCAATTAGCAGCATTCATATCAGACCACGTGACATTAATTCCAGTGCCGTGCCGTGGGACAAAACAAGCAATCTTCATAACAAAACCCACATTCTTCCACAACTTCTCAATCTTCTAAAGCAACATTCACCTTCTCAATACACTTAGTGATACAGATACACTCAGTGAAAATGATTATCTTTGAATGAAATATTTTTTTTTATACTACAACTACCACGAAGGCCTAAGGCCTAAGCACCCATTGGGTACCGTGGGGCTATAGGGGGATACATGGAAAAGGGGGAACGCCACACGGACTCTGGCGAGGGAACACGTGTGCATGCAACATGCACACATTCTGGCTCCGCCTACGAGATCCGCCGGGTGGTACCTCCGCGTTCGACAGTCAGAGACCGTCTACCACCTACGAAATTGTCTACAGTGTTATACATAAGCAAGAGGAAGTCGTGATTAAATTTTGAAGTGTATACCAAACGAAAACATTTTCGGACCTAAATCCGGCGATCTAGATGACCATAACAATTGTTAGTTTTTTTGATAAATTTCATATTGGGACAGGCAGCCTTGAAGTTTGGCTACCAATTTTAATGGCACGCTGTACATTTTGACGTGGAGTCTTATCTTCTCAGGTCTCTGGAGACCTTTCTTGAGTGATGCTATTTAAATTTTTATCTTGCTAAATTTTCGCAGATCGGGTTAATACATTTTTGGGGCATTGTTTTTTTAACACGCTTTTATTAGCTTGGCCAGAAGTTTGATTAACACGTATCAAGGACCGATGGCAATGCAATATTTTGATAACAGCTATCCTTATTAGGACCGCTAGCATTGATAAATTCTTTTATAGATCCTCTGTAGGGAAGTAGCAGTTATAGAGCGCGCGACCTGCGCATGCGTGCAGTTTCGGACTTAACCTTTATTGGTTCGGGCACTCGGCACTGCACAACGGGGGCAGATACTGTTTCAAAGTTTTTTTGATTGAATCCCAAAAAACACGTTTTCTCATTCTTTGTTGTCAAATGTTCACTAATTCCCACAAGAATTGGTGTATTCATACTTTTTAGTTCGCTTAACTATAAAAGCCTGTTTTTTTAAGTTTTTTTAAACTATTATTTATTAGAAAAACTAGTGACAGACGGCCTGCAGAATAGTTCATTGAAGTTTAGTTACGTACCTTACTGGCTGTATATTTTCACAGGAAAATTTATTTTTTCAGGTGTCATGAGACTGAAAATCTCAAAAATAAAAATGACCAAAGGTTCGTATTTCCGGAGAATGAAAATGATGAGAAGTTGCTGAAAATTATGGAAAAAGGAAGTAGAGTTTGTTCGTCGTCAGAAAATATGATTGAAATGAAGACCCCGCGCTTAGCAAGAAGAATTTTGGAATTGGAAAATCCGGGTGAAAGCACTAACACAATTGACAGAGAGCTAGCAGAGGCTATCGAGACAGAAGGCGATCATGGACCGCCAGCAATAATTGCAGGTGAATATTGCCGTTATCCAAAAGTGTTACGTCTTGACTGTAATCAAATTCACATTCTCAACCGTGTGATGCGTAATTGTATTGCCAATCCGTTTTACTTTCTTACGCCATTATCTGAATGTGCCGTCCGTACGACTAAACATTCATATAGCCTAGACATAATACAGTAAAATAACACGTAGCGAGCAGATAACATATACGGCATAAGAGCAGAACAGTAACAGAATTATCAATCCCATAAACGGTGACTCAAAGAATAAAATTAATCAAACAACTTTTTGCATTGTCTACAATTTGTGTATGTGGTATTTTTGTGGTTTGTTCTGCCTTTTCAGAGAAATATAACAAAACGTGATAATTTTGACATTCGAAATAAAACAAGATTTTGCTCCAAGGATATATGAGGAGTTTTTATATAGGGTGTTCACCGCGGATTTACCGAAAACCTCTGATTAAAAGCAAAAACGCCCAGGCACTTCAAAAGATTCGTCAAGGGGGACAACTTTTTAACCAAAAACTACTTCACCCTCGGCCCCCAAGGTCATTCCGTTAAAAATTTTAAATGACAAGGGGTATTCAAAAACAGCTTGTTTGAAAGGTCTTTCGAAGTCCTTTATTTTGACGTTTGATTTTTTGAAATCAGTCGATTCGTTTTCGAGAAAAATATAAAAACATTTATTCATCTTAATTTATGCAGATGTAAAACAAAAACACAGGAAAACATCACTTTTTTTCTGTGACGGGAAAAAAGTTTGACATTTTATCTCTGTTGATAGGTAACAGAATGTCACTTTTTATAAAATTACTTTTACTTTTTTCCCAGATATTGTATAAACTATTTAGCTGGCAATAATTTTTGTGACGCTGCTTTGGCTACTTCTACTAACTCCGGTGGAGTCTAAGAAAACTCGGAATCAGACATTTTCTACTTTATAGTATTAAAAATATCTTCTAAACAACCATTAAGTTCACAATTTTTAAATAAAATCACAAAATTAAATTGACAGCTATTTGATTACTTTAAAAGTTTCCTTAGCAACGCAGGTCTATTTGTCGCTATAAGTATTGCATACGAGGACGGTTCAATAAATACCCGTGTTTCACGACAGAGGGCGTTTCTGAGGGAAGTTAATGTTATCATCTTGTGCTGCCATCTATCAAGAAAACGGCAGGAACGTTGGGAAAAGTGTATCTTTCTAAAAGGGGATTATGCTGAAAAATAAAAAGAATTTTTTTGGAAAAAATGGTGTCTTCATTTCTAACACGGGTACTTACTGAACCGCCCTCGTAGCCTACTAATTTCAAAATTCAAATTTCACATCGATAATTTTCTGACTTAAATATTGTAATAATATAATTTTTCAATGTTAAATCGTCGTTTTTCCGTCACAGAAAAAAAATGTGTAATTATACACGAGAAAAATACTAGACTTTAAATTCCAGTACTCTTTTCCCTTGTACGAGTATAATAAATAACTATTTCAATAAATGATCAAAATGTTGCCCGTTAGGGTTTGCCAAATCTACAATTCGTTTATAATTTAAAACGGAAACTACCTATATAAACAGCAAACCGGAAGATCAGACGTGGCAACAACCGAATAACAACCCGAATTTTCCGCATTCTTTTCATCAACACAGATATCCTGGGCGAACTGTATTTATTGTTATACTTGCTAAGGGACAGAAAGAATTTAACTTGCTGTCAGTTACCTTCGTGGCAATCTCGGGATAGTGAAAATTAATTTATTGATTCAGATTTTACTTCCAAAATGGTTTATACACTAGCCGAAAGAGTGGAAAATACAGCTATCATTTTTTTCTTAACAGATCGGGATTTTCTGACAGATACGGGTGTGTTCTCATCATCAAATACCCAAACTTTGTTTTCAGCCTTGGTCGGCACATCGTAATAATAGAGCCAAGTCTCGTCACCTGTCAAGAGGCTGTTCACATACCGAGATTGTCCCTTATCAAACATTTTCAGCATCTTTCGGCAGTGGTACGTCTTTTGCTCTTCTGCGAGTCCATGCGGTATCAAGAGAGAACAAAGTTTCCTTACGTGTAAATGGTCATGCAGAATTGAATGAATTGCTGGTGCATGAAGGTGTGATGTCTCCTCTATCTGTTGATATGTCACTCTGCGGTCTTCGTCAATCATTTTTAGCACAGTCCTCTGTTAATGACGTTCGCAGCCTCCCTTCCCTCTCAGAGTGACATTCTTTGTACCACCTGAATATAGACATACGATGGGGACAATCATTCTTTAATGCAAGCGTCATTTCTTTCAAGCCCTAGTCTGTGCTTAAACCACGCGTAAAGTTATACCGTAAAACTGCTCTTATCTCACTACGCGACCACGATGCCATAGTCAATGTCAATACGAATGAACAACTAAATCAACAGACGTGCTGCTGGCGGCTACTATGCACTCATGGACATGTCTCAACATGCAGCTTCCTGCGTCCGTTTGTTAAGTCATATTGCACAACTTTTATTGTACCCTTTGTATAAAAAATTATTAAATCGTTAATATAACCTTAAAGATGGGAACGGATCTAGTACTGATCCTGGAGGTACCCCTATGTTTATATTTGATTTATTTCAAATAGAATATCTTGATACTTTTACAAATAGGGGTCGATTATTGTGTGTTTTAAACGAATTGAGTGAAGTCCCAGTACAACCATACTTGTTTAATTTTTTCAATCATATTTCGTGAATTACACAGTCAAAAGCTTTGAAAATATTGCATTAGTATATATTTAGCTAATGATGCCATTTTTTTTTGTTTCTATAAATATTTATATTATTTATTTTCAGATTTAAATTTGCAACTGGGAGTGGCTGAAACAAAACGAAGTATTTCGGAAGTTATAGAAAGTAGTGAAGAATGCTTATTTACGAACACACTTCCAGGTGACTCTTTTTCTTTTGTTCAAATTATATATGTTATTAAGAGTTTGAAATGGTCTATGGATCTACATTTTCAATCTTATTGATAATAATAGGTCCATACCATGACACTAATAAGCCCATGGCTCAGGAATGTAAACGAGGGCGTTGGGAGTTGACCGATTGGTGGCTGGCGAGTGGTGAGGTTAGTCGTATCAACGTTGCCAGATGGTCGTTTCAGGGGAGAAATTTCTAGATCGCAACATTGTCAAATGGATGGAGTCTATGGACTATGCGTATATATATATATATATATATATATATATATATATATACGCATTACCTTTCCGTGCCGTCCACCTTCTCCACGTCTAGCGGATGTAGGAGGTTAGAAACTGCATTCTGATTGTAATTTTCCCCAAAATTTCTTCTCGTTAATTAATTTCTAATATGTTCGGGTGTATTGATAGTTTTAACACATAATGATGTCGTTGTCGTTATCAATAAACCCAATGCTTCGGTCCGATTGGTTTTATAATTGTAACAAGTGCTCTCATCTCCTCGTTCGTTTTGAAACACCATTTGGCGCAACCTCAATGACGAGTAAGTTGTTTGACATTTTAAGTCGTTCCTGTATTGGTTGCTAGCATCAAAATTGTTTTCAGATCCTGATGAAGGCTACATAGAGAATTGCCGAAAGCTAGATTTTTTCGTCAAAAGAGTTAACTAAAGCCAATTTTCCCAAATAACAATTAATTATATATATATATATATATATATATATATATATATGTTAATGTATCATCAGCAAATAGTTGAATTTTGCAGTGTTGTAAAATATCAGGAATATCGTTGATATATAAAATAAATAGTAATGGACCTAATTTGCTACCCTCTGACACACCTACCGAAATGTTTTTAATGTTTGATAATCTATTGCCAATTTTAGTTTTTTGACTTCTATTGATTAAATAATTTTGTAATAAGTTGAATACTGAACCTTGAAATCCATAGCAATGCAATTTCGTTAACAATTTCTCCCTGTCAATAGTATCAAATGCTCTCTTGAAATCTAAGAACAATGTTACTGTAAACTTTTTTTCATCCATATTTCGCCTCCATTCTTTTACTACCATTTGAATTGCTGTTTCAGTAGAATACTTTTTTCTGAATCCTGCTTGAAATTTTGTCAATATCTTATTTTCTTTAATGTATTCAATGACTTGTTCATATATGATTCATTCTAAGAGCTTCTCGACATCTGGCAGAACATTAGTTGGCCGCATGTTTGTATATAACCCAGAATTTTGCACTTTTGGAACAGGAGTAATTGTAGAACATTTTAATTTTGAAGGAAATTCGCCATACACTAAACAGTGATTCACTAACAATAATAACTTCTCTCCAATAATGTTGAAACAGTCCTTCATAACCATTTTTGAAAGATGTTCACTAGGATTTCTATTCAATTTCAATCTTGTAATAGCTTTTGAAAAATGCTTGATATTTATTGTTTGGGCTTGTCTCATAGAAGAATTATAAGTAACTTGCATGTGACATAGGTTTGGATCCCCATCTTCGATTGATTCCACTATCTCATTTATACGTTCTACAAAATAAGCGTTCATTCATTCTGCAATCAATATTTTTGTTGTTACTATACCATCTTCGAAGCACATTCTTGATAATTCATTCTTCCTACTGGGAGATACAATATATTTTAGAGTCTTCCAAATCATTTTACAGTTATTTTTATTGCTATCGATTTTGTTTTCATAATATTTTTTCTTTTCGTTCCTAAGATTTGTTAAACACTTGTTTCTTGATTTTTTATATTGTATCCAATCTTTCCCAGTTTGAGCGATCATAAACTTTTTATAGTCATTATCACGCACCAATTTAGAGTCTAGAAATATTTGTGAAAACCAGAGTGTTGGATTTTTCCTTTGATATACCTCTTTCCTAATTTGTTGCGTGAAGTTCTCCATACAATCCATAATTTTTTAGTCAGTGTCAGCATCATTAAAAATTTCAGTGATATTGGCTTGCAAGAGTCTCTCATTAAACATATTTTCCACCTCGAAACATATCCACAAATGGTCGCTTATTTTTGGAGTATGTAAAACCTTAATACTAAAATTCTCTTCATTGGTTATTATTAAATCGGTCTTAGTTCGTGCTTGATATATTAAATGCTACAATATTTCTATTGGAATCTACTACTGTAATATAAGCTGTTTGTAATTAAAATTATTTTCTACTTTCTAGTTCGGTTAGCTATAAAAGCGTGTTTTTTAGTTTTTTAAGCTATGATTTATTTTGATGTCACTGGATGTAGATGAAAATGCACAACACAGAAAATTGTACTAGCAGCAGTTTCGAATGCGTGGGAAGTGACGCCATATTCTTTTCAGAGAAATCAAGTGTGACGGAAGACACATCAAAGTTCCCTTCACAATTAGCTGGAGTTCATTGTCCAGAGCGTGAGAGGGTCCTCAAGTCGTATCACGTTTACGACAACCCCAACGACCACGATCCTGGCTTTTTGAACGAGCGATCGTTGGAATTAGTCAGCAAAGTCGATGATAAAGTATACAGAACGTACATAAACCCGAAAGGGTTCCAAAAGCCACCTCACTACGAGACGTCCAATCCCCTGGTCAGCAGCGACAGTGTGAAGAGGTTTGGACTGTCGAAGGTGTCTTCACTTAGACTCAAGTCGGCATTGTCAAGTGAGTTTCACACTTTATGAAGTCCATGCCGTTAGCAAGTTGTTCAATTTAGCAAAACAAAAACATGTAAATTTCCAGATGCGTGTAAAACTACAAGAGTGTGCCCCGTTTTCAAAACTGGGGTTTGTTCTCTAATAGAGCAATTTCAATTTTATTTAACTGTGCTAAGTTTCTGGAAACAGTCGAACATACAATTCCGTAAGCGAACTCATTGCACTCTTTCAGTATGGCGAACAGATCAACGACAACAAATCGTACGCGTTCTACCACACCGGCTACACCGTCCATACTCGATGCTGTTCGACTGATGAATGATACTTCACTAACTGTCAGTTTCGGGACTCTTTCGCACCAACGGGCGGTCGGCGATCTTGCTATCTTCTACCCCTATGCCAACAGGTTTTGCTTCTCATAGCTCTCCTTATTCATGATGCCGCCGCGCGATGTGCCTGTCAGACAGATCCGTCTGACTTCGGCCATCGATTTTAAACATTGGCCCTAGAGCAGTGGTCGCCAATCTTTTCAGTGTGTTGACCTACTTTGATAATTTTAGACTAAATAAATAAATTGTTAACGAAATTGCATTACTATGGATTTCAAGGTTCAGTATTCAAAAAATTACACAATTATTTAATCAATAAAAGTTAGAACTAAAATTGGCAACACATTATCAAGCATTAAAAACATTTCGGTAGATGTGCCACAACTATTTGCTATATTTATATATACAGTAGAACCTCGATTATCCGTCAGGGGTCGGGACCAAGGTGCGACGGATACGGGAAAAAGACGGAAAATAGAAAACGACAGGAATTTATTAAAACAAACTAAAAACAACTTGGAACATAGTAATCAAAAAAAGTAATAAACAAACATATATGTATAAACATAATAATGTCAAACAATAACCTAAATTATGTATAACACTATGGTTTTTTGAAAAAGTCTGTGATTTTTTTTGCTTTATCTTTTGGGAGCTTTTTTTTCTTGCAAGGCAGCGTATTTTCCTCAATAATACTAGTTGAACGAGTTCTGCTTCCTCTTGATTTTCGTACCATTGTATAATTATTGTTACCATATCCTCAGCTTCCCCATGGCTAATGCTACCTTCCGGATTCGTAGGTAAGTCATCTTTACAATCTTCATGATCATTGGCTTCTAAAGGCTTTAAAAACGTGGTTAATTAATTCGTCGTCTGGTAAAATATCATAGCCTACATCCTGTTTGCCCATATCTAACCAATTAGAAATGTCATTTTCTTTTCTTCAAATCCAGGAAGATATGAAAATGTTTGCTTTATGGATGAAATATTAGGTGTTCGATTTTCTTTCTGATCCATAACTGTGTTTTCGGTAGGCAACAATTTATTCCAACTTTTATTCAAGGTTTCTGCAGGTATACTGTTCCAAGCTTCAGCGGCAATATATATGGCATCTTTTATGGTAAACATTTTCCAATACTGTTTTAAGTCCGCATCTGTTTCAGAGATAAGTCCTTGAATAAAAGCCTTTTGATATCTTCTCTCAAAACTTTCAATAACCCCTTGATCCATAGGCTGAATCAAGGATGTGGTATTTGCAGGCAAAAAGCGACAAGTTGTTATACCATCTTCGGACTCTTCAACAGGGTGAGTTGGCGCATTATCCATTAAAAGCATAGCTTCTTCGGGAAGATTATTTTCTCGTAAGTATTTTTTAACTTCAGGGAGAAAACATGTTTTAAACCAATCAATAAATATCTCTTGACTCATCCACGCACTTTTTTGGGCACTGTATTTCACATGCAATAATTCCAAATCCATGTTTTTGAAAGCACAAGGTTTTTTTTCTTTTCCAATGACCAACAGCGGAATCCTATGATCACCGCTAGCATTTGCACAAAACCATACCGTTATGCGTTCCTTTTGAACTTTATATCCAGGTGCTGACGTCTCAGAAGATGAAGCTCATGTCGTTTGAGGAAGCGCCTTCCAATTTAAGCCAGTTTCATCACAGTTGTAAACTTGATTTCTTTGTAAACCACGCTTTTTAATTTCCTCCCGAAGCTTGTTAACAGATTCTACCACAATGACACTATTAGCACTTAATTTTTCACCTTCAATAGATAACTGCCTTATTCCGTGTTGAGTTTTAAATTGGCTCAACCTGTGCCTGCTTTAAAAGATGGATCGGAGTTTGGCAATTCTTTATTGAACTTTAATGCTTTTTGTTGAATAATTGAGCCTGATAAAGGAATTCCTTGACTTCGCTGCTGGGCAAACCAGTAAAAAACAACCTCATCTTATTCATTGTGGGTAGCTAATTTCATCGTTTTTCGATGAGTGACATCCCCATCTGTTGATTCCATTTTGCTGATATTATTTTCGATGTTTTTCAAAATCATTAATTGTAGTTCGGGGAACATTATAAATTATTGATAGTGCTGCAGCGCTTTGTCCTTTTCTTAATCGACACACTATTTAGGGTAATCCTACTCCTTGCGTACGTGTATGAATAAATGCGGGCAAGTAAAAAAAAAGTCAGTTTAGTTCTAAGAAATATTTGTCGTCGGGCTGCAAATTAAATTCTCCGAATTCATTTTGAACAACGGGATGGGTGACGAATAACGGAAGGTGACGAATAATCGAGTGCCGGATAATCGAGGTTCTACTGTATATATATATATATAATATATATATATATATAATATATATATATATATATATATATATATATATATATATATATATATATATATATATGTCTTTTAAGTTTTGCATATGGAAATAAAACAACACGGTAGGTAGTTTTAAATGACTTTATCGTTTTTCGAAGTATTCTGCACGAAGATTAATACACATCTGCATGCGCTCGAACCAATTTTCGAAGCACTTATTCCACTCGTTTGCTGGCAGATTCAAAACGGCATTTTTGATTGCGTCAACGACTTCTTCTGGTGACTGGAACCTTCGACTACGCAGTCTGTTTTTAATTTTCGGGAAAGTAAAGAAATCGTTAGGACTTAGATCGGGACTAAATGGAGGATGGTCCAATAATTCCACGTTTTCTTCCGTTAAATAGTGCCTTGTTATTTTGGCTGTGTGCGAGCTTGCATTGTCTTGGTGGAGGATGATTCTTCTTTCGGGGTTGATTTTTCGAAGCTCGATGATGACTTTTGGCAAAAAAATGGTGGTATTCCCATCCGCAGTAACAGTTCTTTGCTCATTAAGAGGAATTGTTGCAATATGACCCGCTTTTGACACAAATGCCGCGACCATCTTTTTCGAAACACTTCGAGAACGGATGACTTTTGTTGGCTTTTCTTCACCTTGGAACACAAAAACAGCCGACTGTCGTTTATTTTTTGATTCATAACAGTAAATCCACGATTCATCACCACTCACAATGCTGTACACATTTTTTGAGTTTTTTGACACCAATTAACCCTGTCTGCTTTCTGCTCTTCAGTCAACAGGTGTGGTATCCAACGAGAAACTAATTTTCTTACTCCTAATTCTTCATGTAAAATTTTTTGAATTGAGGTCTTTGAGATCTTCAAGGACGCCTCAACCTCGCGATATGTCACATGTCTATCTTTAATGATGAGTTTGCGCACAGCATCGACGTTTTCCTGTGTGACTGCCGTTTTTGGTGCACCCACCCTGGGATTGTCTCTAAGACTCACCCATCCACGTTTGAATTCTCCATACCAACGGGAAATTGTCGACTTATGTGGCGCTTCGTTGCCGAAAACAGACAGTAACTCAGCACGGCATTCTTGTTTCGATACTTGTCTCTGAAAGCTGTAATAAATTATGGCGCGAAAATGTTCTCGGTTGAGTTCCATTTTTCTAATGACAGGCTGACACTTAAAAATTCACTGTAGTGACACTGCACGTATTGTTGTGAAACTTTGAATTTAAGTTATCTAAAGAGTGCCTACTATGTTTCTATATGCAAAACTTAAAAGACATCCCTCGTATTAATATGTCTGAAAATTTAAATCTTTTCCGTATTGGTTGCTAGCTTCATATTTGTGTTCAGCTCCTGATGATGGCACCAAAAGAGTTTATCAAAACCTAATTTTTTTCCAATTTCCTAATTAATAGTTAATTGTATTTCTTGCCCAACTGGTCGTTGGCAATGGCTGTTAAATATTAATAAACTCAAATTTAACACAAAAAAAACGAAATATATGCTAATAGGACAACCTTTAGATCAAAATACGATAAATCTTACAATTAATCATCAAAAAAATGTGTCAATCGAATCATGTAAATATTTGGGCATATACGTAGATAATAGGGAACTATGAATATATTATTTCAAAACTATCCAAGAAAATAAATTACTTTTATAGACTTTCGTTTACTCTAAAAAAAAATGTGTACAACACTATCATTCTTACTCATTTGTTGTTCGACTATTTTGTTCACTGCAAACGAAACTGTATTTTCAAAATTACAAATATTACAAAATGAAGCTATGAGAATCATCTTAAATAAAAATAAAGATTCTAGAATAAATTTTATGCTGAAAGAACTTCAATGGTTAAATATCCAAAATATTAAATTATACACAATTGTATGCGACATACATGTGCTTATTTTACTAATACTAGTAAACTTAGATAAACTAATAACTAATGCATACTATGTTACATAACTACTTCCATTCCTACCAATCGCATGTGTTTGAAAAATAAACAAAATTTATCGACAGCTGCAGTGGTATGTCACATACGATTTAATAGAGGTAACTAAAAATAAAAAAGGAACGCACTATTTTAAACGAAAACATGTCCCGATAAAAAATGTGTGTTCAATGAAAAGCCTGACACTCAGACTCACTGACAATTTTTTTTTTGTCTCTCCCTTGAAGCTGCAAATTAAGTTCATTTAATTTTTCTGTAATATCCACAAGAAAACCAAAACCTCTAAGCCAAATTGAATTTTCCTGTTCCGGAATCGGTTCATCACGTTGTTTGAAAAATTATGGCAGATACGATATGATTAAAATGTTTCAACACTCGTCCCCTACTTAATCATCGGCCAAGGTTTTGAATAATCTTCTTTGTAATGCTTGTTTACAATTTTTACTACCAATTTCATAACGTTGTTTAGTTTTAGAAAATGTCCAGATAATGCTTGCTGATGGATAATGCAGTGGTAACAAATAAATTGCGGAAAACTTTCATCTTTACGACATAACATCACCAAAAATCATCCGGACGAAGTCATTTCTTAACTGTAAAACTATATCAATGCTCGTCTTATCACTGGATTAGCAGAAAGTTGCATATATTTTATAGCAGACCCTATCTCGTCTTTAGTTGGCAAATAATGAAACTGCAGTTTCTGAAAACGCCTGCTTTATCATTTCCTCGTCTTCATAAGGTTTCTTCTTTTTTGTAATTATCTGGGACACCCGGTATGATGCTTCAGTTGCAGCCTTAATTTTGTCGATTGTTTTTAAAAACATTGTCTGTTGTCCAATTAACTGATTTTTTAATTGTCTCAGTTTTTCCGTTCTGGTTGCAGAACGTAATGGGAATGATTTTTCAAAATTCCAATGTACAGTTTTATAGTCCCTCTCGATATTCCCTTTAGCAACGTAAACGGATGTATTACATAACAAACATACATTTTTACCGTTAGCTCCTGTAAAGAAATATTGATCGTCCCATTCCGAATCGAAATAGTATGTCTTCATCTTCTTACTACTGCTCATAATGTTTTTAATTGCAGGCCAACTCTAACTCAACCGCTGGACTTTGTGCCATTCGGTTTTAAACTGAGCGCACTGTCGCCGCGCATTGCTTATTTATTCCGTTCAAAGTAATCGAGATCGTTCTCGAACAGATCGCTTACCGCAGTATTGTCGCTGCTTGTGTTTATTATGAGAATTTACAAAATTTACGGAAGCTTCTATAATTTTTACACCATTTTAAAATATGTTGTGAGCCACCAGAATTGAATTTGCGAGCTACCGGTAGCTCGCGATCGACGGGTTGGCGGCCACTGCCCTAGAGTATCAAGATTGTGATGCAATCTACCTAAGAAGGATTTTCCCAGTTCTAATAACTTTAGTCAGTTTAAAAATCGGATAAACACAGTTTCTTTAAACTCTTCATAGCAGGTGCCGCGGTGCCCTGGTACTTATATACTGTCTACACGGTATAAACAAAAATATTAATTTGAGGTCTGCGAAACCTTTTCAGGTTTATTCTCGAGGTCGGAATCTAATGCTTGATAAGAGGAGAATGAACTGCTTTTTGCGTTGCTCTTTGATAACTACAGCAAAAGAAAGGCCCCTGGATATAATTTGCATCAAGCCCAGCGCCCTTGTAATCCGGCACTGTTTTGGACAAAGAGATAAACTATTTTTTTATGATTTCAGCCGATAATACGAAGGACACTGCACTTCGGGACGGCCTACCTAAAATATGGAGTTTGGGCTTTTACGTAAATAAGTCCACTCAAGTTAGTCCATCCGTGAACCAAAACACGTCAAAGTTACAATCTAGAGAAAATGAAGAAAACACCGCTGACGGAGAAGAAAAAGCAATACAGGTAAAATAATTTATAGACATTTGTGGATTTCAGCTTAAAATTTAACATCAAAACCTCTAGAATATTTCGACATTTCAAAGATTTTGATTAGTATTGGCCATTGACTCAAGAAAATATATATTTTAGTAAGAGCAAGTGCAATCTACGAAAATTCACACAACAAATTTGAGAATTATAATGTCACTGCACTCTGTTTTTGAACCGTGAACTACATTTTTGCAATTTTTTTCTTGATCCTGCTAGGTCGGTTATAATTCCTAGTAATATTATAAATGTGATAGTGTGCATGTCAGAATTTAAAATAGAAAGGGTTGTAATTGAGATTAATAAAAGTTATTATAGGAAAACTATTACATATTTTTTAAGTTAGGGATGGAAATATGGGTTTTTTATATTTGGGTCCTTGATATAATGTAAATGGGTACTTTACAAATGAATTTTGGTTATTCCACCACTAAGGCGGTAAAGTGGGGTTGGCGCTTTTCAATTTTCTGTTGTGAGGCTAGAATATTTCAAATTAAGTGAAATTAGAACTAAGGAGTATGTTTTGTCTAAATTAACAGTTTCAGATATTATATCCTTAAAATGAGGGTTGAATGTTCCTGTTTGGACCCTTGTTACTTTTTAAGTTATATTGTACAATAGGGGCGGATTAAGGCGGGCTACGAGCAGATGTGTACAGAACGTCTCAAAAGTATGGACATATAGTACCTTAATATCTCGGAAACTAAAGGTCCTAGAAAAAAATTTGAATACAAAAGTTTTAGGGAACTCAATGGTGCATCTACTGGTGACATTGAATTTGAAGTTGACCTTGACCTTGAAGGTTATTTTAAGGGCAAGTTGATTTTTTTGGATAAGAACACCCTTTTTTTATTGCAGAAATAGAAAGCCAAACATTTTTCCTTTTTAACTGTATAATATCATAGGGGCTAAAATTACATCAAGATATTATTTCGGGGTTAATTGTTACTTTTTCATGGAATGTTGTGAAGCAGCGGATATATATTAAAGAACTTTTCATGCAAAAAATACAGGAGTTTCAACGGCACATCTCATGGTGACCTTAAATCGGACCTTGGCTATGACCTTGGAAGTAAATTCAAGGTTAAATTTTGTCATATGGAAGCCCTCAATTTTGACCCCAGCACTTAAAATGGTGAAAAATTGGGATAAAATGGGCAATGACAACCTTTAGTACTTCTTGAAAACTTTGGGCTCTTGGAATATCCAAAATTCCCCTTTAAAACCATCACTGACCGGACACCAGCATGTCTCGCCGGACACTGGACCTCATCTTGTCTCGCCTTCATTAGCATGTCTTGCCTTTACTGGGCGGAGGTAGGATTACCTCCTTATCTTGAAGAATCAGTCCAAAGTCTCTTCTTTCACTTGCAAAGATTATCGGTCGGCTAAGTCTAATCCACGAAAATAGATCATTTGACGCTAAAATAACCTCTAGCTGTGATTTTACCTACGTTAATTAAAGCTTTGAACATGAAACTTTTCTCAATTTCCAGCGTCGGGATCAATGTTGAGGGTTTCTATTTAAAAATACCAATTTCACCTTGGAATGACATTCAAGGCATAGCCAAGGTCAGAATGAAGATCACCATCAGATGTGCGGTTGGGTGTTCTGCAATTGTCGCATTAAAAAATCTTCTTTAATGTTCTTTTTCCAGCTATCCGCTGCTTTACAACATTCCACGAAAGTGTAACACTTGACCTTGAAATAACCTCTGGACGTAATTTTAGGCCCTATGATATCTAAACCGTTAAAAAGAAAATTTGCTTGGCTTTCTATTTCTGCAAAGAAAAATGGAGGTTCCCATTTGAAAAAATCAATATGTCCTTGAAATGACCTTCAAGGAGGTTAAAGGGCACTTGCAAGGTTGTTTGAAATTCCTTGAAGAGTTTTCTGCTAGAAACCTGAACATTAACAATAATGCGGTTCTGTTTAGAGTAAAATTAAGCTGATTAGAATTTTGGCGGGGAGGTAGCTTTTACCCGTATAGTATATGTGGCGCCTAAAAAAAATACCTCAAGTATGCGAGTTGGCTCTCAATTTACTAATGCCATTCACATTTTCCGTGACACGAGCTGTTTATTAAATGTGGTAACATGCCTTTATTTAATTCCAGGTAATCAATTTTACCCAAAGTGACTCCCGTTTTCAACTGACAAACACTGAGGACGATTATCCCACGCCACAATTGCCTGCGGAGAGAGATGGAGATCCCTTCTATAAGCCCATTGATTGTGAGGGACTTTGCAGCCAAATGGCCGCTGACCTTAGGACAGCAATCACTTATATTCAGCAACCTAAAGAAGAAGTACAACTGAGAAGTGAGGTCGGAAAGAAGCCCATTGAAGGTAGCAACCTTTAAGATATACCGGGGGGGACTTACCCGAAACTTCGTATGTTCTCTTAAATACCACAGATGCGACAGTGACTGTCACACCCGTTGTTCTTTGTGTCACCGACTACTTGACAACTACCCTACTACTTACCATGGGCGCCTGCAGGACTTTTTTGAAAGGGCTCAAATAAAACATGTAGAGAGAGAGAGAGAGAGAGAGAGAGAGAGAGAGAGAGAGAGAGACGCTCTTAGACTTTTTGCAATGGGGCTATTGTGTTTACCCCTCAACCGGAAAGTTTGGATGAACTTCGTCAATACATCATGTTTTTGAAAATGTCCGATTTGAACATCACCTATATCATTGTTTGGCCAATAAAGGGCGACATTTTGAACACTTATTGAAATAAAAAGTGATATTTTCGTGTGTTTTTGTTTTCTATCTGAACAAATTAAGATAAAGATTTTAATAATTTTATTGAAAAACGAATCGACCGATTTAAAAAATCAAACATCAAAGTAAAGGACTTCGAAAGACCTTTCAAATAAGTTATTACTTGATACCATTTGTCATTTTTACGGGTGAAAGAAGGTGAAGTAGTTTTTGGTTAAAAAGTTGTCCCCCTTGACAAATCTCTTTTTTTTTATCAGTGGTTTTCGATACATTCCTAGTGGGAAGTTTCCAAATGAACATTCTGTATATCTGAGAAAAATAGAACATTAGAATGAATTGAAGGACAGTGTGAGATCATTTCTGCAGAGCAACTGTTGCTATTCAATAAATGAATATTTAGATGCCGAATTATTCTACAAGAGGAAATATTGCTTTTCATTTACAAAATTGCAATAGTAATATAACTAGCAAATCAATATTTCAGAAAGGATTACTGTAATTTAATAAACTAAATAATGATATAAAGTCTACTTGTAATTTAAAGATGTTTAAAAGAAAATTAAAGGAATATTTCATTTACAGTAAAAATTCTGAGTTGCAAATTTTGTTTTTTTTCTAAATATCTGTATGTTATCTAATTGCTTAGTTTTTCAGAAGAATGAGATTGAGGCAATCATGCTAAACAAATCTAGGTGCTATGGTTTTGTACGCATACTTATTATCTGGTGTAGTGTTTGCCTTTTTAAAACGTTTTTCTTTGTATTGTACTTTATTATACGCCTAGATACATATCTACATACATTTCAAACATTTACATATGCAGATACACCGGAAGAAATAGAGAATGCGAAGTGTAGCTCTTGTCTAACAATAAGCAAAGTAAGTGTACCAACCAGACACAGTACAATAGGTGAAACAGCCGAGCTTAAGAGGGAAGCTACAATATGTGGTAGAGAATATCAAGAATTATGCAGCAGAAGTCCCCAACCCACTCCTAGAGTCAATAAAAAAAGTGTAGACGCAATTGAGCAAACTAGAGATGGTAAAAATGGCGGCGAGGAAACAAAAACAAGGTAGGAAATCCAACATTATTGAAAAGATACATATAAAAATATGCTTTATTGTGAAGAATACAATCATTCTTGAAGACTTAGAACTAATCTATAACAATTACATAATGTGGATCTTAAGTAGATGAACTGTAGAACTCACATATGGCATAATATAGTTTTCATGTTGAACAGTTTTTAAGTTTACCGAGGAATATCTTCAAATTGCTAATTCTTTTGAATCTTTTGATGGCTTCAGGGAGACACATTTACATTTTCACCTCATTATAAATGGTATCTTTCACAAGCGTTGACTTGGGTACTACTCCTCTAATCTTGTATAGTATTTTTTAGTTTTTCGGCTAATGTGCAGTAATAAATGTTTATTTAGTACATCAGGATTTGTAGGTGGTATGTTGGTGCATCTTGATTCATTTACGACTTTCCATGCTTCCTTGTTTTTATTTCCCGAATTTATTATTTTCTGTTTATAATAATTCTTTTTGCTGAAGGCAAAATGTGCTTATATATATTCTATGATTCGTCATACAGTAGTTATTGAAGCTTTAGTTTTTTATAAATTTTTTGGAATAGTGCAAAGATCTCCAATTTCGAGATGATATTTTCAATCCTTTTGTGATTTTTCACTCTTGATTTGACTTTTTGGTATAGAAAGCCTTCAAGAAAAGTATTTACCAGGTCTTTCGAAGTCCCTTATTTTGACGTTCGGCAATGGCTAGACGACGAGTTTACAGATAAATGGATAGGGCGAAGAGGGCCTATAGAATGGCCTGCTAGATCTCCTGATTTGACGCCATTAGACTTTTCTCTATGGGGCTTACTACCCAACCTGACAGTTTGGATGAACTTCGTCAACGCATCATCGGAGGCTGCAATAATATCCCACATGTTTTTGAAAATGTCCGTCAGGAATTTGGACATCGCGTATATCACTGTTTGGCCAATAACAAATTGATTTTTCTGATTTTCTTGAAAACGAATCGACCGATTTAAAAAAATCAAACGTTAAAATATAGGACTTTTCGAACAAGCTATTACTAGATACCTCATTTAAAATTTTTAAGGTAATGACCCTGGGGGGCAGAAGGTGAAAGGGGGTGAAGTAAGTTTTGGTTAAAAAGTTGTCCCCCATGACAAATCTTTTGACGTGTCTCGGCTTTTTTTCTTTTAATCAGTGGTTTTTGATAAATCCGTGGTGGGAAGTTTTCAATTGAACACCCTACAGAACACTTGTCTATTAAAAAGATTTACTCTCATTCGGGTTAACATGCTTCTTGCAATCCACTATTTTCGGCAACTGTCTGGAACACCAGAATTCTATGGAACACTCGCACTTTTCTATGTTTCCACAGAAAAGTGCGAATTTAATGTGAAGTTTCAATAACTGTCAAATTGGCAGCTTAAGCCTGATCGCCTTGTAGCATGGACTTTCAACCTGATTACTGACTACGTAACTTTGGCGCCAACCAAATCGTATACTTGCTCCTTCTCCCTAATTCTCCCTAATCCGAATGCATCTAATCAACACCCTTATTACGTTACTAAAAAATGACAACGATAGCGATCTGATCGCTATAATTGTTATTTTGTAACTAGCACTTTAAGTTCACTTGTAGTACTGTGTGTGTTCCCTAAACTTTAAGTTATTTGAGTTATGTGCTCTGTTGTAACATCTTCAAAGATGGCAATAGCGGATGCTACTCATATATTCTACCTCTATGCACAAGTAACTTACATGACATCATTTCCTTTCAGTACCAGAAAGGAGGATGGCTCGCAAGCTACTCTGGTCGAGTACCGTACGTTAAACGGGAGCCAGTTGGAGACCATCTCCTTGACGGTCAGCTACTCGACAGGCGAGTCCGTGGAAATGAACCCTCCTTCTCCGGACATGCAGAGCACCACCAATAAAAGTGGTACTGCCATAATGAGAGAGAAGAGAGACATAAAATCCAGGACGCAGTTCAACAAATCCGTTAACAACATCACCACGGAGGGGAAGGTGAGCTATTCGTGTATAATAAACGCAAAGTACTTTGCTGCTCGATAAACACATTTAGAGTACTAGGTGATTTGGAAAGTTTTGCATGCAGAAGGCGTTGATATCAGAAAACAATGTACCGGGTGACTCAGTAATAAAGGACGCGGGCTATAGGTCAGCAGCTGCTTAACCTAGAAAAATTTCATAATAAAAGTGACCCAGGGAAATTGTTAGAAATTATTTTCAGCTTCTTGAGAGGCGAATAAAATCCAAACGCCATTATTTTGAAGAAATGTGTAATTAATGTACTGATTTAATAACTCTATTATGTTGATTGCTCGATTTTCGACCTTTTTCCTCCATCTCATTTTTTTATATTGTGTTTCGTTTACGGACTGAATGTCATTTTAGAGAAAGTAATATGAATTGTTTGACTGCACCAATTTGCATGATCTTGGCTTCATTGCTTGCGCTTACGCTCCTACTCAAGGCTAAATTTTGTCAAGTAAATTCACTTTGTAGCGTTTTATGGATGTGTCACTTTTTTTGGACGTAAACTCACTCCACTCTCGGAATGTCCGGGTGGAGGGTGGGCTTGAGGGAACAACATCGAAGATAAAATTTGTTTTTCGAACATCTGCGGGATCAACAGCAACATTGATGCTGTTCATCACTACCTGCAATCCAATCGTCCCGCCGTGCTTTTCTTGGCGGAGACAAAAATCTCAGAGACTGCACCCATTAACCATCTCAACTTCCCAAACTACGAGGTGCACTCCAATCTGAGAAAGAACGGGGGAGTTGTGGCTTTTGTCCGCAGCAGTCTTTCCTGCTCCAGGGATCTTTCTTTGGAATCAGACCGGAAGGACATTCTGTGGTTTCGCCTCAACTCCAAAACATCACCCAAATTTATTTGCTGCCTTTATCGCTCTCCCTCGAACCATAACTGGGATGACCTACTCGAATACCTCGCCGTCCAGATCGACTTCCTGAACATCAATCACCCCGCTTCAGAGGTAGTTCTTCTCGGTGATTTCAATGCCCATAATGAGCTTTGGTTGGGCTCAAATAAGACCGATGCAGCAGGTCGTGCAGTCGAAGCGTTCGCTCTTACTCAAGGGCTGACCCAGCTGGTGACGAGCCCTACTCTTTTCCCCCGCGTCTCGTCACACGCCAGTAGCCTGCTGGATCTCTTTCTGACCACGCATCCTGCCCGTTACAGCACTGCTGTCCTGTCCCCCCTGGGTAACTCAGATCACGGTGTTGTGGAGGTCAGGTTTCGGTCAGAAGCCGCTGTGGCAGCAGAAACTCGCACAGGCCGCAAAACTTGGCATTACGGACATGCCGACTGGGAGGGGCTCAGAGACTTCTTCTCTAGCTTTCCTTGGAGAGATGTCTGTTTCACTGACGCGGATGCGTCGACTGTCTGTTCTTCAATAACCGAAATTATCCACGTCGGAATGGATGAATACATCCCTCACACAGTGAAAGTTCCTAAACCAGGCTCCAACGGCTGGTTCAACAAATCGTGTGACACTGCTCGCCAGCAGAAGATCAAGGCCCACAGAACCTACTTGCAAAACCCCACTGTAAAGAACAGACAAGCCGACGTCGAGTCCAGAAACAAATATAACGAAGCGGTTCGCAATGCCAAAAACCAGCATGATATAAAAGTTAGGCACAGGGTAATGTCGCAGCGCAATGGCAGTCGGTCTTTCTGGACGCTGGCCAAGCAGATTGAAAAGAACTTCTCACACAGTAGCCTTCCACCACTTACGTGTCAGGATGGAACTATTGTATTCGACTCAAAGGCCAAGGCGGAAGTGCTAGCCAAGATCTTTGCTGCCAACTCCACCATGGACGTCCCCACCAACGCCCAAGTGCCGTCAATTCAAAGGGTTCCCCACACTATGCGGGAGGTGACATTCAGGCATAAGACCGGAAGACGAGTGCTCTTGTCGCTCGACATCAACAAAGCTTCTGGTCCGGACTTGATTCCTGCCATTGTACTGAAGAGATGTGCAGCGGAGCTTGCTCCAGTTCTTTCGCGCCTCTTCCAGATATCTTATGAATCCGGCACCTTCCCAGAAAACTGGAAATTTGCTCATGTACAGCCCATCCCAAAAAAGGATCTAAAACCGACCCTTACAACTACAGGCCTATAGCTCTGCTTTCTGTTATAAGTAAAGTGATGGAGAGGTGCATAAATCGCGAGCTTCTGGACTACCTCGAACGTCACAGCTTGATTAGCGACAGGCAGTACGGTGTCCGGCACCAACGATCCACAGGGCACCTCCTAGCTTACGTCACGCAACTGTGGAGTAAACTCATCCAGTCTCATGGTGAGGCTCATGTCGTTGCTCTTGACATCACGAAAGCGTTCGATCAGCTGTGGCACGCTGCCCTCTTAAGCAAACTTCCATCCTACGGCCTCCCAGAAAAGCTTTGCAGATGGGTGGCTGACTTTATCTCTGGCCGCAAGATATCCGTCGTAATTGACGGATTCTCCTCTTCATCCCACAACGTCAACGCGGGTGTTCCCCAGGGATCGGTCTTGGCTCCAACACTGTTTCTCTTACATATCAACGACCTCCTTTCCTGCACGATCAACCCAATCCACAGCTTCGCTGATGACAGCACTCTACATGCAGGAATTCAGAGTGACAAGCCGATCTCTGCCGCTGAGCTGGAAAAAAGAAGACTAGCGACGACGTCTTCTCTGACAAGAGACCTGGAGGCTATCACTGCTTGGGGACGCAACAATCTTGTACAGTTCAATGCTTCCAAAACACAGTACTGTACTTTGACGAACAAAAAGCGTCCTACCGCTCATACAGTTTCGATGGACGGTCGAGTTCTACCAAAGAGCCATTCATTTCGGCTGGTCGGAGTCCAGATCACCGAGGACCTGATCTGGCACGAACACATCTCTTCAATAGCTGCAGCTGCTGGGAAAAAGCTAGGCTATTTGTTTAGGGCTAAGAAGTACTTTTCTCCGCATGACCTTCTCACTCTATACAAGGCCCAGATAAGGCCTAGCCTCGAGTATTGCTCACACATCTGGGGTGCTGCCGCCCCGACTACATTGTCCATGCTCGATGCTGTCCAGAGGAGGGCGGTCCGACTGATCGATGACTCTTCTCTAACAGACAGTCTCGGGACTCTTTCGCACCGGCGGGCCGTCGGCGATCTAGCTCTTTTCTATCGCTACACCAACGGGCTTTGCTCCTCAGAGCTCTCTTCCATGATGCCGCCGCGCGATGTGCCTGCCAGACAGACCCGCCTGACTTCGGCGTCCCATCCTAACCGTGTCAAACTTCGTACATCCAGAACTGACCGATACGACCGCTCCTTTGTCCCGAGGGTGTCTAGATTGTGGAACAATCTACGGGAGGAAGCTTTTCCCAGTTCTACTAACCTTAGGCAGTTCAAAAATCGTATTAACAAAATTTCTTTGGGATCATCATAGCAGCCGCGGTGTTCCGGCATTTAGGCTTCTGCCTGCGCGGCTGTTTCGATATAAAAAAAAAGGACTGAATGTCATTTTAGAGAAAGTAATGAATTGTTTGACTGCACCAATTTGCATGATCTTGGCTTCATTGCTTGCGCTTACGCTACTACTCAAGGCTAAATTTTGTCAAGTAAATTCACTTTGTAGCGTTTTATGGATGTGTCACTTTTTTTGAATTCTTTCGAAAATTTCAAATAAACTGGTATGGTATGCTTTTTTAATGTTGCTCAGAAAAAGCATAGAAAATCCTATAAAATGGCGAAAACTGCATATCAATATCTCTATTCCTTTTTTATATACCGAAGTAGCCGCGCAGGCAGAAGCACAAATGCCAGGGCACCGCGGCTGCTATGAGGATCTCAAAAAAATTTTGTTACTCAGATTTTTAAACTATCTGAGGTTAGTAGAACTGGGGAAGCCTCCTCTTATGGATTGTTCCACAATCTCGACACCCTCGCGACAAAGGAGCGGTCGTATCGGCCAGTTCGACATGGGAGGCCGAAGTCAGGCGGGTCTGTCTGGGAGGCACATCGCGAGGCGGCATCACCCTGGTTTAGGCACTTTCACTGTTTCTGCTGCCAAAGCGAGCTCTGACCGAAGGTTAACCTCCACAAGACCGTGGTATGAGTTATCCAGACGAGACAGAGCAGCCGTACTCTAAGGGACAGGAGCTACTGCTTCTGACGCGGAGGAAAAAATTGGGCTAGTGACCAGCTGAGCCAGTCTTTGTTTGAGCCCAACTAAAGTTCATTATGGGCACTGAAATCACCGAAGAGAACTACCTTTGAAGCAGGGTGATTAATGCTCAGGAAGTGGATCTTGACAGCGAGGTATTCAAATAGGTCATCCCAGTTATGGTCCCAGGGAGAGCGATAAAGGCAGCAAATACATTTGGAGGAGGCGTTGGAGTTGAGGCGAAGCCACAGAATGTCCTGCGGTCTGATTCCAAAGAAATGTCTCTGGAGCAGGAAAAACTGCTGGGGACAAAAGCCACAATTGTCACGTGCTTTCTCAGATTCGAGTGTACCTGGTAATTTGAGAAGCTGAGATGATTAATCGGTGCAGACTCTGAGATTTTTGATTCCGCCAAGAAAAGCATAGCGGGACGATTAGATTGCAGGTAGTGATGAATAGCATCAATGTTGCTGTTAATCCAGCAGATGTTCCTGAAACAAATTTTATCATCGATATTGTTCCCTGGAGTCCACCCTCCATCCGGACATTCCGAGAGTGGAGTGGGTTTGTTCTTAGTACTCGAGGATCCATCGTCATTAATCTCTTTGTTGGGAAGGATAGCCGACTGCGTAGCTTAGGTGTGAAAACGTGCCGACATTCTTAAGATACCTTGGAATAAGAACAGCGGGTCCTACCTCCTCGATACTGGTTCTTGTCTACCAGCTTCTTTTTGCATGTTAGTGATGTTAAATATAAATAAAGTGGTTTATTCTTAAGATATAATGAAAAATATGGTTAAATTACAATTTTTAAGTACTACTGGATAAAAAGAAAAATCAAGCTATGAGTAGTTATGTAAAATGTATCAATATGATACGATTTTCAGATATTTCACTTGAAAATTTATTTTTACACGTTTTATAATCGATTGGGGTCGTAAGTGACACCTGATATATGAAAAAAGACATACTTCAATATTATACTTCATATTTTAACTCGTATAAATTAACATATGAGCCTCTAGGCTCAGAAGAGGCCACGTGCCGTTTCTGCACAGAATATGAAGAAACCCTGGTCCATCTCCTGTATCACCTCGAAGGTTTGGCGGTATCAGATATTAGGAATCACAAATCCAACAAAAAAAAGTTACATGCAGAGCCCTGAGTCAATGCTATTGAGTCTGTTTAAAGGATCAAGGTTAGGCACGGCGCTTGGGGGAATCACAATAGACTCATTTGGGTCGTAGTCACGTTTAGGATAGCAATTGTAATAACCTGTATGGAATTTATAAAAGGTTACAAAACGAGTCATTTCTCAGACTAATTGAACCATACCGAAGTTTTGTTGTCAAAATGGCAATAAAATCAACATAATACGATTTCAAGTGACATTCATTTACACATGTGTTTTTGCTATCATTATTTGCAAAAAAGAGAAGAGTTGCTTCTCAATGGAATATTACGGTCAGTCATGATTTCCTGAGTTAGTAGTAGCAATATTTTATGCTCTATTTATTTTTTTGTAATTGCAGGTAGTGTTACGAGCACTAAAGGATAAGTTGGACGTTAAACGCACACCAGAAAGTAGATTAAATGTCGATGCAATCGATGAGGAGGACAATGGTCCGGTAGAATTTAACGAAGATGTATCTGGATTCATTTCCGGGCTAACTGAAACCTCTGAGGGGGAGCTCAAAAGAGTCTTGCCCATGATACGCAGGTACGCATATCATTCTGGAACGCTATTATTTAAAAAATGCATAAAGTATGTTGACTCTGTACTTCCCTCGCAATTCTGGACAAATGGACTTTGAATATGCAGTATGTATATTGTGTTTAAAAATATATAATGCGACGGCTATAAAAATTGTGACATATCACCGTAGAGAAGAATGAGTATCAGTGTCAAACAAACAGCATTACATATCTCTGTTTCTCAAGAATAGTGACACTATTCAAAACAAGCTTCTTTCAGGAGAGGCATTTTTAATATTGTTTGAAGAACAATTTTGGATAACTGAAGATAAAGTTAATAATTTGGATTTAGAAAAATTATCAATTAAATAATGTTTATTGAACTTTCAGATTTAGTTAATAAAAGATCAGTGTTTTCTAAAATATCCCATTTTATTACTTTTTTGCAACTTTACAGGAATGTGCTATTATTCCTAAAAAAATAATTCTTTTCTAAAAAATATATGACAATTAATTCGTGGTTACAGCACAAAGAGAAAACATTTATTTTAGAATTACTACCAACGATACACAACTAACAACATTTTAAAGGCTATGTGGAACTAAAAAATCAAAGGTGAGTACAAAAAAAGTACAATACAAAAATTGGTTATAAATTATTGTAAAATGATGGTATTATATTTTTTTTTTCTAAATTAAGTAAGTCCGTTTTCTTTTTCTCGGAAATGGGAATCTTACGTTTGTATGCTTTATTCAAAGTAATTCTAGGTTCTCTTTTTGTAGCTTCGATGTCCTTAGATCTTTTATAAGATTTATTTTCTACCTCAACTTTTCGAAAATCAGTCTCACTGTATGAGTTTTTGTACAAAAATGTTCCAGAATGTTGAGATTCTACCCTTATTATTTTAACAGTTTGAATGACTCATTTTCCGAATTTTTATGTTGTAGGAAGATAGTCACAATGCACTTTATGTCACTATTCTTGATTAACACTATCAGTTATTAGCGTACTTTGATCTAATATGTCGTTAATCTTGAGAAAAATGTAAGGATACGCTTTGAAAGTCACAATGTGCCTTACAGCGAATACTAGACAGTTTCATCAAATTTTTTTATCAATTTAGCCACGTACTTATCGTTAATATTTTTGGCTGGATGTAACGCACTAAACAACCGGCAATAGCTCTTGCAATGCTCCCATTTCGGTAAAACAGTTTTGTTATTTCTACCCTTTCTTGAATTGAAAAAGTCATTGTTCAATCACAACTAGGTAGGTATCTTAACAATTTGAAAAGAAAGACAAAGTTACGATGATACTGACCGGTGCTAAATGTTCTTGCTGGTATCCATAATTATTATTATTTAGCTTCACAACGATTGAAGATAGGTATAAACTTGATTATACAAAAGTTACTAAAAACTTCATAAAAAATCGAAAAATTAAAAAAATGGTAAATTTAAACATCTAAATTGTAACGCAGTATCTTATTTTTGGATCACCCTGTATTGTACAGCTATAGATGAAAAGACGTCCCCCTAGAATCACAAATGGGAATGCGACCTTTCCGTTGGGCCACCCTGTATGTAATTTTCTTATGGTTTAGTTATGAGTTATCTTTGCCATTAAGAAAAGTGACATATAAATCCGAACATCCAGTATAAATGGTTTTATTTTAATAAAATTTTGTATAAGTACTTAATGAAGCATAATAAGTAAATGATAAAAATTTCAAAATGATTGCACTGCTTTAAAGCCCTTTGACCTTTAATAATGTGTGGATGCACCCTGATGTGCTACGCATTCTCCAACGCGCCTAGGCATGCTTCTGATCAGGTGGTCAATGTCCTCCTGTGGTATCTCATTCCAGGCAACCACCAACTCCTCTCGAAGTGCTTCTAGAGTCTGAGGAGGACGTTGCAAATTGAGCAATCTCCTACCCATCATATCCCACACGTGCTCAATTGGGGATAAGTCGGGAGATCTTGGTGGCCATGGTAACAATGTGACATAATTATGTTGAAAGAAGTCTATTGTGACTCTTGCAGCATGTGGTCGGGCATTATTTTGTTGGAAAGTTGGATTTGCCAGGGTGTCAAGATACTGTAAAAGATGGGGTTCTAGAACTTCGTGGATATAACGCTGCGCGTTCATGTTACCTCTGATGAAGATTAAAGGTGATCTGGAACCATAAGCTATAGCACCCCAAACCATAACTCCAACAGTGTGATGAACATGTCTTTCGACAAAAAACTGTGGATTCCTCCTTTCACCACGTCGCCTTCTAACCCTGGCACGACCATCCTGCATGCCTAAACAAAATCGAGACTCGTCACTAAAGACAATACTGTTCCATTCCAGATCCCAGAGTGACCGTTGTCTGCACCACTCAAAGCGATTACGTCGGTGTTCCCGAGTTAAAGGGAGGACCCAGTGTGGCCGGTATGAAAACAAGCCAAAACTTCTTATCCGTCGGTAAACACTTCGCATGCCATTAGGTCTTCTGTGTTCTGGAAACCATTCATTTGCAATGGACCTGGTAGTGGAGAAACGGTCCCTTAAGGCCAATAATCTTAGGCGGCGATCTTCACGGGCGGTTGTTCTACGGCGGCGTCCAGTGCCCCTTGCTCTTTGCGTACGGCCTTCTCGAAGCCATGCCTGACAACACCTAACCACAGTGTCTACACTTCTTTGCACTCTAACTGCAATTGCCCGAAAAGAAAGTCCAGCTTCCCGAAGTCCCACTATACGGCCCCTATCAAACTCACTAAGTTGACGAAATCGTACAGGTCTCCGTACTCTAGGCATCGTAACCGATCGTAAAGGATGTCAAGAACCAAAATCCGCCAACGTTGATTCTTTACTGTGGCTGAAATATTCATTTTTAGAGCGTTAGTGAATTAAAAAAAAAGCAGTATAAAAACCGGAATGTTCAACTGATAAGGCTGAAAATATTTTCACTTGTTATTTACAGTAAGATAAATACATTCACTAACTTTTATTAAAATAAAACCATTTAAACTGGGTGTTCGGATTTATATGTCACTTAGTATATTCTGCAACAAGCAAAATAAATCCTTTTGTTCACAGTCGTAAGTCTTTGAGTAGACCACCGAAGCGATACGATGTGAACTACGTATTCGGAGACTTTCATCATTCTAAGTTCGCGGAGGTATTGGCTAAAAAGGCATCTAAACAAAAAGCGGATCCGTTGAAGGCGACTGGCAATGACCGATTAAAGGTAAGGTTGTTGTCAATATACTCTGGTATCAAAATCGAAGTGAGTAGCGCTATTCAAGGCCTTATCCCTTCGTTTTGGCACCAGACTACAGTAAGTTTTATTTTATCTTAAGACTCCGCAAATAACGAGCATTAGAGAAAGTATAATTTTCGATCATATCTGGCGTTTTCATTCAAAGCAAGTTTAAGCAGAAAGATGGAGACGCTTTTGCGGGAATGGAGATGTAACCGTTTTACGACAACAGTCTGTTGCCACCTAGTATGCCAACGCTGGTACATCAGACCTAACATGGAAGATGCAGAGAAGCCCCGACGCCTACCAGCAAACCTGACAGCACGCTCGAAGAACCGAAACCTATCATAGACAACCCGTCGATCAGAGCGGCCACCAAGGGTCCACCAAAATTAAACTCCGGGGAGGACTGGTATCGACAGCTACACCAGTGCTTCCCATAGATAGCTAGGTGTGTCGATGATTGCAAATTGATGAGCGGCTGGAGTGGTGAAAGTGGTTGCATTAGTGTTTCTGATATCAAGGTGTGTCGACGATTGAAAATTGAAGAGCGGGGGGAAAGAGTGGCGGCAGCTAGATTAGTGCTTCTGAGCGGCTGGAAAGGTTCCGGTGGTTGCACCAGTGTTTCTGAGATCAAGGTGTGTCGACGATTGAAAATTGAAGAGCAGGTGGAAAGGTGGCGGCCGCTAGATTAGTGCTTCTGAGGGCGGGTTGTGTCGACGATTGAAAATTGATGAGCTGAGGAGAGGGGTAGCAAAATCTGCATCAAAGCTCCTGAGAGCTAGGTGTGACGATGATTAAAAATTGATGAGCGGCTGGAGAGGTGCCGGTGGTTGCATCAGTGTTTCTGAGAACAAGCTGTGTCGAAGATTGAAAATTGAAGACCGAGGAAGGGTGGCGGCAGCTAGATCAGTACTTCTGAGAGCGATGTGCGTCGATAATTGAAAATTGAAGAGCCAGGGGAGCAGTGACAGCGTCTGCCTCGGCGCATCTGAGAGCGGGGTGTGTCGACGATTGAAAATTGAAGAGCGATGGCAGGGGTGAATGTAGCTGCCTCAGTGCTTCTGAAACCAGAGTGTGTCAACCATTGTAAATTAAAGAGTGGGACGGGTGGTGGCAGATGCATCAGTGCTTCTGAGAGTGGACCGTGTCGAGGATTGAAAATTGACAAGAGAGGAGGGGTGGCAGCGGCAAGATTAGTGCTTCTGATAGCGGGGTGAGTGAATGATTGTAAATTGAAAAGCGAGGGAAGCATTAGTGCCTCTGAGGACGGGGTGTGTGAATGAATGTTAATTGTGGTGATGATTAAAAGTTAAAGTGCGAGGGGAAGGGTTGAGGCGGTTGGATCAGTGCTTCTGAGAGCGGAGTGTGCCGACGATTGAAAATTAAAGAGCAAGGGGAGACGAGGTGCATCAGTGCTTCTGAGAATGGACTGTATCGAGAATTGAAAATTGAAGAGCGAGAGCAGGGGTGGGAGTGGCTAGATCGGTGCTTCTGATAGCGGGATGAGTGAATGATTGCAAATTGAAGAGCGAGGGAAACGGTGGGTGCGGCACCATTAGTGCCTCTGAGGGCGGGGTGTCTGAATGATTGTTAAGATAGGGAAGAGGGATGATGGCGGTTGCATCAATGCTTTTGAGAGCGGGGTAAGTTGACGATTGAAAGTTAAAAAGCGAGGGGAAGGGTTGCGGCGGTTAGATCAGGGCTTTTGAAAGCGGGGTGTGCCGACGATTGAAAATTGAAGAGCGAGGGAACAGGAGCTGCATCAGTGCTTCTGATAGCGGGACGAGTGAATGATTGTAAATTGAAGAGCGAGAGAATGGGTGGCTGCGGCAGCATTAGTGCCTCTGAGGGCGGTGTGTGTGAATCATTGTTAATCGAAGAGCGGGGAGAGCGGTTGCATCAGTGCTTTTGAGAGCGGAGTGTGTTAACGATTGAAAGTTGAAAATGCGAGTGGAAGGGTTACTGCGGTTAGATCAGTGCTTCTGAGAGCGGAGTGTGCCACCGATTGAAAACTGAAGAGCGAAGGGAGCTGTATCAGTGCTTCTGAGAAAAGACTGTGTCGAGGATTGAAAATTGAAGAGCGAGAGGAGGGGTCTGAGCGGCTAGATGACGGGATGAGCGTATGATTGTAAACTGAAGAGCGAGGGAATGAGTAGCTGTGACAGCAATAATGCCTCTGAGGGCTGGATGTATGAATGATTGTTAATTAAAGAGCGGAGAGAGGGATGGTGGCAGCTTCATCGGTGCTTCTGAGAGCAGGGTGTGTTGACGATTCAAAATTAAAGAACGATGGGGAGTGTTGCAGTGGCTAGATTAGTGCTTCTGAGTGGGGTGTGTCAATGATTGGAAATCACAGAGCGAGGGAAGGGGTGGTGGCGGTAGCATTAGTGCTTCTTAGGGCGAGGTGTATCGATGATTGTAAATTGAAGAACACGGAAGGAGTGGTGGCAGATGCATCAGTGCTTCTGACAGCGGGATGTGTGAATGATCGTGAATTGAAGAACGGGGACAGGGGTAGCGGCGGCTAAGTCAGTGCTTCTGAGACCATGGCCTTTCGACGATTGCAAATAGAAAAGCGAGGGGAGGGGTGGAGGTGGCAGGTTCAGTGCTTCTGAGGGCAAGGTGTGTCGATGATAGAAAAATTACGAGCGGATCCAGTTGTGACAATTTAAGAGGAGGGGGGGGTATATAAATATTAGTGACATTCCAGCGGATTTTTCTTATTCTAGTCACTTGGGAGGGGAATCTCCTCTAGGTCGCTTCCGTGGATCTGCCACAGGTTCCATATGATTGATGGGTTGTTTATGATGGTTGACAATAGCTTCTGTTGTTCGAGAGGAATGTTTTTCAGGTTTGTCAGAAGGCGCATTGGGCCCTTCTACATCTTCGACGTTAGGTCGGATGAATCAGCATTGACACACTAGGTGACAGCATTCACCTCCTTTCTGAAGGTCTTTTAGACGTAGAGATACGAAAACCTCAGAACCCAGGAAGGCTGAATGAAGATGAGTATTTTATTAGTTTTGCACATCTGCTTCCATGATTTGTTCTATTAATTATATACTGTTAATAAGCAATATCCCATCACTGTTTTTATTTGTATTTTGTATGAGTAGTACTTGTCGTATACGGTTGCCTACCACAACAGGTCATTTGACCGGTTATGGCAGAAATAGACATGTAAGTGCAGGTCTGCTTATTTACTAGTTTTTTCATCTGTTACTTTCTGTTGTTCCGTCTCCAAAACGTACTATACATTGCTGGTCATGGTTACAGAGACGGAAAGCAAACAGACCCGATTCAGCACAGTGCTGCCATTTCCACTCACTACGAAAATAACGTACGACTTATAAGTATATGAACTTGTTTACAAAGGATGAATGCAATGAGGGACGAGGTAGGAGCTCAAAACCCAAAACGCTTCCAACTAGACAACCTGCCCCACCTTTCACCTGTGAAAAGCCGGAACCGCAAATTGTCAGGAGGGTTGCCAAGCATCCTGGGCATCACAAGCATAAGAACAGGAGGAACTTCAAACTGGAGACGACTTCTAATAGTGAGACCATTACTACGGAGAGGTGAGAACTGAACATACATTTTGTCCCATTATTCATGAAATTTCAATTAAAGCTTTAACCGGTACTTTTGTCTTTCCTCTTTTTTGCTGTGTTTGAAATAAGGTTTGCCTTGTTTTGTATTTACTTTTCTTTTGCATTGCAAAGTCAAATCACTGTTAATTGTCAGAGGGTCTCACACTTTTGGTCTTGTATGGTATCACTTTGTACAGGTCTGTCCGGTAACAGACAATGTACAGGAATACCTCGATACCCGCATTAGTTTTTCTGTTGTTTATACTGTTCATCAATGACTTTTATGAGACAAGGGAATTTGAAAAGTATCCTGCGCGCAAATCTTTTAAGATTTCTTGGGCAATCTTATTTATATTCCAACTGTCTCTACTATAGGGCTGATTATGTATGATAACTATGGTAGATAAATGACTTTGATTTTTGACCTCTTGAATCTGGATGAAATTTCCACACAAGATTATTACGATGCCAAGCACGAATAAGCTTTGTAGTTTTGGAAATCGGTCCAGTGGCAGTAGAGCTACAAGGTACAAAAACGAAAAAAAAAATGCTCATGACCATTTTTGGTGGGGGTTGAAGATTTGGGGTTGGCGGTTATAGAAGGTGGACGAGAGTATATCTCAATTTTTTGACGTTAGAATATTTTTCTACCAGCGTGTAGACAGTAGCATTTTTCCACACGCATAATCTTTCCGCTTAAGTGCTAGTTTCTGTATGCAGATGCGCATTGAAAGTGAGTACTTTCCGCACGCTGTTAGAAAAAATCTTATACCTAACACTTGCGGAAATTGATACTTTTTCGCACGCGATGGCAGTTTCACGGACAACGCGAAACAAATAACTATTATATTCTCCCAACCTCAATATTTCTACGCACCTATTAGACATATTCCACACATCATAGATTTTCCAGTACATTTGCTCTTAAACCTTAGAGAAACGTTTTCGATACGCGTCGCTGCTTCCGTACTCTGTGCTCACCGGCGGGCGTGCCAGTCTTGATAAGTGTCCTCGCATTACTGCCGCTGAGGCGCTATGCCGCGTCTGACGCGTCGAGCGGTTAGGTATGGCGAGAAGCAACCTTGCCAGATGGACGTTACTGCCTTTAAGGCCGGGAAAGAATGTCTATGGACTGATTGTATGGGATTGTTTCATTGACCTTATCGGTTTATTTTTTTTTTTGGTTATATGTTCGTAACTAACTTTTTTCTCAGAAGGTCTAACTTGCGCTGAACTTAATCCTTTATGAACTGATGACGGAGTTGTGTGGGAAGTGCACAGTCCAACCTACCTGATGCCATTTTTAAAAGGACCTATCTGATATGAAGTGAGATATAGATCATGCGATCTGAAAAGATACAACTTTGATATTGCGCAAAATAAGTACCATATTCTTGAAGAATCAATAATTTTTTTTTAGAAGTTTTCATTTACGAGCGTTTCTCCGACTACGCATAATCAGCATTGGTGGTATAGAAAAGCGGGTAGTTTTCCGGATAAGAGAAAACATAACTTTAATAATAACTAAAATTGGATCTACATTATCAAGCTCAAGAAATATTTCTGTTGGTGTACCAACAGGTATTTAGTATACGTCCACTACTATTTATTTTATACATTACTGACATTTGTAATATTTTATATTATTGTAAAATTCAGATATTTGCAGATGATTCATTAATATCAGATGAAAATATAGACACTGCTTTAAAAATGCTCAATTCTGACTTGACAAAAATCATATATTCGTTAAATGTAAATAAACTTAAATTGAATACTTCTAAAACAAAAATGTATACTTATAGGGAAATACCTAAATAAAAATACTATCACAGTAAGGATAAATGGTTTGATGATCACTATGAATACAATATTTCAAAAATTGTCAAAGACACAAATTACTTTTATAGGGCTTCCAGCAGGGACGATGGAAAAATGAACCCACGTCGTCCCTGTCGGTTAGCCCCTCAACTAGTAAAAGAAAGAGACAGATGATACTGCTCCGCTGTGTACGAGGGAGACAAAAGTTTTTACCTGAGTCACGTTGTACTTGTAAATTACACAAGAGAAACAAAAATTTATTGTTATTTTCCGACCGAAAAAATTTGCCATTTCAATTTGGCAAACGATGCACCAAACACCCTGTATAACTAGCAAATAAATATTTCATGATCACTTGAATTTAATAAACTAAATAATGATATAAAGTCTACTTGTAATTTAAAGATTTTTAAAAGAAAATTAAAGGAATATTTCATGAACAGTGAAAATTCTTAGACATGTAAATTTTGTTTTTTCTAAATATCTGTATGTTATGTAATTGTTTATTTTGAAACGAATGTAATTGTAGCAATCATGCTAAACAAACAACAACAAAAATCTCTTATGATATGTTTCTAAAATCAGTTTTTTACAGTTGGATTTATATTGAAAAGAGAAAAATCGATTCTTGATTAGTCGATGTTTTCATTTCATAATTTTTCAATGATCAAAATTACATTTAGTTGTTGATGAAATATGGTTACATTTTGTATCGTTTGCCTTGTAAATGGATTTTCTGTTGGTCAAGAGGATGTTACGATGAAAAAATCTTATTCTCATATTCTCTTGTAGGTCAAAGTCCGAAGGTGAGTTAACCTCCTGCTCGTGCGTGGTGAGCAACGGAGAGCTGCATAGCTGTCGGTACGACCAGTTCCACCGTATGAACCCACCGATCTTCAACGATACCGATGAGTTGGTGACCACCATCAGGAAGAAGAGAAGCTATTTCAACAACTGTGTGACGTACTATTTGAAGCGCACCCCTATTCCTGGACCTCCGTATAGTTCGAATAGGAATGTTCATCAGGAACTCAACGATGCCAGCATCTCATCCAACACAACGACTTAACAATCACTGTCTCAGCGATATCATAACGTACCCCAGCAACTTTCATCAATACCTTCCCTCTAGCGTTAGCTCGTTGTCAACAGGACAATATCAACAGTGGCCAATTTGCCATTTTATGTCATGTTATTGAAATTGTAAATTAATGTAACCTTTAAGTACTTTATATACTTTATCAATAAAAATTATGTAAAGTTATATTTGGTTTATTTGTCACAATGTGCAAAGGAAATTAAAAGTGAAAAAATAGGAGATATACAGGGTGTAAACGTTATTTAAATAGGTGATGGAGGGGGTTAAACGAACCAAAAAGTTTCATATAACATGGGGGTCAAAACGGCATTTTCTTAGAGAAAAACGACTTTAAAGTAAAATAAAATCTGACAACGCTGCAATGCTAGACGCAAACTACGACGGAACGTAGTGTAAATAAAGATAGAGTTTGTTATTTTTGGATCTTGGGTATTATTTTATTATTTGATAATGTACTCGTAAAATGCAAACAATTAAAAAAACGGAGTTCCCACAAACTGTCTCAGCGCTTCACTTGGTGTATGAAAGTTTATTGAACGTATTAAAAAAATCCACTTATAAATAGGGAACACAATTTTGATACATACATTGTTTTTCTTTTTAAAACCCACACTGCACTTTTTTGTATTTAAGAAGAAATGTCGTCCTCCACTTTTCACACAAGCTTCATTACGACGAACCCAGTTTGTTCTTGCTCTAGGTCCTCGGAGTTGTCCATTTATTGTTTCAGCCGCATTAAAGACGTTTTCGCGAAGTTGTGCTTCAGTTGTTACTGGACCAGCCCCATTAACCATCCCTTTAAGTTCTCCCCAATACCAGAAATCCATCGGATTGAGGTCAGGAGATCTTGCTGGCCATTTTCGAGGATCATGAGCATTTCGACCATTCCAGCGATTTGGATAATGTTCATTCAAATACTGAATGACGCCTCTAAAAATGTGTGGTGGTGCCCCGACATGAAGAAACCACAAATTATGTCTCCGTTGTAATGGCATGTTGTCTAAGGTATGTTCAAAAAGTTCTGGTAGGTTATTGGCTAGAAAGCTGAGGTATTTTTTTATTTTATACATAAATGATTGACCTGCCATAGTCAAAAAATGGAAAATTCAGATTTTCGCCGATGACACTATGATTTATATACTTATTTATATACTATAGACTTCGAAGTTGAGTCATTTATTTTAACAGTGAGTAGATCTGATCAAAAGAAATGTTTTTTCCTTTAACATTTTTGTGGTAAAATTAAAGTAACAAAGTTATAGCCCTTTAGAAGTTTTAGTACCGCCCTGTCTCAATAATAATATTATGTGCTCGTGTTTGGCGACAACGGATATACTCCGCCTTATCGGTTCATCGCATCGGAAACAAAAAAGCGAAAGAATTTGAAACGCTGATCACGATGTTTTTATTCAGTCTGTGTCAGTCGGTAACGCGTGAGTGAATAGTGGTGTTTGCTGGGTGGCTCAAACGAAATAAAAAATGGCACATATTAATGCGGATCGGTTTCCCAATCGAGTGCAACCAACCCCTCGTGCCTTTGTTAATGTAGTACAACGGGCTCGTGAATCAGGTGACTTAAGACCTCACAGGGGACTGCATGCCGGTGCTCCAAGACCTCACGATCAAATACAGGTCCGCACTGAAATACTTGTCGGGAGGATACTTTATAAAACAATGTAAAAAAAAAAATTATTTTTTTTTTATTTTTACACACATATTTTGGTTTATCTTCCTTCTACAATCATTATCTGAAAATTAATGACTCAACTTCAAAGTCACCCTGTATAAGTACTAAAAATATTCAGTCTGGTATCTCTTGTATAAATGCAGACTTGAAACTTATATCAAAATGGTTAGCATCTAACAGACTAAAATTAAATACAAGTAAAACGAAAGCCTTGTTAATCGGAAAAAACAATGTAATATGAATATTGATGGTGAAGATATTGAATTCGTAGAACATTTTAAATACCTGGGGGTTTTTGTTGACCCTCGACTAATTTTTGATATTCATTATGAAAAAGTTATAAAGAAGATTAGTAGTAATGGGATATTTATCGAGAGTTTCTGGATGTCTGACTTCATATAGCAGAAAAATTATCTATAATACCATCATTCTTCCAAATTTCTTGAACTGTTCGACTATTCTATATTTAGCAAATAATTCCATTTTTGAAAGAATGCAAATTTTACAAAATAAGCGCATGAGAATAATACTAAATAAAGATAAATATACTCCAATTAGGCAAATGCTTAGCAAATTAAAATGGCGCAATGTAAAAAATGTTATCAAATATCGTGTAATTATATTCATTTATAAAGTAAAAAATAATATATTTCCATCAAGTCTAACTAATTTAACATCATCAAATGTCGACCATCATTTACATAATACCAGAAATAAAGATGACTTCTATTTAATGACCAAAAAGTATAACATATGCTACAAATCTGTATTCCATCAAGGGTTGATTGAATATAATAAATTATATCTACTCAGAGATAAAAGACCAGAAAGCTTTGCCAAAATTTAAAGTAAAATTGAGAAATCACTTGTTAAATCTACAATTATAGGTTGCCCAGCATTTACATCATACACCATATGGCTTAAATTTACTAGTTCTAAGTTGTTTACAATTATTCTGTTTATGTAGCCAAATGTGCTAAATAAATCTTTCTACTACTACTATCCTTCTCCTGACAACTTTGGGGGTAACTCGAAAGGGTCAAATCGTCAAGAATACCCGCCCAAATATTTATTTTAAAACGTTGTTGGAAATGACCTTCGCGAATGGTATGAGGATTTTCTTGGGCTCACATGTGAGTATTATGGAAATTTATTATCCCGTCTCGCGTAAAAGTACATTCGTCCGCCGCTAGAATGTTTTTAAAAAAATCCGGATTTTCAATGTTTTTGTGCAAAAACCACTGACAGAATGTTAGTCTGCGAGGATAGTCTTCTGGTAACAAGGACTGCACTCGTTGTACATGGTAGGGATAAAGCAAATTTTCTCGTTGGATTTTATGGACTATGGTATGTGATAGTCCTACGCGGCATCCTAATTCCCGAGTGCTGATATTTGCATTGATTTCCACGATATTTGAAATTTGTTCTTTGCTCTACATTAACCTGTCTTTCACGAGTGCGAATATTAGTGGGCTGAACACTTCCTGTATCTCGAAGTCTTTGGTACACTTGCACAAATGTCCTTCTGTCTGGGTGTACCCGTTGGAGAAATCTGTCGGGATTCTGACGAGCTTCACCGTAAACTAACAACATGTCGGCGAACTCTTGATTCGAGAACATTGTAAATCAATCAACACGACGACGTACGCGAACAAAAACAAAACAATACACCAACCACTAAACTGCTGTCTTAGTTCGGGTCTAAAGGTCGTCGTTGGTTGGAATGTATTCCTAACGTTTCGTTAGCACGAGTGGCAAGCTTCTTCAGAGGTCCTTCCATTTCCGATGCTAAATGTAGACAGTCTTCTCATAGCCTGCGCAAGGTTCCAATTCTTGCTTAATTATTGTCGACCAAGATTTTTGTAAAATAGAATTTTTTACTTGCTTCATGCTTGTGATATTCAACAAGCCACATTCTTGAAATTAATTTCTTTAAACAATCAACGAAGTTTCAACCATTAGCAAATTGATCTAAAATTTGCTCTAATAACAAACGTCTGTAATTGCGTTTTGAATTCTGTAAAACTCCTTGATCCATTGTCTGAATCAGTGACGTTACATTAGGAGGCAAAAACATCACTTGTATTTCTCCACTTTCAAGTTGCTCCTCACTTGGGTGGCTCGGAGCATTGTCTAGTAGCAAAATACATTTTCCCGGATATTCAAAATGAATGTAAAACCAGACGTTAAATACAGCGGCATCCATCCAGGCATTTTTTGATTTTTATACCACACTGGAAGAGCGTTAGGCCGGCGTGTTTAAATGCTGAGTTTCCGATTAACAACAAAGCCAGTTTGTGTGTACCGGAAGCATTGCTTCAAGCAAAGATAGTCACACGTTCATTACTGCGTTTCTAACCGGGAGCTCCAGATTCTTGTTTTGAAGCTAAGCTTTTCGCCGGTAACATTTTATAGTTTAGGCCCGTTTCGTTGTAGTTGTAAATTTGTTCTGGATTTAAACTATACTGCTTGATTAATTCTTTAAAATGATCTCCAAATTTTCATGCAGCGGACTTATCGGCAGATAACTTTTCTCCGCAAACTTTCAATTCCCTTATACCGTGTTGTTTCATCACTGGATGTAAAGTTATCAGACGCCTCAATAACTGGCAATTCTTCACTTGAGTTGACTGCCTTTTGCTTTAGAATTGGTCCGGAAATTTGTATTCAACGTTCTCGATTCTGTTCATCCACTTTTTGATATTTCCCCTTTTTCCTAGTTTTCCGTGACGGCTGCGATGATGTCAGAGCACTAGACCACTTTTCAATTTTCTCGCGTTGTTTTTTTTCATTCTGAAATGATACTCACGCCCACACCCAAATCACTTGCCACGTTTTAAAGCAAATCACCTCTATCTAACCGTCTGATTGCCCCAAGTTTCTGTTCTATGGTAATAACAAAGCGTTTACGTTTATTTATATGTTGCTCCATCTTAGCGATTATGAAACTGACTGAAACAAACATACACGTACACATACCGGTGAATTCCGCAAACGCGCTTGGGGAATCACAGGCAGCGAATCTAAACTGAATCCAAATTCAAGATGAGATGTAAATAATAACAGTTAGCGCGTGATCTCTCGGTAACAGGTGGGGACAACGCCTCTTATTGGTCAATTCGCCATTAAATTTCAAGCGGTCGCCTGGCGGAATAATGCGCGGGGCAGGGGCAGGGCAGGCAGAGTTGCATTCAGGCCACTGTCCGTCGCGTGTATCACTGCGTGCTCGTGTTTTCGTATTCACCTTGCTTGGTTGTTGCTGTTGTTGTTGTTAAGTTTATTTGAGTAATTTGTTAAGTTTATGTTTCTGTTAAATACTGTTATCTTCGTTTTACAACACGTTGGTGGTAGTCCATCATTCGGAGGTAGCCCTGAATGCGGCCCTGTACGCCGTCCTTGCTTTTGACAATCACGCATCCATTCTATCTTGGGTGTAAATACACTATAGTGACGCAAACGCCGAAAGGGGAACTACCGTCGGCTTTTTCGGGTCATGCACCGATTCCCCGAACAACTTCGGTTAAAACGGAGAAATTATTGTATGCGATCTGTTTCGGTTAAAGCGAATTTCGGATAATCGCGATTCGGATAATCGAGGTTCTACTGTAGTTTTATTGTCAAGTAGTTTATAAAAATATCAGGCTACTTGACTTGTTAAATCTCTACACATAAACAAAACATACTGTCATTAACAGTCATTGTTCTTGAAAAAGGCCACCGTGGTGGCCGAAACGTCGTACAATAGATAGAAATTGAATCATTTGTGTTTTCATTCGTCCAGACCAGAGTTCCCCAAACTTTTTTGTGTCGTAGACCCCTTGCCATGTTTTCCCGTGTTGGGTAGACCCCCTACTTACCTGATATTGATTTCCTGTAAATTTCTAAGTATAGTGAAGTTTAGTGTTAAAAATTCAAAGTAAAAATACATGTTAATTTATACATTTATTAATTGAATTTAAATTAAAACTATTCAAAATAAAATTTTGTATCTGTTATGTAAAATATACGTAACATTAAATAAACAGGTGACTGACCAATACGTGCCCGCATTGGGAATAAGTGCCCGCATTGAAAAAAAAATAAGAGGGATAAAATAAAAAAAAAGTGAAAAATAATTTAAAAAAAAGTTTTTTACTTAAAATAGTACAATAAGCGAGTTCGTTTATTAATTATAACATAAACGTATGTTCTACAATAATTTCACTGTTAGTTTGATTAAATTCCGCTTCTTATACGTTTAAGTTATCTAAAAATAGGCAAAAAATTAACGAATTTTAGTGTGTACCTATCCTTGAATTTTCAGAATAATTTTAAAAAAAATATTTTCTATAAAAGGGGGTTCTTTAAAAAAATCAATGCGGGCACTTATTCCCAATGCGGGCATTTATTGGTCAGACACCAATAAACATAAAATAAACTATAAATAAAATAACATAAGCAATAAGTCAATATTTGAGGATGAACCTGATGCTTTAATAATAAATTATCAAGATTTGGCGGCAATTTTGTAAGGGTTAATCTTAAATCTCCTCGGCTAATGATGTCCAGTCTGTTTCTTTTTTTCGTTAGGAGATTGGTAACAGCGCTGAACCCCCTTTCCACTAGGAATGACGATGGAAAAGAAATTAAAAATTTCCTCGCTATATTCCATAATACGGGATAAGTAACGGGTATGTTGTTTTGCAGCCAGAATTGCTGATATCCGTTTTTAAACTGAACCTTAAGTTCTTCGTTTGTACTTAGTTCAGTCAGTTCCTCTTGTATTATAACATTCGTTTCTTCTATGTCACCATATGGATTAACTATCCACGGTGGTATTACCATAGTCAAAATATCCTCAAACCTAGATTCAAAATCTGAATAGAGGGCATTTATACGTAAATGTTGAACGTAAGTTGAAACGTCGTCTTCCTGGTAGCTTGTCTGTGACAAATTGGGGAACTGAGAAAATTCGCCCCGTCCAATATTTTGATTCATTAGTTTAACTTTGGCAAGAAACGCTGATAAGATGGACTTTGTTTTAATCAAATTTAAACTGTCGCCTTGTAATTGCAAATAAACCATATTAAATTTTGTAAACAAATCTGTTAAATAGGCGATGTCTGTTTTCCTCTTCATTAAATTTTCTTTTAAAATTTTATCTTTAGTATCCAGAAATTCTAAAATAGTCTCAAAAAGTGCAAAAAATCTTGTCAAACATAAGCCTTTCGACAGCCAGCGTACTTCAGTGTGAAGGAGTAATTGATGAAAGTGTTTCATTTTCTTCACACAACTGCGCAAATAACCGCGTATTCAACGCGTTGCTTCGGATGCATCAATGACTAAATGAAGTGATTCATGCAATCTAACACTCAAATTTTTAGCAACTAAATGTTGTCGATGGATGACGCAATGTATTGCTAACACCCCTGACACATTTTGTTTTAAATAGATTATAAATCCACGATAAAGTCCAATCATTGCAGGTGCTCCATCTGTAGCTACTGATATTATATTTGATAAAGGAATTGCTTTTTCAATGAAGTAATCCTTCAAAACATGAAATATTGATTCACCTTTAGTGTCGGTTATCAAAGTTCTTGCGAAGAGTAGTTCTTCGTAGATTTCTTGATTCATAATAAAATGAACATATGCCCATAATAATGCTGCATTATCAAGTACAGTTGACTCCAGTTGTATAGAGAAATGGGTCGTTTGCAAATAATTACATAAGAAGCTTTCAATATCAGAACTCATTTCATCAATACGTCTTTCAACAGCATTGTTGCTTAAGGGAATTCTTTTAATGATATCAGATGCAGGTTTGTGTAAAACAGTTTTTAAAACCTCTTCAACGGCTGGCAAAATTAACTTCTCTCCGATAGTATGCGGTTTTCCGGATTTTGCTATAAGTAACGAGATATTGTAAGATGCCCGCAAACCATCATCATTTCTTTGTGACGTCGAAGGGAACATTCTGTCCAGTGTAGGTCTCTTCTGAAATTTATCTTTGAGTGTTTGAAAGTATTTCAAATCTTTCTCTGTTTTATTAGGGTGGCATCTTCTCAGATGATCTTGCAGTTTAGATGGTTTCATAGCGTCATTGCCCAAAACTTTGTTGCATAAAAGGCACATAGGCGATTGTTTGTCCGGCAATGATGGAATGAAGCCAAATTTCAAATAATCAACACTGTACTGTCTACATTTCTTTCTGGATTCGGACATGGCATCATCATGCATGATTGAATATTTAACTACTAATAACTAAAGTCATGATTGGCGTAATTTATCTATTTTTGCTAACTACGAGTACAAAACTAAAATTTAATAAAAAATAATGTACTTACTTTTCTCCAGCACTCTCAAACAAAATAACACTGACTCACTATGATTTGTGTGATATACTATCTGTTAATATTTTTTAAAATATTTTCTTAGCACTTTCCTTTTCAAGATTCAGGAAACGAATAAACGTATTTGTCCCACATTCGTATTTATAGAGTGACGAATTGAACAAGTCAGTGCAAGGTAGCGAAGCTTCGAGACTGCGACTCTCAGGTTTTTACAAGTTCAAAATGTATTGCGACCACAAAGCGAATACCAACATCCTTCAACTTACACAATTTTATAAACATATATAATACATTTTTTACTTCATAGGTACTTTCATAAATAATGTATATGTTTTGATATTATAAGATAGTATGATGTAAGTAAATAGGTACTATCAGTGTATGTGTTGAAATCCACTATCGTGGACCCCCATATTCATTTCATGGACCCCCACATTTTTTTTCGCTGACGTAGACCCCTTGCAGGTTGTCATAGACCGCTAGGGGTCGATATAGACTACTTTGGGAATCAATGGTCCAGACAATGCCGTCCTATTGTTATGATCATGTTTCGTCCTTATCCCAGATCTACGCCACTGTCCACCGACGCCGACGCATCGAGGGCTGCTGTAAAAATCCCGGCGTGCTGATCCTTGCATCCGCAGTTTGCATGCTTACCTTCCCTGGAACTGACACGGTGATCCTTAGCCGCGAAAAAATTTACCTTCTTAATCGAACTTCTACCAAAGGGTGAGATAAAATCGTAAGATTGAAGCTTTCCTCAAATCGTTCGTTCGTACCTGATATGCGGGCATGAATAGTAAGCTGTATTTGCTGGTGTTTTTGTTTATTTTAAATGGGGGTAAGTTTGTTTAACATCCGATGATTTGATTTATTTTTCAAATTATGAATTTGACCAAGCATGCAGATTACGTATATGTAGATATCGTTAGATGACATGTCGAATATCTCGACCTACAGCGAGTATAACTCTAGGAAAAATGATGATGGATATATAGACAAGGAGCTGGTAGATAACAGTTATTATTTTGAAACGCAACCTATCAGGTAGCTCTTGGCATTGAAACGTGCTTTTTGAGTGACACTAAGCTTGTTTTTCAGATAATCAAAATTTATTTTACTATTCAGGCGTGTGTTTGTAAATCACTCGGTAATGTAATACAGTACGCAGTAATGGAATGTAGATTGGCAGATGAAATTTTACTCTGGAATACTGTGTTTTTATTTTTAAAACGCGTTAATTATTACAGAGTCATATAACGACACTTGATGACAGCCGACTGATTCCTAACCGCTCTTCTGCAACCCTTGCTTTCATTATAAGAAACGACATATCGTTATAGATAAGAGGTCAAAATCCTTTTTGTTATTTTAATGAATGCTTTGATATTATTGCAGCAAGAATATTATTCCTGATAAATTACTGTTTAAAATATGGCGAATTTCCAACAAAACTGAAGCGTTCTACCATAACTTCTAAAGTTAAGAATTGTGAGTTGAACACCAAAATGCGGCCAATAAATGATTTGCCAAATGATGAAAAAGTCTTTGAAGAAATTATTTACGAACAGATCATCGAATTTATTGAGGGAAATAAAATCTTAATCAAATATCAAGCTGGATTCAGGAAGAAACACTAAACTGAAACAGCAACACAAATGGTTTTAGAGGACTGGAGAATAGGAAACATACAGTAACAGTGTTTTTGGACTATTGACAGGGATAAATTACTTACAAAATTGCATCACTACGGATTTAAAGGGTCTGTATTCAAAATTCTACAAAACTATTTAATTGACAGAAGTCAAAAAACCAAAATTGGATCTCCATCATCAAGCTCAAAAAATATTTCTGTTGGTACAGCACAAGGTAGTAAACTAGGTCCACCCCTATTTATTTTACACATTAACCCATTAACGCCCGCTGTACTCAAACGAGTACACTCGTGTTTGTTCCTATCAGAGCCATCCCTGAGTCAACCACAGAAATACTACCTTTTATAAACATTTGTAGATGGTACATGCGACAGGCTACAAGAGCCATTTTTCATAAATTCTGTGAGTGTGACGTTGTTTACAGTATTAGAAGTTAGTGGTTATTTGATCTAAGGAAAGTTCGGCTTTTACATCATTTTTTCTCATTGAGGTGACCATCTAATAAACTAATCTTTTTATATTATGTATATGTAAAGGTTGTTTGATTAATTTGCCGGGCATAAATTATTTTAACTGATTTGATGTAATTAGAATGTATGTTCAGGTTTGACTGTACTCAAATGAGTACACTGGGCAAATTAGTTATCATTCGACTAATGCTATTTTTTGTATTAGATATCAGTAAACCGTTTTTTGATGATCCTGTTAAAACGTACGGGTATTACAATTTTCTGCCTGATGCTCTAGATCATTGTGGTCTTGCCTCCTGACGCACATTATTTGTCTGGCTAGGAGAAATTGGACGAAAACCAACTGATGGCAAATGGAATGCCACAAGATGTTTCTGGTCGCTTATAGCTGTTTCGCCAAAGTTCAGCTAATGACGAGTTCTACAGCAGCGACGAAGAGCCTTTGAGTGAAGTGCGAAAACGTATAAAAATAAATGAATCTAAACGCGATGACTTGGACTGGGAAAAATGCAATCCTAAATATTCCATTCGGTCTGAGCCGTCACCGTTATGTGAAATGAATGCCAATAGGGATAAACTAGTGGAAGAGATAAAGGATTTAAATCCAACACAACTATTTGAACTTTTCTTTGATGATACGGTTTTGCAATATATTGTCGATCATATATATTTATATGCATTACAAAATAATCGTCACAATTTCATCACCACCAAAGAAGAAATGAAAACCTTCATAAATTCGGACATTTTCCTGCGAAGCTAGAGAAGCAATTACGATGTGCAGTATGCCATTCAAGGGTTTGTCAACACTATGAATTGAACGTGCCTGCTTCAAGTTACATCATACAAAATAAACGCTTTCGCCCATTGTACTCAAATGAGGACAGATATTTTTTTGGAAAAAATAATAAAATATATATGGTTTTATGATCTTCAGTTTTTATTTTAGTCCTAATAACCTTACTTATATACATAATATCCGTTTTCGATGTTCAAACTTAATTTGGGCGTTAATGGGTTAATGACATTTGTAATATTTTAGATTATTGGAAAATTCAGATATTTGCATATGATACATTAAAATACAAATCAGATGAAAATATAGACACTGCTTTAAAAATGCTCAATTCTGACTTGACAAAAATTGCTTAAGTGTGAATAAACTTAAATTGAATACTTCTAAAACAAAATATATGCTTATAGGGAAATACCTAAATGAAAATAAATTAAATATTTAGGCATATATGTTACACTGATAGTAAACTAAAGTTTGATGATCACTATGAAAGCATTATTTCAAAAATTGCCAAAAAAAAAACACAAATTACTTTAATAGGGCTTCCCATAGTCTTTGTACATATTAAAAAAAAAATAGTTTATAATACAATTGAAGATCCCGGTGCAAAAACCAAGTAAGTCCAAATTTTTATCAAAACTTGCTTGTTCGAATATTCTAAGTATTTGGATCAATGCGGATCGTTTGGTGCTAAAATCAAGTAAATCCAACGCATCTAATTTGAAATAGCATAGGATTTCACTTGCCTGGTCAAGTATTGGTAGCATAAATCAGGCAAATCCCTTCCAAAAAAAGCAAGAAACGCATGACGCTGCCCTGAAAAATGGGCATATCCATATTCCCGATGAATGGAAAGAACTACTATGTTCAACTTCAACAACTTTTGAAGTTTAAAGTTGCAACACATCTTAAAGCTTTTTTTAAATCTGCTTTTGTTATCAAAGAAAAATATAAGTTTAGCATTTCAACCTACCTAATTTCCCAGTATTGAAAAAGCTGCAAATATGTGAAATGCAGTATTGGAACATCCATCCCAGTTTTTACAAGGTTTTATATTGAAAAAAAAGTGGTATTGTGCTTTCCAAGTTCACATATGATAAAACCCTATCCTTTGCCGCTTATGAAAAAGGCTGCTGATGTTAAACTTTTATCAGCAAAATACGTACCGGCTGCCGATCTAGGGTTCTATCGAAGGATCCTCATAGAATCCAAAAATACTGATGTTCCTCAAGAAGTAGTTGGTACACCTGATGATGCTTATGACTCCGATTCATCATTTATGTAATTGAAGATTTATTTTTGTTAACCCTTTTTATGTTGTTTTAGTTTTGTTCTCTTTGACTATTAAAACTATTTGAACTAACCTTTGCATTATTTCAATATAACGTTCGGGGCAAAAACCAGGTAAGCCCAAATTTTTTACAAAAAAAATAAATAAAAATGTTTGGTTCATGCTTTTAGGTTATTTCGTATTAAGCAGGTTTTTCATCACCTCCTCTATACCCTAAAATAGAATGGTTTTCTTTTTCGTGATTTTAAAACAAAATATTCAGTTTTTTCTAATTTTCGAAAACTTTCTATATGATTTAAACCTGGTTTTTGCACCGATGTCTTCAATTATTCTACCGCATTTACTATATTATTTAACTATCTTGTTCACTGCCAATGAAGTTGTATTCTCAAAATACAAGTCCTGCAAAATAAAGCTATGAGAATAATATTAAATAAAAATAAGTACACCAAAATAAAATCTTTGTTACTAGAATTGCAGTAGTTGAATATAAAAAAATTCATATCATAATTGGTTCTTATTTTTGTATTTAAAATAAAAAAAATCATATTTTGCCACAACATTTACATAGAATTGAATAATCACAATTATTATACAAGAGGAAATATAGATTTTTATATGAAAAATTCCAAAAGTAATATAACTAACATATCAATATTTCAGAATTCAATAAGCTAAATATTGATAATAAAGTCTACTTGCAATTTAAAGATGTTTAAAATAAAATTAAAGGAATATTTCAGGTACAGTGAAAATTCTTAGAGATGCAAATTTTGTTTTTTTTTTAATATCTGTATCTTGGAAACCAGAACTTTCGACACATGTTTATATGAACTTTTCTGCTTGAATTTGGTTCAGGAGTGCGCCCTTGTAGCCTTGTAGCCTATCGTTAACTAACACGATGTATTTTGACTGTAGTGAAAACGCTGAGGCTGCCGAGGGACACCGCAGTTAGTAGTACAACGCCTACTCCGGATGATGATGAAGACGATTGGGATGAAGATGATTCCGGAGAAGAAATTGACGATGATGGAAAAATATACAAGAACCCAAGAAATTCTCCATCCACACTATGCCCCAGGGATGAAGAGCAAGCTACTCTTTTGGTATTTTGCAAACCGCTATAATATGAACAAGCCTGACAATACTCACAAATATGCAGGGGATCTCAATACTTGTGGGAGATACAGCTTAGATTAAATTAGGAAAAAGCTGCGTTCTTTTAGGTGTATCTACATGCAGTTGAGAAACTTTTTAGGCACTACTGGTGGTGATAGTGTTTTTAAATTTTGTGCCCAACGATTCGTTTTTGAGGAACCATTACAACCTTTATTTTTTAGTATGATTGAAAAAATAGCATGTTTTTCTATGAAGTCAACGATGTTACATTTGCTTTCTCAATTATAAAGAAAAATATGTTTTTTCTCTGACGGGAAAGAAGTTTGACATGTTATCTCTGTTGACAGGTAACAAAAGGTCACTTTTTATGAAATTAATTTTTTCCCCGTGTTGCTTGTTATCAATGTTTGGCTCTGATGTGATGTAAAATCTGCTTCTGAGATGGCATTACTGGAGGTCTAAGCTGTAAGTTGTATGTGTTGACTATAATTACATTGGGTTCTTGTCTCAAATACACTTAAATGAGATTCAAAACTAGAAATTAGTTGCGCATCCACTTTTTCTTATCCTCTGATAACAAATTTGCTGATTTCAAAAATGAGAGAGATAAGGAATCATTATAGTCACTATACACTGTCGAATTACAAGCCATATACATGTTAACAGTAATTACACACAACGCGGGCGCGGTGATGATTTCCCGTAATTCTCCTCAGTTTTTTGTAGTTTATAACTTTGAACATAACCTCTCATCAGAAAGCACAAGATAAAAATAACCCGTCGGGCACAACCAATACATATACTTCATTGGCAGCATATTCAGTCATGATTTTCTCACTCAGCAAATATCACTGATTTTATACAAATGCAGACCAATACACATAATCATCCAGATGCGATCGCTATTCAACCAACTTCCTTCTCAGAGATAAAATCTACAGACAACGACCGTTTGGCCTCACGAAACATATGCAACCAATAATGCATGTAGTTTAGTTGAGTGATTCCTCCATAGATGGACGTTACAGCGATCCTAGTGAGGAAACGTGGAATGACTGTTTGCGCCCTAAAAACTACCTGATTTGCACGATGACATCTTATAGGTTTTTTACATGATACCCATGCCGGATATTGTATAAACACATAAGCAAATTTAGATATTTAATTTTAGAATATTATACAGTAAAGTTACGTTTCCTTTATATCAAAATTACAATTATTAAATGTGCATTGCATGAATGACACGTTCCTTAAACTATTCGGTACAACAGTCGAATTTTCTTGTGTTGAAATTATGATTTTCTGCCAACTCCCGGTGATGTACTTGGTCGCAAATCCGGTGTTATTTCAGCACTACCACACGTTCTAAAGACTTTATTAGCTATTTCTGTCCTGTGTGCTACCGATTCATCAACATACCCTTCAGCGACCGTTGATGACTTTCAACCGCCATGCTTCTTTAGTGTCATCAAGTCTCCCCCAGATTCAACTAAAAGTGTAGCATATGATCTTTAAAATTAACAACCTGTATATGAGTTAGTTAGCATTTTTAAGTTGAAAAAAATTAGCTAATTGTTTCGGGAAACGTATAAGACTGTTTTTTACCCACAACCTGATTGATACATTTTCTATTGTAATAAGCATAAAACAGGCGGCGATCCTTTGCTGCTGCTGGACGAAGGGCTATGTACATTCGGCAAAATTTCATATATTTTCAACCAAATTCTCAAGACATCAACTTTTCCTGAAGTGTGAAGATTGACAAGGTATGCCCTATATACAAGTCGCAACAGTTAAATGTTATAAGCAACTACAGACCAATTTCTATTCTCTGCAATCCAGCGAAACTCTTAGAAATTATTCTACATGACCGTCTTTATGAAAGTGCAAAAAATTACATTTCAGTTTACCAGTTTGTACGTTCTCGATCAACTATTAGTAACCTTGCAATCTTCGACCAATATTTGTGCGTAACAATAGATCAACGGAGTCAGGTAGATACTGTTTATGTTGACTTTTCTAAGGCATTTGATAAAATCAGTCACAGTGTTCTGCTCGACAAACTTTTTTTCTTTAGGCCTTCATAGTTCTTTTTTAAATCTTCTAAACTCTTATTTGCAATATGTTCACATTAATTCAACCACACCTGGTTACTATGTTTCTACTAGTGGAGTACCACAGGGGTCCAATTTGGGACCTCTATTATTTTTGTTATATGTTAATGACCTATGCACTTCACTGGAATGCAATAGATTAATTTTTGCGGACGATCTAAAAATGTATGCGTCCATTGCATGTCTAGAAAACTGTGCTGCCCTGCAATCGCAGATCGATGTTTTACATGACTGGTGTCTTAGAAATCACCTGCATTTGAATATCTCCAAATGCAGAATAGTAACCTTTAGCCGACGTTCCACCATACTATATCCTTATACAATTACTGGTACAGACCTGTCGAGAACTGACTCAATCGGAGATCTAGGCGTTTGCTTTGTCAGTCAGTTAACATTCAACTCACATATTAATCAAATTATTATGAATGTGTTCCGATCACATGGCTTTATCATAAGAAACTGTAATCTTTTTATTGACCTATCTGCACTAACTTTATTGTATTCCAGTCTAGTCAGGTCGAAATTAGAAAACTGTTCACTAATATGGAACCCAATTTACAATATTTATAAAATATGTATCGAAAAGGTTAAAAAAAATTCTAAAGTACTTATCTTTCAAGCCTGATGGGGTATATCCACAAAGAGGTAGTGATTATATGATGCTTGTGAACAGATTCAACTTTCAAACTTTAGAGAGCCGTAGAGGTCAGGCATCTGTTTTGTTTTTGAATAAACTACTAAATTTCAAAATTGGTAACTCTAAGAAAATGGACTTGCTTGGCTGCCTTCTTTCGAGAAATTTATCAAGATACATTTCTGCAGTATTTTTGTGGCACAAAATGTAGCACGTCAGCATGTCGAACCTTTCTTCATTGCCAAAATAACCGCTTGGCATCCTTGTCGATAATAAAGCAATACTAACAATACATAATAATAATACTCGATGACAGGTATTTACAGGTACGTCAAGTCTACTAAAAAATAAAAAATACAAAAAATCTGAAAAAATCGCATTTTCCTTATAGCCAAGAAAACAAGTGTAACATGTGATACATCGTTGAATTTGTATAAAACATGCCACTAGATACAAAGTGTACTTGTTTTCGGACCACATGAAAAAATAAATTTCTCAAAAACGAACCGTCGGGCGTAGGTTTTAAAAACACCATCATGTAATGTCTAAAAAATGCCAATGGAAAAGTTTCATTAGTGTTATGTTTCTTATTGATAAAGTCAGAAAGAATAATGATTTGGCACAAATTTTAGTTTTTTCCAAATATTTCAGTAAGACATGAAATTTGTACAAGTATCTCAACGGCATGTAAATACGCACCAAAAAACGCACTTTTTTTTTAATTGCACAGGATCCTTATCTCGGACACCATGTATTCAAATAAGGCACTCGAAATGAACATAGCAGAGTTGCTGGCAGCCCGAAGCATGAATTTAAGTAGGACAAGTGACATTTTCAAAAAAAGTATTGTCAGTGCTTTTAGCAAACTTGAATTAAAATTCAACGTAGATTTCAATTAATCATCGTAATTTCTCATGTAATACATATTGGCTCAGCTTGAGGAGAACATGTACAACTTTATCATAGTTGACTTTTATTAAAATATTCTCTTCATTTAATTTCGTGCTTCTTGAGAGGAGTACAGCTCTTTCACAGCACGTTCATAAACTACAATATGTGCAGCGAGAGCTAAAATGTGATAAAAGTGAAGACGTCTGCATCCCTGACATAACATTCCATTTTTGAACTGTGAATCTTGGGAAGACCTAAATTAGTTTTTTAAGGTTTCCTGATCCATTGTCATATTTTCTTCTCTGTTATAGGGTCAAAAATGTTTAAGAAAGTGTTCCTCTGATGAGGATTGTAAAAGCAAGAAGAAGAAATGCTTATGTGATGGAGCTTGCGGCTTATCTTGTATTAAGCCTGGTAAGAAGTATCCTTGACTGTTTTTTTGCAAAATGATGATACAATGTCTCTTTTCAGATAGGGAATGTCCAGATCCAGATTCAATAGCCTTTGGAGGCGTCACAGCTAGCGGCAAGTTATTCGGAGCTCGTGCAACGTATACCTGTCAACACGGTTATCATGTAGTAGGCTTGCAGAGCAGAACTTGTCAAGGTGACGGTCACTGGGCTGGAAGCCCTCCTGCTTGCAAACAGAACAGTAAGCTTAGCATCTAGTATCCTAGAAATAGTTTAAGTCCAATATCCTATCCAGGATACGAAGTCCCTTAAATGGGGGCAAGATTGCGTATTTAGGTAACTAACAAGAAGCTGCTTAGAAAGCTTCGAAATTCAAAGTACTTCCGGAGAGAGACGGAAAAAACAGAATTTTCCCAAAATCGTTTTAATGTTTTCTTGACATTATATGTAGTGGGGTTTCAAATAAATGGCACATTAACATTGTCACTTTTTCTCTTCTACAAAATGCCATAATTAGAATTTGAATAAGATGATTCGTCTCTTGTCCTAGAGCATCAACTTTATTTTTTCTTATGGAGGCCAAATTGGATTTTTGCGCAGATGCAATTTTAATTCTAATTTCAAAAATCTATGATGTCATACATTTACATTGCCAATCCTTAGTTATCCCAGAAAAACATGCGTTTCTAGGTAGGCTTTGAAATTATCAGATTTCATTTAATTCGAATCTGCTATGATTTATCTGTGCTTATTTATGATTATTATTGTTATTACCATCAATATAATTTTCATTTTATGTTCAGGTTTCACCATACCTTGTTATCTTCTTATAGTTTTCATCCAACAACAAATTCATGGCCATATAAGGAAGTACTTCTCTGACTTAAATGTACATCGTCCATATGAAAAAACAAAGTTGGTGATGGAAGTCGAAAGAAGGAATGAGGAATGTCGAATTGAAAATTTGAATACTCCATCTTGTCGAGGAAAATAAGTATCAATGACAACATGCAATTTATTTTGAAATCATATCTCAAATAAAGTCAGGAAAAAATAAAAGTGATTTTGGTATAAATTTGCTATGCGAAACAAATGAAATCTAATACTTTCAAGGCCTATTTAGAAAATTCTGCTTCTTTTGAAATAACTTAGTTTTGGAATCAGAATTAATAACTCTTTTCGTCTGTGCAAAGTCCATTCTGGCATCTTTAAGAAAAAATTAAGTTGATGCTGTAGGACAAGGGACGAAACGTCATATTAAAATTATAATATTGCCATCTTGTAGAGGAGAAAAAGCGGCAATGTTAATGTGCAATTTATTTTGAAATCCCAAATGAAGTCGGGAAAAAATTAAAACGATTTTACAAAAATTCGGCTTTTTCCGTCTCTCTACGAAAGTAATGGGTGGGCCATTTAAAAGTTTCGATTTAAAAATAAAATAAAACAAAAACGGTTTGAGATATTGCCAAATTTATTTTTTTGTTTTGAAGTACAATTGTTCCGCTCAGAAATGAAATATTACTTCATTCAAATGGCTGCCGCGGCTGGCCTCACAGTAGCCCATTCGATCGGACCAATTTTCGAGCACTTTTTCGAGTGTTTGGGGCCGTATCTCGTCAATGGCATCACGAATGTTGGCCTTCAAATGGTCAATTGTCTCTGGATGGTCGACATAACACTTGTCTTTAACAGCGCCCCACAGGAAATAGTCCAATGGTGTCAAATCGCAGCTTCTTGGCGGCCAATTGACATCACCATTTCGACTGATTAAACGGCCATCGAAGGTTTCGCGCAATAAGTTGATTGTGGCATGCGATGTGTGACAAGTTGCACCATCCTGCTGAAACCAAACATTCTCCACATCAATACCATCAAGAGCAGGAACAAAAAAATCAGTTATCATGGTGCGATAGGTGTTTCCATTGACAGAAACGGTTGCGCCGTCCCCGTCTTCAAAGAAATATGGGCCAATGATGCCTCCGCTCCACAATCCACACCAAACAGTCACTCGCAAGGGATGCATTGGCTTCTCTAAGACCTCGTGTGGGTTTTCCGAGCCCCAGATACGGCAATTTTGCTTATTGACGTAGCCACCAATATGAAAATGAGCTTCGTCTGAAAAGATTAGTTTTTTCGCAAAATCGACATCATTGATTAGTTGCTCGTTGGCCCATGTAGCGAAGGCAGAACGAAGTGGATGGTCACGCGGCTTCAACTCTTGAACCAATTGAACTTTGTAAGGCGTCATACCGAGATCTTTCCGCAAAATTCGTCGTAAACTGGTGCGGGAAATGTTCAATTCTTGGGAACGATGACGTGTTGACGTTGATGGATTTTCACGCACACTCGCAGCCACAGCATCGATACCTTCGGGTGTACGCACTGTACGAGCACGCTGACGTGTTGGAGCATCAACAATGAAACCAGTTTCACGCACTTTATTAATAAACTTGCGTATACCGGGCGCTGTTGGTGCTTCGTTGCGACCGAATTTTGAACGGCATTTTCGTGCAATTTCTGCCCAATTGTCTTTGTTTTGGAAATAAATTTCCAATATTACCCAACGTTGCTCAAGCGTAAATCGATTCATTTCGTTCAGCGGAGATAATATACTGAATTTTATGACAAATCAGATTGACATAAGTATTGTCAGCGTCAAATTAACACGTGGTTCAAATCGAAACCGATAGATGGCCCACCCGTTACTTTGAACTTTCTAAGCGGCATTTTATTAATTACCTTAATACGCAACTTTGCTCCCATTTAAGCGAATTAATATCTCTTACAGTTTCCGATATTTCAATGGTGAGGGTTGAATTTGAAACACCCGGTATACTCCCCAGCAACAAGAGAATACATGTCTAGAGTCTTGCTGCCTATAAGAAACTTATGGCGTTGGGAGTTCTTCCTCTTTCTATGTTAGAATGCTGCCTATTATTTTGATGATATTCATATAAATAATTAAACTAAACATGATGCTTTCGTCCATCCGGGCAAAATACCCATGGACAGCTGTTTCATGCTTTTTGGCTTCTCACCAGCATGATCTAGGCTTGGTCTCTCGTATCTGGACAAACGAACGGAGCCATCGTAACTATCCTCTATTCAGGAGGTAAGGTCTATCGAAGTAAGACAGCGTAAAGTGACATGTATCACTCCAGAATCGACGATTGCGGAGAGCGCTATTGGAACTGTTAGGAAACTCAGTTCACGTTTAATAGCCCAGTCGTCAAGGGACCGTTAGATGACTGACGATTCAGGCTATAAGTAGATGTAGTCTACTTGCCACTGAATATGCTTTATTGTCTGAAGAATACAATCATTTTTAATGACAAAGCTAAATTAGAACTAAGCTATAGTAATTATATTTGTGGATCTTGGAAGTTTGAAGACCCCACGTTGTTTAGTATTTGTTTGGCAGCCATCAATATTGAACGTTTTCAGTGAATTTGTGAAAATGGAGAAAATTGGTCATCGTTATGTGGTACAATACTTTTATTTCAAAGGCCTCAGCCCAACCAATATAAAAGCTGAACTGGATTCTACTCTGGATGAGTCTGCTCCTTCGTTTACATCAGTAAAATGTTGACGAGCACCGCAGTGGTCGACCAAATGAGATGACGACTCCAGAAATGGTGAAGAAAATTCACAAAGCGGTACTGAATGATCGTCCACTGAAATTGCGCGAGCTAGCAGACATAGTAGGCATTTCGAAAAGTGTGGTTGATCGCATATTATCTGAAAATTTGGACATGAGAAAGCTGTGTGCAAGCTGGGTGCTGCGATTGCTCACAATCGAGCAAAACCAGTGTCGTGAAGAAATTGAGTGTTTAGCGAAGTTTCACAGCAACAAAGCAGAATTTTTGTGTCGCTTCATAACCATGGATGAAACATAGGTCCATCACTTCACACCCGAGACAAAAGAACAATCAAAACAATGAACTCAAAGGGACAACCGGCTCCAAAGAAGGCGAACACCGTTTCATCTGCAGGCAAGGTTATGGCGTCGTTTTTTTGGGATGCGCGTGGGATAATTTTCATTGACTATCTTGAATAAGGTAAAACTATCAAGGCGAGTATTATGCGAACTTATTGCAACGTTTGAGCGATGAAATCAAGCAAAAACGGCCGCATTTGGTTAGGAAGAAAGTGTTGTTTCATCAAGACAATGCACCAGCTCACAAATCTGATATTGCAATGGCCAAAATAAACGAATTAAAGTTTGAATTGCTACCTCCTGCACCCTATTCACCAGATTTAACCCCCTCGGATTATTTTCTGTTTCCAAACTTGAAATAAATGGTTCAGTGGTCAAAGATTTTCCAACGACGAAGAAGTGAAGTCGGCAGTTAATGGCTATTTTGAGGAGCATGACAGTTCTTATTATAAAAAGGGTATCGAACTTATTGAACATCGCTGGGACTAGTGTATAGAGCTCAAAGGAGATTATGTTGAAAAATAAATACATTTTGTTACAAAATTTTTGTGTTTTCTTCGTTGGGTCGGGTACTTCTGGGACCACCCTCGTATTTAAATTGTTAATTCTTATGTTAGCATCAGGGAGACATATGTACATTTTCAGACAATTATAAATGATCAATTCTTTCACAAGCGTTGACTTAGGTACTACTAATTTGAGTTCTTGTTTTCGTCTAATATTGTAACTTTTATTTAATGTTTCGAGTTTTTATCTTTAAAAATAAGAGCTGCCGTTTCCAAAATGAACAAAGATACTACAGTCATAATTTTAAAATTCGCAAATAAAGACCTGGATGTAGCTCTACGATTGCTTTTAGTTATATATCTAATAGTTCATTTTTGTGCAATAAGCACTTTTTTAAACAATTTTGGGAACAGACACACCTATCTCAATCTACTTTCAAATAAGGCAACGTAATTGCTTAAGGTTCCGCTTTTCCCTATATTGTAACTAATTGTTCTTATAATGAAGGAAATATTTGCTAGTTGAGTAAGCAATTTGTCTACATGCTTAGTAAATTCTAATTTATGATCAATGATCAGTCCCAAAAATTTGATGGTGTATGTTTTGTGTATCAATTCATTATTTGAATTTATAGAATCAAGGGAGCATTTAAAAGTCATAAATTTTATCTTATCAACATTGAAAGTCAAGTAATTGTTGTCTCACTATTTTTGGATTGATTGTACATCACTATCAAAGTGTTGTGTCGTCAGCGAAAACTACAAATTTATCATTTACTCGTATATTACAGTTCATTAAATCATTGATATAGACTAAGAATAGGATCGGGCCCAATACCGATCCTTGAGGTACTCCTTCATTTATATTTGACTCATTTCAATAATAATGTCTTGAAATAAAACAGCGCACAGCGCCATTTATTCATAAAAATGTTTCTTCCTAATGTTAATTTTTTTTTTAGTATACTGTCTATCGCCACCAACAATAGACCACGCCAGGCATAATGCCCTTCCAGAACAGACCACATTCGACTTGGACTCTACCTTGCAGTACTATTGTCATACGGGTTATGTCACTAACGGCTTTCCTAGGGCTAAATGTTTGGCCATAGATGGGCAGGCTTCTTGGTATGGACCTGATATATCCTGCGAACGTAAGTATACAAACACTTTGTACAATTGAATCGCCTTGTGATCACTGGGTCAGAATAGGTGAATACGTTTACAGACGATTTAGCCTACGACCAACATATGCACCAATCACCGACATATTGAAACTCATTCGATAGTTTAAATCATCGTGTATTACTTGCTAATCGCTTCAAAAGAGTACTATCGATATAGTTGCGTAGCCTAAATGTACCATTTCATCTGGAAACCCCAAGGTTCTGTACTTCGACCATTATTATTTAATTTATATATCGCCGACTTGCACACATTTGTCAAACATTGTAGTATTCAATTTTTTGCTGATGACTCTCAAATTTATAATCACTTCCATAGTAGCAACACTCAAATTGCTGAATTTGAAATTAATGAAGATATAAAATTAATTAGTGCATATGCAAAAAATCATACCCTCAACCTAAACCCTTCAAAATCAAAAGTGATTATTTTTTCACCTAAACCTTTTAGAAATTATGTTAAAAACAAGTTTAGTGTTAGCCTAGATGGTGCTACTATCAAAATTAATGAAGCAGTCAAAAACCTGGGAATTCTTTTTGATGAGTGTCTCAACTTCATACCTCATGTAAACAAAGTTACTGTAAGCTGCTTTCCGATCCTACGTCAATTATATCTGAATAAACAAATTCTCGATTTTATCAAACTAAAAAAATCTTATACGTATCATTATGTCCAAAATTACGTTACGGTTACAAAAAATTCAAAATTCATGTTGCAGACTAGTACATAATTTAAGAAAACCATGACCTTACAAGCGGTTCCTTAAGAAGCTTGGGATGGTTGAAGGTAAGTGAGCTATATGAGCTACACTTATTAACTTACACTCATAAGCTCTTGCTTACTTCAATTCCCTTGTTTTTAAAGAACAAGCTGATCCCTTGAAATTCAATTCACACAAGAGACATATACGAAACCTAACGATAATTAAGTACCTCAGGCATCAATCAATAAATTACAATGACTTTAAAAAACAAACTAAACAATTCATTTTAGAAAAGTACTCACCAACATAGTTTGACCACTCACTTCGGAAAACGTTTTCCTTCTGTGTGTACATTCACATGTATAATTAAATTTTTATTATTTACTATCAGTATACTTAGGTATACTCTTTTACATATATGTATTTATAATCGTTATTGTATTTTTTTGAATTTTCAAGGATTAAGCGCCAGAATAGCTTCAAGCCAAACTTCGCCCTTTATAATAATAATAATAATAATATTCTTTATTGCCAGCAAAATTTTAAAGAAAAAACATAAGCAACGTCAAAAAAAAATGTAGTACAATACCAACGGGATATTATATGTATGTTTACAATATTAAAAACTATTAAAATGACAAATAAAAGTCCAGTATGTCACAACTTAGCTTAAAATGTTATTAAAATAAAATAATGGAGCTCAAATGTTAAAATCAAAGCTGTACAAACACCTGTCCAGCAAAAACTTTTTCACCGCTCTTTTAAACCTAATAGGCTTGCTCTCGGATTTTATATCTATAGGAAGCATATTGAAAGTTTTGACAGCCATGTATAATGGAGCCCTCTTAAAAAATGCGGACGAATGTGCAGGCACACTCAGATTTTCTCTGCCTCTGGTCACAACGGTTATACTTTTAGCATAATAATGTGCGTTACTATTAAAAAGATACATATGCTTTTTAACAAATAAAACAAGTGCCAAAAAATATAGTGATGGAACCGTCAAGAATCCCAATCTTGAAAAATGTTTCCGACATGATGTTCGAGGATGAAGTCTCAAAATGCACCTCAGGATGCGCTTTTGCGCTATAAAAACTGACATGGCACCCCGCGAAGAGCCCCAGAACATTATACTATAAGTTAACAATGACTGTACAGATGAATAATAAAATTGCCGTAAAGTCTTCAAGGAAACCTCATTTCGCAGCCGCCGCACCAAGGCACAGAAGCTGTGGAGCTTACCAACCAAAACAAATGTTTGACAATCCCAATTCAGACTCGAATCCAGGTAAATGCCCAGAAACTTTATATCGGTCATCTCTGGTATTGGTCCGCTATTGCAACGAACCAACAGCGACTCATCCCTGGCAGATGATTTACTGAACGTGAGAAGTCCAGTTTTATCAGCATTCAATCTTAATGCATAATCCTTGCACCAATCCTGCATGGTCCCCACTGCACAAGAACAGACCCCGGACAAGCCAGACATGTCCGACGCAGTCAGCACAACAGTAGTGTCGTCCGCATACTGGCAAATCAGACCTTCCATAAATCTGTCACGAAGACCATTCACATAGAGCAGGAACAACAACGGTCCCAGAATTGATCCCTGCGGCACACCCTGTTTAATCAAGGTAACTGATGAAAAATGCCTAACACCATTTTGGTTTATACAGACAAGCTGCTCCCTACTGTCAAGGTATGACTCTATAAGCTGTGCACATTTACCTCGTATTCCATGTTTAGACAGAATTTTAAGGATTATTTGATGGTCTATGGTGTCGAAGGCCTTAGATAGATCAAAAAACAGACCGGCCACTTTTTCATTCTTATCCACATTTTCAACAATATAAGTAAGAACTTTAAATAGTGCTAGTTGTGTGGAATGATTTGGGCGAAAGAAAAATGTATTTCTTGATAAAGTTCATTATCCTTGAATATATGACTTTTTCGAAGACCTTTGACACAGAAGATAACAGTGAGACTAGTCGATAATTAGCTATGTCATGCACATCTCCTTTTTTGTAAATGGGAACCAGTTTGGCCCTCTTTAAATGTGACGGAAAAATTCCTGAAAACAGACATTCATTAATAATGTAAGCTAACGGTTCGCATATATAGTCAGATATCTGCTTTAGAACTACCACCGGGATTTCATCCAAACCAGCTGAAAATTTGTTTGGCAGACTCGCCAAAGTTAGTTTAATTTCTCTATTGTCAACAGGAAGCAAAAATAAAGTGGGAATCGCACTAGCTTCCGAAATATCAAGACTGCCATGGGATTGCGGAGAGATATCAAACCTTTCCTGAAAGGCATCAGCAGTTTTTTGGGGATCTTTTATTATTACACCATTATTAAGTTTTAGCTCAACGGAACGCTTAATTTTTGTGTTTTTGTCATGTTTTTTGAGTTTAATATTTTACTTTCATTTAGAGCTATTTTGTAATTCGACAGAAATTTCCAGTATTCTTGTCGTACAATTTTATACTGATTATATACTCTAGGGCTATGTGTAATCTTAGACCAAACATACAAATCTTTTATATAATTAGAGTATGCTTTTATCTCCTCATTTACCCAGTTTTGTTCTTTGAATTTTAATCGATAGGTGCATAATGGAAAAGAAATGTCAAAATAATGAAATAGTACGTTAAAGAAGGTTTGATATTTCTCCTCAACCCCAACTGAACCATATACAGTTGTATTCATAAAAAAAGCGTACACGAATTAGAATGAGAGGAAACCTTAACCTTATTTGCGTAAAACCGGCTTATCGCATGTTAAAGGTTATTAAAAAGCATGGGCGTCGGGCATTAGTTCAATACAGTAACAAAAATGTATTTCTTTATTTTACATCTTAACAGTTTTATAAAAATTACAATAGAAACAAAAAACGATTAACAAGAATAAATAAAATCTAATATTTGGTCATATATCCCTGTTTTTCTATTACTTGAGCCAGTCTATTCGGAATTGACTGAATTATATTTGATACAATATTTGGATCAAGCTCTTCCCAGCACGCATGTATTATTTCCCATAAATCTTCTGAATTTTGTGGCCTAAAATTTCGATTATATATTTTTTTTACGATTATACCCCAAATATTTTCGATTGGATTGATATCGGGACTATAAGCGACCCAAGGCAGCACTTCCACATTATGGGTTTGAAACCAGTGGGTTACAGCATTGGCCGTATGAACTGGACAATTATCTTGTTGAAATATGAACGTATTATTGGGATATATTTGCTCAGCACTTGGTAACAATATGTTTTCTAAAATGTTAATGTAATTTCCGGCATTAAATCTTCCCTCTATTCGCCAGCAAACACCAGGTCCATGAACATTTATCCAGCCCCATACATTTACAGAGAAACGCCCAGGTCTAGAATTGAGGGGGTTAGTATATCGCTCTTCAAACCTGGTATTGTTTGGACGGTAAACACGAATTTGGCCGTTATAAGTCGACTGGAACGTCTTTTCATCAGTAAAAATGACCCTGTTCCAAAATTGAGGATTGCGGTATATATAATTTAAAGCAAAAATAATCCTTGATTGTCGCCGTTCTTCGTTAAGAAACATTTTTTTCGCAGCAGGGTGACATTTTAGTTCAGATTTCATTACTCTCCTGCTGGCGGTAGGTTGGGAGGCAGGAAATGCTGTATCAATAACAGCATCCCTTACAGTTGCAAATGGATTATTTCTTAAATATCCCAAAAAAGCAACATCCTGTTCAGGGTTGGTAAGTTTGGGACGACCTGAACCAATTTTCCTCTTTAGGGAATCTTCCTGTTCCCAGCGTTGCTTAATTTTCAATATGGTTTTTTTATTTCTATTATACAACTGCGCTACAGCACGGATTGACCATCCTTCTTCGATTCTTGATACAATTTGAGCCTTTTCAACTTCAGACAACTGACGAGGCATTTTTATTTTCTTCTGTCAAAGTTTATCAAACGTTACCACCACGCATTTTCGAAATGAATTACACCGACGTCAATGCTTTGCATTTTTGACAATCTACGACGTGTGATAACCTCCAATAAACAATCATTTAGACAAGCCGGTTTTACGCAAATAAGGTTCAGGTTTCCTCTCATTCTAATTCGTTTACGCTTTTTTTATGAATAGAACTGTACATCATTCCAGGTCTCGGAGCTCAGCAGATCTTTGAAGCGCTGGATGTTGGAGGCCGCGAAAAAACGTTTCCTTGCATAACTGATGTTAGGAACCTTGCTATTTAATGTAAAATTAAGGCTCTGACCATAATGGTCTGATATATTTATTTTTATAATGCTACATTGTGTATCAGGTATATTGCTAAACATATTATCAAGCTGAGTGCCCCGAGTGGGACCTATCCTTGTTATGCCTTTCACGTGGGACACTAGTCCATAACTGGCCATAAGCTGTGTCACAGAAAAAACTCCATCATAATGAACTAAGAAATCTACATTAAAATCCTCGCAAACCAGCAGATATTTATTTGGGGCATACACATAATTTAAAACTTCATCAAGCGTAGATAGAAATAAATCTAAATTCCCTGTAGGTGAACTATATATACAAATCACAATATAATGTTTATTATTTAATGTAAATTGTGAAATGCAATACTCACAGTGTTTTCAATACAAGCTTTCAACGGTAAGGTCTGAGTTTACAAAAATTGCTGTGCCTCCGCCACGGAATTCTGTTCGTGATGAATGGCTGATGGGCAGATAATTGTCTAAAACTACAGAGTTTATATCATTTCGCTGCAGCCAATGCTCTGAGACACAAAAAATGTCTGGTTTCTTTTCTGCAAGCAGAACTTTTATTTCCAAAATTTTGTTATTTATACTTTGTACGTTCAGGTGCATAACAGATATACAATGACTCTCAGAGCCCTGGCTGCCAGAATCAGTTTCCCATGTGGAGGGTGTTTGGTGGTCGCAGTGTACATCAGTTACCCTGTATGATATCTGTCTAAAAAATTTCTACCCAACCCAAAGTTAAACCTTCCAAATGCAACACCCTTGGGCCAAAAAGCGGTATTATATATCTTGTCTTTAAGTTCAGGATTTACACCCACCATAAAGTTCTTTTTTCTACTCTTTTGAGACTTTGGTATACATTGTTTTACCTGTATTTCATTGGCAGTAGTACTTGCGTGTTTTACAATATAATCGCTGATTGTATTTTCTGTGATGGTCTCATTAACTTTCGACAGGAAAACTTTATTAATTTATTACTCTTTAATAAAGAGACGTTTATTATTATTATTATTATTATTATAATTATCAACCCCTGATATAAATGAAACAGTTGAGCGTCCCAGTGGACGTATTTTCGCAAAAATATCTGAACTTACGGTTTAATTTCAGCTCGATCATGCGGTGCACCATCCGACATATCGCATGGTTGGCATGCAGGAGAATGTTACACGTATGGATGTAGGATAACCTACCACTGTGCTGAAGGCTATGAGCTTGTAGGGAAAAACGAACGGTTCTGTCAAGCTGATGGTACTTGGACGCCTAAAGAGCTGCCTACTTGTGTGCGTGAGTATGTCAGGTTTTACCAAAATCTGTAGTGGAATATACAATAGAAAGCAAAAACTGTGAATTTTAAAACAACTATTTTTTGGTTCTGCGAGCTCTGACACTTTAAGGCCCGTATCGTCAGTCGTCCCTACAATTGAAGGGCGCCTTTATGTTTTATCAGCCTGAAATTTCCTACAATTGAAAAAGAAAACATATCTTCACAATAGGAGAGCGCTGACGCTGACACGGGACAAGTGTGATCTATAAATTTTTGAAGGAGAGAAAGAAGTATGACAATCAAGGAGGCCATAAACGCGCCCTACAATTGTAGGGACGACTGACGATACGGGCCTAAGATACAATTTTATCAAACAAAAAAATGTTCGAGTTTTATATACATGGTGAGCTTCCACTATGGGCTCGGTCGATAACTCAGTTCTTAAGCACGGTATCTATGAAAGTAGAAAAAATTGCAAAACAGTATGCTCCTCACTTAGAAAATATTTTTATCTGTACAGAATGTTCATAACTAGGTCGAGACTTTAACAAATATTTTTTCAAATCCTACATGTTAATGCATATTTGGATAGGCCTTTTCAAACGAAGCATGTTTTATTTTCAAATTGTTGGGATATTCCACAATCTATCGAAAAAACACACTCACTTTGTCAACTCGCACCTCCGCAACAATTTCATGGTCCCATATTTTTTCCTTCTCTACTTACTTTTCCAAATAAATTATATCACAAAATTTTTAAAATCTTTGATTTCCCTCTTTACAAGTTTTTTTCTGATGTAAGATTAATGTGGGTTTGTGCAACAGGTTTTTGAGTTATAACTAACCTTTTTGTAAAACAGATATCAAGGTACAGGATCCGTCAGAAAGAATGCATGTTTTTCGAGTGGGAATCGAGTGGGCTGGTCCCGTGTCGGTGGGGAAGGGCGTGTTGGATAGTAGGAGCAGTGTCGTTTCAGTTGGCAAGATGGTTTGGAACGTTGAGCATCGTGTGTTCACTGTACGTCGGTACTTTCAAAATGGCGAGTCTGTCGTTTGAACGCAACGTGAGTTTCGCGTTCACTTTCGTGTTCCACGTCGTGGGACAGTACCAGACCGTAACATCATTTTGCGATGGGTGGAAGCATTCAACACGACAGGTAATGTGATGAAGAAAAAACCGTACTGTTAGAACCCCCGAAAACGTAGACTGAGTGAGAGTTGACACGCTGCAAAGCCCCAATCGTTCCGTCCGTTTGAGTGCCAGTTCCCTAGGGACCCATGTTGTAACGCTTCCTTTCCGCAAAAAGTCCAGAAAAGATGGAATGCAATGAAGATTCCAACTTTTCTGCACAATCACAGAAAGGGGGTTACAATATTAGCTTCCGGTAGCTCAGTCGGTGGCATGAAGACATCTACAGGCGTGTAGCTGTGTGTCGACCATGGCATGGCTAGAGGATAGAAGAACAAACAGAACACAAAAATTTAACAGATTTTATTTAACAAAAAAAAAGCATTTCCATTACATTACAATTTTACAGTTTTAAAGAACAAAATAAGTTTTACATCTTTGGCGCTGCTATAAAACTATCAACTTATCTTTCGCTGGTCCATTTTGACTCGACTGAAGCCAGGATGGCCAGGTGCTTGAAGGGGAGGTCCCAGTTATGAGGGGTGACCTCACATATAGTGGCTTCATAATCAGTTGTAGGCGAAGTTAAAGGCGATGGCGCTGCCAAGGCACATGCATGGGTGAAGTGATTGACCAAGCAAGGCAAAGTCAAAGACTAAGGCAAAGGGAAAGGGAAAGAGAAAGAGAAAGAGAAAGGGGGGTGGCCCCAATCTGAAAAAGAACCGTGTGCATTAGCAACGTGCCCTAATGGCCAAGGCATTTCCAATCTCAGTCTGCCTCAAAAGAGAACCAACGATTTTCTAGGTTAGAATTACATTACATAGTTTGATAAAGTCAAACCGAAAATTGGAAATGCCTTTCATAAAATAAAATCATGAAATAGCAAAAAAAAAGCGTAAAACAAGATGGTGGTCATCAAAAATTTCTCCACATGCTTCTGATATAAAAACACAAATATCGAATATTCATAATCAACGTACTTATAATTTCACTGAACTATGAATATATATACGCACACAGAGGTAAAATCGATGTGGATCGATTTCCACCTCGATTTGATTAAAGTTATGGCGAATGATCGAAGTAGTCGAAAATGACGTTCGATGGATATTTTAAAATCGTACAAGAAATAAACCACTTACATATCGATTATCTATAAACTACAGGCAGATCCAGCAATAAAACTGTATAGTATTATAAAACTCACCATTTTGTCCTATACGGACACACATTCTACAAAATTCTAGCACATGGTGCTATATGACCTTGTGCTACAGAGAAGAAAATTTTTAGCTCTTGTTCGATCGGCGGCTCAAGTGAAAAGGAAGCGCGAGGAAGATCGCAGATCAGGAACTCCGCATCAAGCGCTCCAAGCGGAAAATTTTCCAAGTAAAAAAGCTAGAGATGGGATTAATGATTTGCGATTCTGAAATGATAATCGAGAAGTGATTTAATAAATACAATCGGACGGTGAAACCGTTACAATGTGTCCTCTGTACGTCGCATCTTGAAGAAGGATTTAGTGTTCCATCCTTACAAAATCCAAGTTTGTCAACTACTGTTGCCAGGGGATTATGCACAACGTGTTAATTTTGCACAGCTCATGATTGGACAGTTGGATAACAATGACATGACGTTGTTTATGAGTGATGAAGCACATTTTCATTTACATGGATACGTCAATAATCAAAATTGTCGATATTGGTCTCTAGTGAACCCCCAACAGTTGCATGAGCACCCCCTGCATACCCCGAAAGTTACAGTTTGGTGTGCAGTAGGCCCAACGATGATTATTGGCCCTTATTTTTTTGAGGATGATGGAGAAACAACCACTGTGAAATCAGAGCGTTACATCCACATGCTGAACAACTTTTTTTTCCGGAACTTCGACGTCGACGTGTCTGTCTCAGAACAGTGTGGTTCCAACAAGACGGGGCAACATCTCACACAGCTTCTATGGAACTTCATCGGCAAAAATTCCCAGAACGTCTCATTTCACGTCATGGCGATATTCCATGGCCTCCTCGCTCCCCGGACCTGTCAACGTTTGATTTTTTTATGGGGATTCCTGAAATCAAAAGTGCACCAAAGCAAGCCTCAGACCCTCGTCGATTTGAAGGAGGAAATAAGAAGAGAAGTAACCCAAATTCCTGCACGGATGCTGGCCGACGCAATGGGCTCATTTCGGGAGAGGCTTGATTCCTGCATTTCGGCTCAAGGGCGCCATATGGCCGACATAGTTTGTTACGAGTTCAAAATTTATAACTCCTGTACTTATTTTGTGCAAGTCTTATAGAAGTTAGTTTTCTTTGTAAAGAGAAACGTTTCCCAGAAGTACAGGTGGATATAAATATGTGTTTTCCGTTCTGGATCCCTTCTCGAAGTTTGTTTTATTTTTCCCGCTGCGTAATGACACCGTGGAATCACGGAACTCCATATAGAACTGGACTCCCTGACGCCACTAACAAGTTTTTAAAACGTAAATTTTGTTTTATATTTTGATATAATAAAATATTTTTTCCCATACTTATTTTGACTGTACTACTCATTTAAAAAAACATGCGTTTTTTCTGACGGACCCTGTAAATTGAAATATCTTTAAAAATAAAAAAGCATTTAGTTAAGAACGGCAGATCATTAGTATTGATGTATGTTATTATAAATCAAATCTACCCAACCTTATGCAATAAAGTCGAAAAGTCAAGGAGGTGTTCCTATATTTTAGTTACACAGAAACCAGTCGTACAAAGCCCCATAAAATTATATGAGAAAAAAGCTTTGACAAAGGGAAGTCAAACAATGCGAAAATACACATTTCAAACCTGTGAGGAATAATTCAGTTTGAGTTATACAGGGTGATTCACAAGTCGTCACCAAAAATAAAACATCATACACATGACCGCATTTTAAGAGGGGTCTTTTATGTAACATTTTTTTCATTAAGAAGATAGGGTGTTGAAGTTCAAAAATATTTTTTTTAATATCTTCAAAACACTCAACTGGAATGAACTAAAATGGATTTGACTAAGTATTGTACACATTCAAAAGGCTTTACTTAAAATTAACGTGCACCAGTGGCGGAGATACAGGGGATTAGTAGCATTATTTTTCCGAATAAAAATAGTACGACACTGTGTTTTTTCGCAATGCTCAACTGGAAGTGATTAATTTGCCGTTGGATGATCCTAGCACAACTCGGAGGCGAAGTACAACGGCCAAATTTTTGTGAGAGGTTACTGAAAATGCATAATAAAAATTCAGATTTTATTGATTTGGTCTTGTGGTCAAATGAATCGCTTTTTACGAGGAATGGAACCTTTAATTCTCATAATAAACATATTTGGTCGTTAGAAATTATTCTGCAAGAATCCACTCGTTTCAACACAGATTTTCTAGAAATGTCTGGTGCGGCATTTTCAATGGCCAACTGTTTATGCACGTATTGCCACAACGTTTAAATGTAAACTCATACTTAGCTTTTCTACAGATTTACATAGAAAATGTGTTAGATGATGATTCGTTAGCAACGAGAGTACGTATGTGGTATCAGCGTTCCCCACCGCATGTTCGTCGTGACATAACCGCATGGTAAAATAATCATTTTAGACAACGATGGATTGGCAGAAACGGACCCGTCTCCTGATTTGAGCCCCATGGATTTTTTTGGGGGCCGCTTTTAAGCCACTAGTGTGTGCTGACTAAGTTAATACTGTTGATCAGTTAAAAGAAATAATAGATAATGCGTTTTATCAAATTCAAGCTACAACAAATTTTGCGGAAACACGTTTTCCTTTATTAAAAAGATGTCGCATTTATATCCGTCAGTATTGTGGTCTTTTTAAAAATCTATTTTATTTCGTTTTTTTCTATTTTTACGAAAACAATGCACTCTACGAAAAAACTCAGGAGTAATTATTTGTAGCGAATTGAAGGCAAAATTCGAAAACTCTAGCTGGAGGTGCGAGTTGTCAAAGTCGAGTGTTTCTTCTTTCGATCGATTGTCCAATATTTCAACAACTTAAAAATAAAAAGTTATAGTTATATCAAATTGCTTCGTTTGGAAGAACCTGCAATCTGCAATGAAATTTCCGTTTAAAGGAATATTATGTTAGGGTCACCACGTAGTTTTAAATAATCCTGTAGGGATAAAAATATTTTTCATGTAAAAAGCGTACTCTTGGCTACAATTTTTTATTTACCTTTTTCGATACAATGGAAAATATCGGAGTTATCGATCAAATCCATTCTAAAAACTTACCATGTATGTATAAGCTCTTAATAAGTCACACAGCATGGATATATCTGGATCAATTTTATGTGAAATTTTAGTTGTGACCTCCGTCCAATGTCCTACACCAGAGAACCCCAGACATGGCAAAGCTATCTTCACCTCCTGCAGTTATAACTCGGTGGTACGGTATGAGTGTAAATATGGCTATACTTTGGTTGGAGAGAGCACCAGACGGTGTGGAGCAGATAGGAAATGGTCAGGATCGATGCCTATTTGTAAAGGTAAATAAATTATAAAAATAATTATTCTGCATTTTTCATAAAACATCGATATTATTGTAGAAATAAACTGTGGACATCCAGGGAGGTTATGGAATGGATGGTTGGAAGGTATTGAAGGAGGAACGGGCCTTGGAGCCTCCATTATTTTCAGATGTCACGAAGGGATGCTACTTGTCGGCAACAGTTCTTCCGTATGCTTAATCGATGGCAAATGGAGATACCCCCTGCCAAAATGCTTAGGCAGGTTAAAAGAGAAAAATGGAGGATGGAGGAATAAGATTCTCGCAGTTATTATTCTTAAAATGAAATGGCCAGAATTCAGGCTCGCCTTAACAAATCAGGCACCTTGCGCATTGTAAAGTTCCAAAAACTAAAGCCCAACAAAACGGATAAAAAATTTTGGTGGTGAAGAAGTAAATGTATGTCTCAGAAATAACACGCCAGATTGCACGGGCGGTAGATTGGCTTCAGATCAATCAGATAAATCCAACATGACCTTAGTAAAAGTTTTCTAGTTTTCGAGATATTGCAACTTTCAGGTTTTTTTAAAAAATTACTACTGTTTGCTTATTTTTTCCCTGATATGGCTATTAAGAACTTCTAATTTTTTAGTTTTTTCCTGGGCTACCATTAATAGCTGGTTGAGACAACCAAGTATTGATTTCATTGAAAACTAGCACGGTATGCTGAAAAAAATAATACATTTTGTTTCAATGTGAAAACCTCTACTAAAGTTTGACTGAGTACTTTGAAAAAATGTACCAGACTGAATCGGCAAATGATCTGAAAAATTACCCTACTGAATGCTCTTTTAAAAATAGTATAACATTTGTATGTTCTTTCTACTAAAAATTGAATACATAATTCCAAGTTTTAACATTGAAGTCGTAATACTTGCAAAATACTACAAATAAAAAATAAGTGCAGCAGTCTTTTGTATCCAACACATCACTAAGTAATGAAACGACCTAACGTGTCATTGACTATCTCGCTCTCACATTCATTGTTCGGTCGGTAGCATGGTGTCACCTCGAGGAACAGACGTGGTACCACCGAACGCGCAGGGTTGATTTAGTCTGCTCCTTGTGTTAGTGCTACACACGTGGTATTTAGCTCTTTCGCTGTTTAGGTCGTTTCATTCCTTAGTGATTGGATACAAAAGACTGCTGCACATATTTTTTATTTGTAGTATTTCGCAAGTATTAGGTCTTCAAAGAGAAAACTTGAAATTATTAAATTTTTGGTAGAAAGAACTTACAAGAGTTATTCTATTTTTAAAAAAGCATTAAATAGGGTGGTTTTTAAGATCATTTGCCGATTCAGTCTGGTACATTTTTTCACAGTAATTAGTCAATCTTTAGTAAAGGTTTTCACACTGAAACAAAATGTAATATTTTTTTTAGCGTACCGTGCTAGTTTTCAATGAAATAAATACTCGGTTATCTCAACCTACTATTAATGATAGCCCAGGAAAAAACTGATAAGTTAGAAGTTCTTAATAGCCATACAGGCAAAAAGGAGCAAAAAGTAGTGATTTTTTGAAAAGACCTAAAAGTGGCAATATCGCGAAAACTAGAAAACTTGTACTAAGGTCATGTTGATTTTATTTGATGGATCTGAAGTCAATTACTCTGGCCTGTTATTTCCGGGAGACCCTGTATATAAAGATATAAGCAATTTATGCTATTTTCGACCCCGAAAAACAATACAAAACAAAATTTTAGTATTGCAAAAGTTCCTTTAAACATTCATTAGAAAGTCTCAAACCATTTTAGGGTGCATTGTGAACCTTTGCTTCATAGTTGCTTATTACGTGTCAATGATGGTTACTAAATGGTGAATGAGCGTACACATTAAAGTATGCGCGTCCTGCTTTAAGATGTAAGCTCATTCACCATTTTAAACCTCATTCACGTGATGAATCAATTTATTATAATAGAAAACAAAGGTTCACAACAACAACACCCCATTAAATGCTCTGCGATTTTCTTAATAGACGGTTGAAGGATATTATTTATAAACTCCGACAACATTAACATTTTCGTTTTTCTTATTCGCCTGAAAAACTTAACCTTAATCTACAAATCTACACTCACTAGTAACAGGTAAATATTTTTCTAGAAAACTGCAGATCTACAAACTTCGCTAAACAGCGTAAAATCTAGACATAAAACTGAAAACTAACTGTGTAACCTATGAGAATCATTTTAAATAAAAACGAATATGCTAAGATTAAGTATACAATGTAAGATTAACTACAGTGGTTGAATGTAAAAAATGTATATGTTATTTAGTTCTTATTTTTATATTCAAATTAAAAAATAATTTATGACCACCGCATTTAAAAAAACATCTCAAAATTAAATAGTCATTACGATAAATACAAAACTGTCAGTAAAGTATTTCATTTGCAAAATTGTAATAGTAACATAACTAACAAATCTGGATGTTAAAAGGTAATATTTGAATTTTATAAACTGAATAACGATATCAGTGTTCGAATTTAAAAATGTTTATGGTGGAATTTTAAAAAATCAGTTTATGAATACACAAAATACATAGTGATGTAATTTTAATAGACACTAATTTAAAATTACAGAAAATCGATTCAAGAAATGTGTAAACGAATAATTATACAAAATTGACATTGTAGCATAAATAAATGTCCAAAAAACAAACAAAACACACCTACTACTTGACACCTAACTGACAAAATACGGCACATGGCACATGACACAGAATACAAAAGTCTGTCTGTGACCTACCGCACTATACAGGGTGTAACACTATTGTTTTGTTTTTGTTGTGTTAAATTGCTTCTATTTTAAAGACTAGAGCTGCTGCGAAAAAAAAAGAAATAAATATTTGAAATCAAAAATACTCAAATTCAGTTCTTACTTGTGTGACGATCAAATTATGTTTACAGCTCCATGCGTTGTTCCTCATGTCTCCCAAGGTCGAGTGGTTCTATTTTCCAAAAACGAAACAGCTACTACCTCAACGGTTGTTCAGCACGGAGAGCAGTTGTTAGTGGAATGCGATTCTCAGTACGAATTTCTTGCCAGCACCGATTTTGTGACGTGTGATAATGGTACTTGGACCACCATACCTAAGTGCGAACCAGCTAGGTAAGGCTCGAGATCATAAGTTTAGATCATAAATTTTACTTCAATTTCCATTTTGCGCAAGTAGGTGGGAATGGTTTGTCAAACCGAGTTTCACAGACGACAGAGAGACCCTTACGTCCTCTGGCTCGCAACCGTTAGACGTTCTGCGTTACGCACAGAGATGTCGCGCTGCACCACTACCACGGTCGACTGTCAAGCGGTCAGGATACGAAGTAGTCATACAGCAAACCAACAGTGGCTTTCTATGCTTATATGTATGAAGAGAACACCCACTTATTTGCTTCCTATTCATCAGTCTCCAAAGCTAGATCTAAGACCTATACCGCACTGATTTGATAATGAGCACGAAACAGCGCTTCTTGCGGTTGGTCATGGTTGCAGAAGCGGAAAGCAAAAATCTCCATTTCAGCTGTTTAACTTTTACATTTAATCATATAATAGTAAGAGACGAGTGACACCTATGACTATTCAACAGCCTTTTGTGCGAGGTTTTACGGAAAAACCCCTCGGTCATCTGCCATGCATCCCAACATGGTAGTGCTTGACGCATTTCATCATGGTGGGTAGTCGGGTCTTTATTCTGCTATTCCATATTTCAGACTAGCCGTAGTAGTGGAAGCACCTTTTTATTGCTCACGCCGATTGCAAGATTGTATGTTTTTGGATGTTACAAGACGTAAACATCACAAAAAAACATGCCACTGATTTTCGTGGGTCTGAGTGAGGTAGAGGTATTATGTATCTAGAAAAGTAGGTTTTTTTGACAATATGTAGGTTTGTTATGGCATTCTGTAAGTTTTCCATAAATATGTCAACTTGGAACTAGCTGTCGTTCGCTTCATGTTCACTTGTAGCAAGCGCGGAATGAACAATTTACTCACTAGCCTACTTAGTTAACAAGTTGAGATTTTATCATTTTTTTACCATATAGGTTTTTTACGTAATAACCCTGTCGTTCTGTCTGCCCGCTAATCCTTAGCCCATCTATAATTTGGAAAGAAGCCCTCGGATCTTGATGAAATTTTGACATAAGGTTAATATTATTTATGCTGAGGAACAAAAGCTTTGTAGTTTTTGGAATTCGAGGCAGTGGCCGCGGTGTTACGGCAAAAAATGAAATAAAATCACTCAAACTTCGTTTTCTTGACGTTTTAGGGACTTTCCGGAAAACATTTTTTAAGAATAGAAAATTGAGTATGGGGGTTGTAGAGGATGTGGTAGGGAAATCTCAATTTTTTAGTGTTAGTAGATTTATACGCTTTCAACCTTAGAAATTCTACGCACCTATTTGATATATTTCGCACATGGACTTCTCTGTACATTTAACCTTAAAACTTGTAAGTCGGTCGCTGACGTGCGATGTTTAGTCATAGCAATGTTGCCAGATGGCCGTTTCTGTTGGTAGGGCAGGGGAGACATTTTTAGATGGCAACGTTGTCATATGGGTAACCAGCGACTAATTGAATGGTCCTGTTTGAGTGACTTGATCCGTTAAATGAATATGTTACACATGGTCGTAACTAACCTTTTCCTCAGGGGGTCTAACTTTAGCCTAACACAATCCATTAAGAACTGGGACTACGTGGGAAAGAAAAGTCAGCCTAATTGACGCCATTTTTTGTAATCACAAGAATGAATGTCGTTGAAAATCAAAACCCGGCCAATTTTGGGATGCTTTCAGATGCAAGTCTTTGCCAAAAGTACCTCGAAACGGGATGGTACTTGCTCCGAAAATGGAACATGGAATGAAAGCAAGATTCAAATGCAAGGATGGCTTTAAGCTTAAGGGAGAACACTTGATGGAATGTTCTTTTGGAAACTGGACTGGAGAAATGCCAAAATGCGAAGAAGGTAATAAAATAATACGAACATTCACTATATTTTCGTTTGTTAATTATAACTTTCAGAAAAAGAGATTTTGTACCGAATTTCGGTATCATTTGATTAGATGTGCTAATTAAAGTTATTTATTTCATGAGCTATGAGCAAAACTTTTATCTGTTATCTAATAAACTGAATTCTTCCAGTGTACTGTCCATATCCAGGTTTAGTGGAAAACGGAAAGATCCTGTTGGTAGGCAACATGGGCTTATACGATTATAGACCGTATGTAAAGAAGGTGGCCAATAACAAACAAATAATGTACGATTGTGATAAGGGACATGTGCTAGCGGAAGGTCCACCAGGAGCAACATGTATTGGAGGATCATGGAGTCCCAAAGAACTACCCAGGTACCTATGAATTTTTCACTTTGATATCATTTTGCTCCAGTCTGAAACTTTAGATCTTATTAGTCACTTGATTTTTCAGAAAAGCCTAGATTAACATACACGATCATATGTCATTGCAGAATCTCAGTAACTGATGTGATAATTTTTATTTTAAAAAAATGTTTGTTGTGAACTTGTAGAAGTTTTTAATTATTTTTTTGTTCATCCCACTTACAGTATTTTTGAATTCATTTTTTTTTTGTTGATTCGAGGTATTTCCTGTTTCAGATGCGTCCTGGGCCAACATCCAAGGATAAGGTGGAATAGAAGAAAACGATCGTTGGTAACAGAGAAATACAAGAGATCCTTCATCAGAAATTACAAAGTAATTTATGAGAATCGACAGAAAAGACGCGTACCAGACTATCTTTCATTATTAGAAGAGAAACCAACTTCAATTAGAAAAACATTGGTAGATGTTTTGAGGGAGATAAGTAGTAACCGAATAAAGAGGGCACTCAAAGGTACTACAGGTATCATGTTTTTTTTATTCTACAGCATGTGACAGAACGACAATGATTGGAAAACTTACTATTTGTCTACATTGATGAAATTTTCAAAAATAATGAAATTTTTTAAATAATGAACTTTGTAATCATCTGAAATTTGACAAGCGTGATAATAACAATTATGAAATATGAAGCTGTTTAGACATGTTTGCATGTGTCAGACATTAAAAAAAATCTGCTGTGATTTTATTTCTGTTTATATTGTAAATTTCTAGCACAACATACCTGAATTATAGTTTGTTTTTGTGAACGACAAATTTCTTCGCATATCGACATGTCAAGAAAGTATTTTATTTTTGGATATTGTAACGTTTATATCCTGTCAGTTCCGCCTGTCTGGCGTTTGCATCCAACAACTTTCAGTAAAGGCAAACTAAGGGTGAACATTTTTTGGGGTTTAGAGGTCATAAAATCAACAAAAACTTAGCTCGAATTCAGTTTTTTACCGTTTTTGATCACCTGATCATGATCATGAGGTGGAATATTTTTGGAAAGGTCAAAAATTGCAGGGATTGTAGATAGTGAGGGCCAATTGCTTTTAGCCATCAATGAAAGCCGTTCAATGTACCGATTTAGATCAAATTTGAGCAACGATATTGGTAGTATAGTAGGTGTTTCTGAAAAGTGGTCCACTGGCAACGGGGTTATAAATAAGAAACAAAAAAATATGGTCAGAGACTATTTTTATGATTTTTCGTATTCTCGTCGAATTTAGATTTAGACATTTTTAGAAGGGTAAACAATTTTTAACAAAGCATAACTTTCTTGAACTTTACATTAAATTACAGATGTCAATAACCATGCACAAAGCATTCCAAAATTCTTCAAGACACTATTTTTTTTTGTTTCCCGAATTCACAATGTAGGTAAAACCGTTTTTAAAGAGTTTGGAATTTTTATACAGCGTGTTTCATTGCGACAAGCAAATATTTCAATTTGACCAGGAGCCACTGAGGTAATTATAAATAATGATGCGTCATTAGCCTCCTATAATCAATACAATGAGTTTTATCGATATTTATTGTACTATATTTTTCTCAAACTTAATAGACGTACTTAACCCATCGAATCGACCATGATATAAACAGGGGAAAAATACAAAGATACTTGAAATGTAACAAACCCATTTTACGAAAAAACAACCTACCTATATACCGGTAAATAGTACGACAAAAAAATAGGGAAGATAGGCGAAGGGTAGATCTACAACTTACCAAAAAAGTATTAAAAGTTTTACTGTTTTTGAGATATTAATTTTTCGAAAAATTTACTCGTTTGATCTTTGTTGGTGATTAAGCAAGTAATTTATTGCAGTACTTTGCAGTAGCAGTCTATTACATTTTTATTTGATTGCTGAATACCAAAGTTGAGTAAAATAGTTTTCTAAAATAAAAATTACGAAGAAGAAATTAGTTTGTCAAGTTTACCTACTTGTATTTATCAAAAATGATATTTCAAATGGCAGACCAACTATCTGAGAATATTTTACAAAAAAAAAACAAACAGATATCCTGTTATTTCAACAAAAGATCAGATTAAAAAAAGAGAGACAAAAAATGTATATCTCAAAAACAGTAAAACTCTTACTTGGATCATTTTTTGGTATGTTGTAGATCTGCCCTTCGCCTATGGTCCCTATTTTTTTGTCGTACTATATATCGGACTCTGTATAAGAATTTCTAAAACTCGTTTACATATTTGAAAAGAGCACAGAAATTACATTCTAACGATCCACTTTTGTTATTTGAGCAGATGATGATGTATGAGCTGTAAATCCATACTTACTACTTACAGTTACGCACTTATCGGTTATTTCCAACAATGAATTGTTTTTTGGAAATAAACGAATAATTTAGTAAAAGGTTCGACTCAACAAGATTATACAAATTTGTACAATGCACAATAAGATGTGCTCACTATAAAATGCTATCGTCATTCGGCCTGAATTGTATCAATGTTAGATATAAACATTTTTACGAAAACTCCGTGCTATACTTCAATAGTTTAATATCTTTTATTTGAATATAGTCGGACGCGGCAAATTACTATGTACTTTTAATGGCGCCATCAATTTATATGTATTTAACTACACATTTTTTGGAAACTTTTCTTCGAGAATTATATGAAAACTGAATACGAAAAAGTGGAACCAAGTACGTTGCCACAGTACTTCCCACACATTAGTATCTATACTTATTTGTACATTTTTCCCATAATTTCTGTCAAAAGGACCAAATTTTGCAAAATTCTTTACACTCAACCTGATCAAAGGAGAAACATTTTAGCTACACAGAAGTTCTAAGAGTTTTAAGCGATATATGCAACCACTTAAGTCATGAGAACAAAGATTTAGATAACAGGCATGCCTGGTTTCAGAATTTTCGAGCAACCTATCTTTCTACTATGGCCCGAAATAACCAGAAAATAGAAAATCGTCAAATAACAAATTTGCGCATTTTTTAGGTGTTGACCCCCATGAACTTTGTGCTACGTCAAAAAACAACCAGCAACTCCAAGAACATCCACAGCATTAAGTTTGTTGACGTTCTCAGATTTTTGATTTTTACTTTTTCCTGCGCTTATAATTGTAAAATCATTAAAGGTGTTCTGTCATTGACATAGCACTATCTTTGTCTAAAAATTGTATTAGGATCCAAGCAGTAATTTCCGAACTATAGGAATAGAGGACCTCTTAGCTTCTGTTGCTGAAGTTATTATTAAGGTCCTTTTTGTACTCAAAAAACATACAGAACCTGTTTGATGCATGATCAATCAAGCACTTGAACGATGAACAATAGACACGGTAACGCAGTTAACGGCACTGAAAACGCAGTCCGACTCTGAACCTCAGTGTCTGCCACTGCTTCTCACTGAAGTGAACGCGTCTACAGCTCGGGTTATATTGGTGCCAATTGTGCTAGAACCTATGCTGCTCTGTGTGCGCGAAAACTCGTCTGACAAATATTAGCCAGAGTGACTCTACTGGTCCTATAATGTGGCTGGAAGACCAAACCATAGTTATTAATACGAGTGATGTCTTTTAAGTTTTGCATATAGAAACATAGTAGGCCGCGCGGATCGAACGTCAGTACTGAATCTTAACCTCACTCTTTAGTAAACTTAAATTCAAAGTTTCACAACAATATGTATTCTCACTACAGTGAATTTTTAAGTGTCACCAAGTCATTAGAAAAATGGAACTCAACCGAGAACATTTTCACGCCATAATTTATTACAACTTTCAGACACAATTATCGCAAAAAGAATGGCATGCTGAGTTACTGTCTGTTTTCGGCAGGGTGGGTGCACCAAAAACGGCAGTCACCCTGGAAAACGTCGATGCTGTGCGCAAACTCATCATTGAAGATAGACATGTGACATATCGCGAGATTGAGGCATCCTTGAAGATCTCAAAGACCTCAATTCAAAAAATTTTACATGAAGAATTAGGAGTAAGAAAATTAGTTTCTCGTTGGATACCCCACCTCTTGATTGAAGAGCAGAAACCAGCCAGGGTTAATTGGTGTCAAAAAACGCCTGACTGTTTCAATTCCGGAAACTCAAAAAATGCGTACAACATTGTTAGTGGTGATGAATCGTGGATTTACTGTTATGGACCAGAAAATAAACGACAGTCGGAAGTTTGGGTGTTCCAAGGTGAAGAAAAGCCAACAAAAGTCATTTGTTCTCGAAGTGTTTCGAAAAAGATGGTCGCGACATTTGTGTCAAAAGCGGGACATATTGCAACAATTTCTCTTAATGAGCAAAGAACTGTTACTGCGGATTGGTGTACCACCATTTGTTTGCCAAAAGTCATCACCGAGCTTCGAAAAATCAACTCGCAAAGAAGAAGCATCCTCCACCAAGACAATGCAAGCGCGCACAGCCCAAAAAACAAGGCAGTATTTAACGGAAGAGAACGTGGAATTATTGGACCATCCTCCATAACATATAGTCTCGATCTAAGTAGTAAAGATTTCTTTACTTTCCCGAGAATTAAAAACAGACTGCGTGGTTAAAGGTTCCAGTCACCAGAAGAAGCAGTTAACGCAATCAAAAATGCCGTTTTGGATCTGCCAGCAAACGAGTGGAATAAGTGCTTAGAAAATTGGTTCGAGCGCATGTGGAGAATACTTCAAAAAACAATAAAGTCATTTAAGACTACCGACCGTGTTGTTTTATTTCCATATGCAAAACTTAAAAGACATCCCTCGTAATTGCCTCAGTGACCCCATCTACGGTTAAAATTTAAAATATCTCCTTCTCCCAAAGGAACACCCTGATGCGTAGGTACTTTAAAATCAGATTCATGTTAATAAATGGTAGGTACCGAATCAATCTACTTGGTGCAATTTTTCCAGGTGGCAGTGGTAGCAGAGCCCTAGGAGCCAGCCATCGCGGCTCAGGCTCCTCGTTGAACCTCCGCAGAGGCAACAAATTCAAAAACGCCGTCGACGAAGACGTCGATATGCCGTCTCTCAACTTGGACGACAAATCAAAAGCAAAACGAGATCCCTGCGAAGAGCTGTCTCAGGAGGACTACATCCACGTGAAAATCATCAAGCCAGGGAGAGATCCGAATCTTCCTTACAGCTCGGGAGTCACAGTGAATGTTACCTGTGATAAAGGGTACGGGTTGAACCTGCCTGAGAATAAGACGGCCAAGTGTATGAGGGGAAAGTGGAAACCGATGAAGCCAGAATGTCTTAAAGGTGATTTTTTACAAGTTTTATTTATTTCTGGATGTATATTTCTCGATTATTGAAAATAATATTGTTTTGTTTCCGTGTATGGAGTTGGTATAAGCAAAACATTAACCGCAAACACACTTTTAAAACTTATGTAAAAAGATATAAAGATTGGTTAATAATTAGAACTAGTAAACGTTAAAAAACATGCACACAAAGATTATAGGTTATATTTTTTTGGTAATATCCTTAATTTTCGTATTTGAATCAATGGGGCAATGCGAAATTTTGGTAATTGAAGAGCGAAGGGTCCCAGGTTCCGAACGCCCCCAAGAAGGTGTTATCGCCCAGTTTGAGAAACACTAATCTAGATCGAGGTCCATGCAGACTAGTGAATACGAATAAAGCGATTTGCAAAATTTTCGTAAACACAGTACTTCCTTTCCTTCATCGTCAGTTGGTGAAATTGAAGCTTTTCGTAATTGTAGATTTTTCCTCTCTTATTAGCGTGAAAGCAAGAAACGGGTAACAGCGTGTGTGAGATATCCATAACTCGGATCCAATTCTCAAGCAACATGTATCAGTTTTTGAGAATGTGTTCTGAAAAAAAAATAACTCGGAAGTGGCGGACTGTGATCTAGTTACATATACCGGGTGTTCCTTAATGGTATGCGAATATTTAAGGTTGTGAATCTACATTTTCAACAATTTTTGTAATCATTTCGTTGGTTTTAATGTTACTTTTATGTTGTTAGTTGTTGTTGTTCATTACCCCTAATGTGTTTAATAATAATTGTGCAAGTTAGACAATAGAACGGTTTTTATTTTTTTACTCAAAAATGGCGCATCGAAGGAAAACAATACAAGAGAGATCATTTGTTTTAAATTAGACGGGGAATTCAAAAATAATATTTTATAATTTTATTTGGCAAAAAACCATTGACGTACCATTTTTTTCTTGAAAAATATCGAAGTCAATACCTGTACGCACGCCACTGTTAAAGCTAAGAATTATTTCTGCATTGAAAAATATGCAACTTTATTGACTTTTGCTACGTACTGAATATCAGTGAAATATCTGAAGGGGTTCAGAAAATATTAATTAATTTCCATTTTTTTTCTTAAAACTTTAACACCCCGAGTGTTTTGAACCATAGTTTATAAAGTAAACTAACATTAATTTTTCATGTAGATTCACATTTTATAATATTCGCATATCATTAAGGAACACTCTGTATACTGCAACAAAGTGAAATTCATGACAAAAATGTTTACCTTTTGATTCATATTATTTTGAAGGAACCTGGATAAATGATATCTAAACAAAAAAAAATACCAAGAACTGTTCCTTTGTGGAATTTTCGCAAACTTACGTAAAAGGCTATTTTCAAACTTCCTTATTTTTAAAATAAAATGCCGAAATAACAAATACAAATTGTAAATAACGAAACATCATCCGTATGTCACTCGTGGACTAAGGTTGTCTTCTTTAAATATTTCTAAAACACTCATAGTCAACGTAAAAAGTTATTATTTTCTCGTTTCATTGAAAAAACAATTATGGATGTTCCATTCATAAAAGCAGAAAGCACAGATTTCCCGAAAATTGACACATTTATGCTTGGTAACTTTTTTCTTCAATCCAGATTTCTGCTTTGCTGAGCTAAGGAACATCAAGATCTCTATTTAAATACAGTGCATCTGATATAATAATGGATAATTGATAATCTACAAAATTGTTCGTCCAAAATGTGGCAATTTATCAATAAAATACAAAGCAAAAAACAAAACAACAAAATTAGTACAATTAAAAAAGAAAATGGTGAACTAATGAGTAATGATGTAGATATAGCAAATGAATTTTGTGAATATTTTTAAAAAATCGGGAAAAGGTTGTCAGAAAACATAAAAAACGCGGAGAAATTAAATTATAGTAAGACCAGATTATATAACTCATTATATCTGGAAGCGACCGATACGCATGAAATAAAGGCAATAATCAATGAATTGAAATTAAGAAAATCTCCAGGTCTAGATAATATAACAGCATATACTCTCAAGAGAATAAATTCCAACATCTGCGGCATACTGTCATATTGGATAAATTCTTGTATGAATAAAGGAGTATTCCCTACATGTTTAAAACACGCTATGGAAGTTATGAATAATAATTACAAAAAGGTTGATGTAATCCAAAAATTAATTCTAAGATTGATTCTCCATAAGGAAATTACTTATTCAAGTGATTTTCTATATGTGGAGGCTCAGCTATTAGATTGCAGACAAATTTATTTTTATTGTGGTCTAATACATTATTTCAAATATTCGAAATACTTGAATCGTACCATTCATAACTACCCAACAAGATTCAATCAAAATTCAATGTGTATTCCACAAACATCAAAAACCATTACACAACGATCTCTGGTTTTCTTGGGACCAAAATTCTATAACTTTATACCAGAGTCATTAAAAGTAATTAAATCAAATAAATTATTTAAAAAAGAACTAAAAAAATGGATTTTACAACAACCAAGGTACTCCATCCACGAAATTGTAGATCTGAAAAATCATTATCAAAATCAATAATATTTTACTCACACTAAGATCCATACTTTTACTTTAGTTATAATTGTCTGGATATTTTTCCTTACATTACCATAATAATTCACCAAATTATACAGTATTAACGGTTTTTTTTCATACACTGACTGTACTATTATTTTTTATTTTTAACAAACCCAAACACAAGTGCAAGGTTTTTTTGGGTGCTTTATGTTTATTGTGCACAATATTTGATATTTACCTGTATTTTGTGACAACAAACATTATTATTATTATTATAATTATTATTATTATTATTATAATTATTATTATTATTATTATAATTATTATATAAAAAGACAGAATAAGCATTACACTTACGATGATCTTCCGTTTCAGAAGTCATTCAAAGCTAAGCTCATGCATCGTAACCCCTGAATAATTTTATATGATATTGTAGTAAGCCTCGAACATAAGGTATGTTTCAAGCATTACACAGTGTTGTCATGTTTCTATGTTTAAAAGTTTGAGTTACGCTGCTCTCAGTTGCTGTTTACAAATAGTGTGACTTCAGAGCACATTAATATATCAGCGAAGCATGGTGGACAGTGTTTTCGCCTGTCTGTGAAAAATACATTTTTAAATTTAAGGTCTTTTAGGTCTGAAAAAAATAGTATTATTTTTTTGGTCTAATAGAACAATTATCAACTATTTGAGACCTACTTAATGAAGTATTAACTCGTCTATTGCAATTAGTCTGATCATATTAGCAAATTTCGCCAAAATAATTGTAAAGTTTGTTTTATTCAGAAAGATAAATGTTATTTTTATACGAAAAACAAAGGTTAGTTTTTTTTACAGATTCAAACATTTCGTATTTGTGAGTAATTGAACAAATGCACCACGATATTTGAAATGCATACGTTAATATACACATTTTAAGACATAGCGGATGCCTTTTGTTGCAATTACTCGCAAATACGAAATGTCTGACTTTATTTAGAAGAAAAAAAACGTAACCCTCTGTTTTTCACATAAAAATAACATTTAAGCTCGTGTATTTTGCTATTAAATGCCCTTCGAACGAACCCTGTATATTACTCAATAAACTAGTAGTGATGGGATAAGCAATTAAAACATTTCCAAAAACTACTTGATCTATCTATTCCAATTTTGTTGTGGTTATTTAGAAGTGTGAATCCTACGAATTTGAAGAGTTTCAAGTATCTGCGTGAAACTATCGTCGCATTACCAACAAGTGCCAAAACCTGCATTTTGCCTCGGATTTTGGCCATAACATTTTTGTTATTAGTCGGATCTTTTTACGTGTGATCTCATTCTGTATTAAAAGTTTTCCCACTAAAATTGGTGTACCCATTTTATGCCTCCATGTTTTGAATACCGCCTCGAACAACTTGCAGCAATAAAACCAGACTTTAAAATTACTTCGCAAACCAGGGCTAATTTTGTCTAATATGATTAGACTAAATCCCTAATGGCGATACATCTATTTTGCAGCCCCCTGCCAGCTTCCAAAAGTCCAAAACATCCAATACTCCTCCGGGTACCGCCCCGGCATCATTATAGAAAACGGAACCGTTGTGTTATTCTATTGCTCGAACAATAATACCGAAAACATCACCTTAAGCGGTAATGCGAAGAAGACGGAATGTAACGAAGGGCAATTGACACCTGATGTGATTGGCTGCGACGAGGGAGGTGACAGCCTTCCGCAGGGCGTGGCCGTCAACAGGACAAGCAAGGCGGGGTTTCTGGGCGGAAGCGACATCATGAAAGGTGGTGACTTTAAGGATATCGATTACGCAGGCTCGGTTATAAAGTATTGTGGACCACCAGCCAAGTAAGTATGATGGAAACATGGTAGCTTCCAGCTTCAAAATCTAAGCTTCCTTTTTAATGACTGCCCATCTTTTACGTCATACTTTATACAAAGTATAATAATGATAATGTATTTGCAAAAAAATAAAGCTTTGCTATAATTTGTTGCCAGTACAGGTGCAACAATGGCAAATTAAAAAGGCACTGCCATGAAAGTGAAACCTTGTGCAAGGCACTGATCCTATTTTTGTCACATTTGCCATCATGGTCGTAATTTATGCGTTGGAAACTTCTTGTTATCGCAAACTTACGCACTGATGTTTTTTTTCTATAAGGTCACTGGCGAAACAACTTATGATTGAGTAGTGAAATGACACTGTTATTATACTAAGTGACATATAAATCCAAACACCCAGTTTAAATGGTTTTATTTTAATAAAAGTTGGTGAATGTATTTATCTTACTGTAAATAACAAGTGAAAAAATTGTCAGCCTTATCAGTTGGACATTCCGGTTTTTATACTGCTTTTTTTTAATTCACTAACGCTCTAAAAATGAATATTTCAGCCGCAGTAAAGAATCAACGTTGGTGGATTTTGGTTCTTGACATCCTTTACGATCGGTTACGATGCCTAGAGTACGGAGACCTGTACGATTTCGTCAACTTAGTGAGTTTGATAGGGGCCGTATAGTGGGACTTCGGGAAGCTGGACTTTCCTTTCGGGCAATTGCAGTTAGAGTGCAAAGAAGTGTAGACACTGTGGTTAGGTGTTGTCAGGCATGGCTTCGAGAAGGCCGTACGCAAAGAGCAAGGGACACTGGACGCCGCCGTAGAACAACAGACCGTGAAGATCGCCGCCTAAGATTATTGGCCTTAAGGGACCGTTTCTCCACTACCAGGTCCATTACAAATGAATGGTTTGCAGAACACGGAAGACCTATTGGCATGCGAAGTGTTTACCGACGAATGAGAAGTTTTGGCTTGTTTTCATACCGGCCACACTGGGTCCTCCCTTTAACTCGAGAACACCGACGTAATCGCCTTGAGTGGTGCAGACAACGGTCACTCTGGGATCAGGAATGGAACAGTATTGTCTTTAGTGACGAGCCAGGGTTAGAAGGCGACGTGGTGAAAGGAGGAATCCATAGTGTTTTGTTGAAAGACATGTTCATCACACTGTTGGAGTTATGGTTTGGGGTGCTATAGCTTATGGTTCCAGGTCACCTTTAATCTTCATCAGGGGTAACATGAACGCGCAGCGTTATATCCATGAAGTTCTAGAACCCCATCTTTTACCCTATCTTGACACCCTGGCAGATCCAACTTTCCAACAAGATAATGCCCGACCACATGTTGCAAGAGTCACAATAGACTTCTTTCAACATAATGATGTCACATTGTTACCATGGCGACCAAGATCTCCCGACTTATCCCCAATTGAGCAAGTGTGGGATATGATGGGTAGGAGATTGCTCAATTTGCAACGTCCTCCTCAGACTCTAGAAGCACTTCGAGAGGAGTTGGTGGTTGCCTGGAATGAGATACCACAGGAGGACATTGACCACCTGATCAGAAGCATGCCTAGGCGCGTTGGAGAATGCGTAGCACATCAGGGTGCATCCACACATTATTAAAGGTCAAAGGGCTTTAAAGCAGTGCAATCATTTTGAAATTTTTATCATTTGCTTATTATGCTTCATTAAGTACTTATATAAAATTTTATTAAAATAAAACCATTTAAACTGGGTGTTCGGATTTATGTCACTTAGTATATTATTATTAATATTGATAGTATTAAAGTTAAAAATGCGTTGAGGCTATAACTATGCGTAAAGTATGAAAAAGTGAAAAAAAAGTTGAAAATATTAGAACACAAAAAATAATACGTTCACAAATCATTAAGGTGTACACATTAAAGAAGTATTGAAACTAATAAAAGTATGAGTTTTCACAACATTTAAATATCCAAAAAATAATCTGTAGTATATCGAAGGAATAATTAGAAGATTAAAATAAAGTAAAAACAAAATGAATATAAAAAACACTACAAGTATACGGAAATCATCACATTCATACAGGATGGTGATTATGTCTGGGCTTTACATAGAGGTATATACAATGTTTTGCCACGTAGGGTGAAGTTCAAATTTTGCTGTTATCGTAATGTGTAGGAGAGAGAAGCGCGAGAAGTATATTATGTTAGCAGGAGTGCGCAGATGGCAACGCGGCACGCCGCACCTACGTTCGTGGCCTCGTCACTCGGGTTGCTAGGCAACGATGTGCTGCTATCTCTAACGCACGTATTACACGCTTCTCGTGCTTCTCTCTCATACACATTACGACGTCAGTGGTACATGGATTTCATTGTATATAGTCATGGATTTTGGGGGGATGTTATTTTAAATAGTCCAATATTTTTTAATGTTTTGTTGACGATAGGCATTCTACAGCTCTGTAATAGTGTTTTTTCAGGCTCGGGTATTTTTTGGTGCAGAACTGAATAGAATCTGTTTGCTTTCTGCCTCTGCGACCATAACCAAACAAATACAACGTAGTGGTTAGTATGGTGAGAAAAAGGTCTATTAAAAAACTCAATATTGTGTTGAGTGAAAAAAAGGTGACTTGTAAATCATAAGTAGTTGATTTTTATTACTTGAACCACCACGAAGGCGTAATGCCTAAACACCCATTGGGTACCGGGGGGCTATAGAGGCATGCAGGAAAAACCGTCTACCACCTACGGACAATTACAACAACCGTAGCCATGAGAATGTTTCTGTTGGGACGGAATTCCAACCCGCGCAGCGCACGGTGACTGATTAGTAGACCCACAGCATCTATCACTATGCCACCGTTGCTAGCCAGTTTCGGAAATTGTGGTACTACCGATCGTTACGTATTAACCCAGATATGCCAACAGCTCAAATAAATTATAATAAAGTATGTTCTTTGCAAATTCGTTCTATATGAAGCATATATTAAACACATTTATTATTTTTTAAACTTTATTTTAGGAAAAAGTGTAAAAAATGCCGTACTAGGCACATAGGCGAACATTAAGGTTTAGTATGGAAGGACAAAAAACATTTTACATGCATCCCTACATTGCACTTAGGGCACCTTGTTTTTGCTCTATCATGACATAAGCCATATCTAGTTAGCTTTTCTTGTGGTATCACAAAATGATCTAAACGATCATAACGTATATCTATATATGCATTAGCCGAAGGACGTCCTCTAGAAAAAGATGGTAGTTTCTTGTTTTGTTGTAACAAGGCTGTGGCAAGCCGCCGTCTAAATAATAATTGATCCATATGTCCTCCGTGCGATCTATAAAGTTGCGAGGAATTATGAATAGCCATATCAATACAGTAGCTGATCAATGAAAAATACCATTTTTTACCCCGGATGGAAATGCGATACAGACCAAAATTTTGATCACAACGATCAACGCCGCCCATATTTGCGTTGTTATACATTTACAACATGAGGCTGTTCTACCTAAAATCAAAAGCATTTTTGAAAACATTGATTTTCTTGCAGATTGTGTTTCTTACCTGAATAATTTTTTTATCCTTTTGAGAGTATCGCTTTACAAAGCGAATTAGTTGCAATCCTGCGGCATTTGAACAGAGTGTTACTAAATTATTGCCATGCCATTTTACTGCAATTATGTTTGTATCAGAAATTTTGTTGTAATCGTAACTACCACTTTTTTTCCCTTTTCATAATTTTACAATCTCTGAATTGGACGCCTTGTAAACGATTTTCTCTAGCAGTACCAGTCGCAATGACATTTTTTTCTGTCAATTTTACCATAAGAGGGAGAGAAGTGAAAAAATTGTCGAAAACTAAATGAAATTTTTTATTTGGCCATTTTCTCCTCAGTGCATCAGAATACTCTAATAGCACACCAGCACCAACCCCCAAATCTGCATAATTCTTACTAATGTTGGTTGACGACCCTTGGTAAGGTTCAACCCAGTAAACGTAGCCTAGCCTTGATGCGCCAACCCATAATTTATAGCCGTATCGTATAGGTTTTCCGTGAATGAACTGTTTGCATGAGTGTCTCCCAAAATAAATAACCATTGCCTCATCTACACTATGCATCTCTATCAAAATTCCATGTTCCATAAATTTTTGATTCAGGGTCGCAAATAAAGGTCTAACTTTTGCAAACTTATGTCCTTGCTGTAAATTGTAGTTATCTACTAAATGGAAATTTGAAATAATATACTCAAATTTATTTCGTGTAAGCGCTTCTGGGACGAGTTGATTATTAGCATAAGAACATTCTTCTACGTGGTACATCGACATAACCACTCAATATTAGTGTTCCAATAAATGCCCTTATTTCATACTCTTGCACCTCTTGTTGGCGATTCTTTTGCCTGGCATATCTATTTGTTTCAGTTGTTATGCTTGTTATAACTTCGCCGTCAAAACAAAGTGAAATCCATTCAAGTGAACAGAAGAGCTTCAACACATTATTAACATTAAGGTGGGATATCTCAGCTTTTGCGAAATTTCGAGTTAAAACTTTAAACTTGTAAAAGTTGCTCCTAATCGGTGTTGCATTTTTTATGTCATTTAGTATATTTATGTTATCCATGCGGCAATATTATAAAAGACTGATTCTTTGATTTTACGTCTAACATACTATATTGCCTCTTTACTTCTTTGTAAGCCATTATTGGTGTTTTTTATTTTCGTGTATCTTTCAGGGTTAGAGGATCCCTCGTTTACAGAAACGGAAAGCAAATTATCGAAAACGATAACACGTTCCCAGAAGGTACGGAAGTTACTTTCAACTGCATAGAAAGCATAATGGGAGAAAAGACCACATGGAAGATAGTGTGCGAAGATGGTAGCTGGATTGGTCGATCCTTGAATTGTGGTGGGTGCAAATAGTTTAGATATATTGAGTTTGATAAAGTTATTTCATCTATGTCACATGCAAAAGATATTTGAAGCATGAAATTGACAGTTGGAATAAAAATTCAATTGCGTTTTTGTGATCAATTTTCGTTTTATTTATCTCCCTTCCAAATAAAATAAAATATGTTGTATGTACATTTTGTTGCAAGAGGGACCTTACGCCTTAGCCTTCTAGGCTCAAATCCTCAGAGAACAAGAGCCCGCGACAGCCAGACCGCCGTTACTTTATACAACCTAAAAGTTTCTCTGTGCATGTCCCTAACACAGGTAAAAGCGATCAAGGAATATGAAATTTGGATAGTGGTTACTTTGGTAGGTTACAGGTACCAAATGTGTATAAATAGTACCTCAAATTCGAAGTATGAAACCGAGATATTTATATTTTCTTCAGAATAACGTTAGATCGATTACGTATTAAGTATCTTGAAAAGTGACAATATGCCGATTTTTTTTTGACATTGTATTGCTTTTTGTGGCATTATGTAGGTTTTTCTACAAGATGTTAACTTAGCAATAGTTGATGGACACTTGTTGTGAACTCGTTTTGTAGTTGTACGTGTTGCCTAAACGTCATGATGCTTCAGTTAACAATGTTTGGCCCTGATGCGATGTAAAATCTGCTTCAAAGGTGGCATTACTTGAGATAACGGCAATGCATAGGTGCTTAGTGAGGATTTGTGTGCTAATAAAATATGTGTTAATGATAATTCTCTTGGATTCTTGTCTCACATACACTTTCTTGAGATTCAAGGTTAGAAATTGGCTGCGCATCCACTTTTTCTTATCCATTACATATGCAAATTAGCTGGATTTCAAAAAAGAGAGAGATGAGAAATAATTATATTCACTGTACATTGTCGAATGACAAGTCATATACATGCTAACAGTAATTACACACAACGCGGGCGCGGTGGTGATTTGCCGTAATTCTCCACAAAAAAAAGTAAAAAATCATATTTGTTAACTTTGAATATAACCTGTCTTCCGAAAGGACAACACATAAATAACCCGTCGGGCACACCTAATAGATATACTTCATTGGCAGCATTTTCAGTAATGATTTTCTCATACAGCAAATATCACTGATTTGATACACATCCAGACCAATACACACAATCATCCAGATGCGACCTTACTATTCAACAAAATAACCAACTTTCTTCTCAAAGACTCAAAGATGAAAACTGTAGACCACTCGGCTTACAAAAGATATGCAAATGTATACGAGTAGTTGTGCCATTCCTCCATAGATGGACGTTCACAACGATCCTAGTGAGCAAACGTGGAATGACTGTTCACACCCTAGTCTGCAAGATGACATTTTATAGGTCTTTTTTTTGACGTTTTATACGTTTTTTACATAAGACCCGTGCCGGACCCTTAGTACGGTTTCAACCCCCTGCCAGACACCTGAAACCTGTAATAAATTAGAGTTAAACTTTCGTTATAGTATAGACAGACATATCGAAAGTCTACCGTGGATGGAAGCGCCAGGCAATAAAGCTGGTGAGGGTTTGATTTTCAAATTGTTGAGATATTGGAGAAACTATCGAAAAAAGACTCAACTTTGACAAGTCGCACTTTTGCGACTGATTAGAAAAATTTCATGTTCCCCTTTTTGCTCCGATATACTTACTTTTTCAGTTTTTTTTGATAATTTATACATGGTAGTAGTAAAACACTGGCTATTATATGTGTTCTTTAAATTAAGTGATGAGACTGATTTAAAAAAAATCAAATATAATCACAATTTTGTATTGTCACCCTTAAAATAACTTCCTTCTGAAGCCAATCAGCTGTGGAGTCAGTTCTTCTACTTCTCATAGCAGTGCTGGAACTCCGACACTGGAATAGCTTTCAGCTCTTCGGTTACAATGGTTTGAATGTTTTCAACTCTCTCAAAGTGAGTTCTCTTGGGGTGATTTTTCAACTTCGGAACGAGAAAAAAGTCACAAGCATTCAAGTCAGCGAATAAGGAGCCACACGTGTAAAAAAAACTCGTTTATTGACATTGAGCTGTAACAAGGAGCATTATCGTGATGCAATACCCAGTTCTTATGAACGGTGGTCTGAGTCAAATTTAACTCATTCTGACTGTCAACCGACGATCTGACTGCACAAGATCCCGGATTCTGTCAATATTTTCATCGGTTCTTGAAGATGAAGGCCTTCCGTTTCATGGTCCATATTCAATCAAGTTTCTCCTTCTGAAAAAAGCCTTCAACCACCGAAAAACCTGGGCTATTGACAAAACACTGTCTGCGTAGGCCTGCCGAAGTTTAGCAAGAGTTTCCATCAAGCAAAACCTGATACCACACCGTTGCTCTAAATTGATGTCACTCCTTTTTAGAACACAATAGGAAAAATGTTTCACAAGAAAATCGCTACGGCCATCAAAATACTTGAGCGAGTTCAAACTTGTACTAAAAGCGGATCACATGTTCCCCTGTCTCCCCTCTAAGCCCGGCGCCTCCAGCGTTGCCAGATCGAACATACAACTTTACTACCTGTTACCCGCTAAAGTAACTTCTTTCCAAATTTCATAATCGCTGATCGTTCTTTCCTGCGTTGGGGACATGCATAGAAAAACTCTCAGGTTTTGTAAAATAACGAAGAACTGGCTATCGTGGACTTTTGCTCTATCAAATTGATAGAATTCAAGTATTGGCGTTATCACAAAAGTCCGATCGTGAAACGCTTTAGTTTCCCCGCCTTCGTGTTTCTGTTTCTCGACGTTTCAGATTCAGACGAAACCGTATCAACTCAGGCGCTCAACAACAACAGCACCTGCATCTTCAAGAATCAAGAATTGAACGTCATTTCGTTTTACAACGACCAGCAAATCCGAGAGGATGTTGTGGAGTTCCCAGCTGGGGCTGTAATCACCAGTAGGTGTGCTGATATCGGGAAATATACCATGGTAGGTCAGTATCGTTGCATGATTGCTTGGTTATCTACATACACGATAAGTCAGATATACAGAGCATTGCGTTATGATAGGTCGTGGTTACGATGGCGCATTCCAGAATCAAATTTAAATACAAAAGTTCATATGACTATGTTTTCTAAAACGACTGGTTTTAAAGTTACATGGTGTCGAATGTTTTTTTTTAGTAATATCTCAATGATCTTTGTGCCGAATTCTGTAAATTTTGGCAATATTATTAACTGCAATCAGACGCTAAGTATAGGGTAATAATGAATTCCACTGGAATCTCAGAGGGTACTGACAGAAAAAGACGCCACTGACTTTTTAAACAAATGTATTATTTCCGGATCAAGTTGTTAATCGTACAAGGAACATAATTGAAACACCTTCATTAAATGTCTAAAAATTAAAGTAAATATACAGAGTGTTCCTTAATGATATGCGAATATTTAAGGGCGTGAATCTACATGAAAAATTAATGTTAGTTTGCTTTATAAACTGTGGTACAAAAATGTTTCCTTACAAAAACTCGGGGTGTTACAGTTTTAGGGAAAAAATGGAAATCAATATTTTCCAAACTGCTTCAGATATTTCACTAATATTTAGTACGTAGTGAAAGTTAATAAAGTTACAATTTTTTCAATGCAAAAATAATTTCTAGCTTTAACAGTGGCGTGCGTACGGGTATTGACTTCGACATTTTTTAAGTAAAAAATGGTACGCCAATGGTTTTCTGCCAAATAAAAAATATTTTTGAATTCCCCGTTCAATTTAAAACAAATGATCTCTCTTAAATTGTTTTCCTTCGATGCGCCATTTTTGAGTAAAAAATAAAAACCGTTCTATTGCCTAACTTGCAAAAATATTATTAATTTAATTGGAAAAATTGAACACTTTAGGGGTAATGAACAACAACAACTGCCAACATAAGCATAACATTAAAACCAACGAAATTATTACAAAAATTGTTGAAAATGGCCCCCTTCACTTAGTATGTATGCTTCCGCCCGCCTCATGAAATTGCGCACTCGTTGAAATATCCCTGGAGTGTTTTTTATTCTATCACAAGCTGCAACTATTCTTTCTGTTAATTCCTCTACAGTGTTAATGGGACTTGTGTGCACTAGTGCCTTAAGATAGCTTCACAAAAATAAATCTAAACTGTTGAGGTCTGGGGACCTTGGTGGCCATTCTTGGGATCCACCGCGGCAAATCCAACGATTTGAATAAACAGTTGGTAAATAATTACGAACCGCTACACTGAAATGCGCTGGTTCACCATCATGCATGTCCCACATATTGTTCCTTATTACTAACGGAACATCATCAAGCAGCAAAGGCAACTGTTGTTGAAGAAAATTGAGGTAAGTCTGACCGTCAAGTCGTCCCGGCAAGAACTATGGGCCAATAAAGTGGTTGCCAATAATTCCTGCCCATACGTTAACCGAAAATTGGTGTTGGAAATGGGTTTCGGTTACGGAATAGGAATTTTCTTCTGCCCACAAATGATTATTGCGGATATTCTGAATGGCATTTTGAGAAAAATTAGCTTCGTCCGTGAACAGAATCATTGATCCAAATTGCGAATTTTGTGTAATTTTTTGAAGATACCACTGACAAAAGGTCACACGCCTTGGAAAATCAATGGGAAGTAATGCCTGTACACTTAAAATATGGTAAGGATATAACAAAAAATCTACTAAAATTTTCCAAACAATTTGATGGCAAATATTTAAATGTCTAGCGATCTTCCTCGTACTCGTTTCAGGATGTTCTTCGACTTCGCGCAGCACAGCTTTCTCAATTTCAGGTGTTCTTACACTTAGAGGTTTACCTTCAAATGTTCCTTTTCGGACAGAACCAGTTTCAACAAGACGATGATGAATATTAAGAAAGGTTCGACTATCTGGCAAAGCACGATCGGGATATCTCTGGTGATAAATCCGTCTGGCTTGCTCACCATTGCCATAGGCAAGGCCTTATACGTAATGCATTTCCGCCATTTCTGCATTTGAATAATTTCACTATTATTAACAAGATTGCAAAAACTAAATAATGAAAAAGATGTCACAGTGAACAGATTTGAATAACAGAGACTTGTCAGGTGTCAAAAGCCAGTGACATATTCCAGAGTCACTAGATATTTACTGCTAAACTGCATTCTTCAATTATTACATTAATTTTCTCGGTCAATAGAACGGTTTTCATTTTTTTACTGAAAAATGGTGCATCTAAGGAAATCAATTCAAGAGAGATCATTTGTTTTAAATTGAACGATGAATCGAAAAATAATTTTTATTTGGCAAAAAACTGTTGGCGTACCATTTTTTTCTGAAAAATATCGAAGTCAATACCCGTACGCGCGCCACTGTTGAAGCTAAAAATTATTTTTGCATTGAAAAATATGCAACTTTATTAACTGTTACTACGTACTGAATATCAGTGAAATATCTGAAGCAGTTCTGAAAATATTAATTAATTTCCAGTTTTTTTCCTAAAACTTCAACACCCCGAGATTTTGTAAGGAATCATAGTTTATAAAGCAAACTAACAATAATTTTTCATGTAGATTCACACCCTTAAATATTCGCATGTCATTAAGGAACACCCTATATAACAAAAACTCAGTGGCATACTCTTTTGTGTCAATGTTATTCGTGTGACTGCCTCCCGAGACACTACTTGGATTCATACTTAGCTTGTAGTGCTAACTTAGCGTACTATTGCCATGGACAACACAGCCAAAATTCAACAAAATCGACACAACGCTCTTTGTGAGATTAATAAAAATTCATTTTTTTAACCTTTGAAAACCAGACTTTTCAGGCCACATGTTTATATGAACTTTACTACTTGAATTCAGTTCAGGTTATGCACACTTGTAATTATGGCCTATCGTTAAGTAACATCCTGTATACTTGTATAGCTTAAGGCACATTTCACTTTTGTTGATGTGACGTAATATTGTGTTAGATACACATGTGAGGCTATCAAGTATCACAATGCAGGCTTTACGAGCAATGTGAAACGCTCCATGTTATGTCTCAAATGAGATACTACACAAGAGTCCTTGACATTCCTTACTAGAGGAGACTCTGTACTGTGTCGTCCATTTCACAGTGAAGCAAAGTTCGTAAAAATTCAAGGCCACGGCTCGTATTGTTATCAAAAATTAGTTCAAACTTTTAGTAGACCCAAAATTACACTCTAACAAAACCTGAAGAAAATTTTATTTTCAGTGCACCTCAAAATCAATCCGGTTACAAAGTTAAAAGCCTAGGTGTTTTCTTTTAAACTGATAAACTTCTCTTTTCTTTGCTCTTTTTTTCACTCTTTCCTTCTCTCTTTTTACTTGACATTGCCTAGTTTCTGGGCAGACAGGATGGAAAGATTCGTCTAACGTACACCAGACAGTGGCTAATGGGCAAAGATCCTACGGACCGCCCAGACATAAATGACGAATAGTACAATTGATTTTTCACAACGCTCTCTCGCCCCGCATCCGAAAGTCAGGAAAACGCACCATCACTATACACGGCTCCCCACCGCATCTCTAAACGCGTCTGTCTAAAAGCCATAAACTCAGAAACCACCGAACGGGCTTTCATACGGTGTTCATCAATGGACAGACTAATTTATGACGAATGTTTACGTGTATAATTCATTATACTACTATACTACTGTTTATGTATGTATGAATGTACATATTTCTCACCAAGATATATTTTCAATATACGCGTCCCAGGCCACTCAACCAAGGTACATCTACCAGCTTCAAATGCTGAGCAAAAACCGAGCGATGATACGTGAATTTGTGTAACGTGTATGCAATAGCGTGCTGGGAAGAGTGCCGAAGCAGGCAGAGTTGCCACGTGACAGGGTGGTCGGTACTGTCGGTAGGGCGGTAAGCTAGATCGCAATGTTGTCAAATCTGTGGGGACTATGGACTAATTGAATAAACCTGTTTCGCTGGCACGATCCATTCAATTCCTTTGTTATACATGTCCGTAGCCAACGCTTTTCTAAGAGGGACTAATTTGTGCCGCATATAATCCTTTATGAATTGATAACATGTTTGCGTAGAAAGTGCAGACTCAATCTACTTGACTCGATTTTTTTCCTAGAGAATGTATCAACATCACCCATTTTAATATTTATGACAATTTATTGTTTGCACGAATATTGTCGAGCAACATCTGCAACCGACTACAATCTTCCATAGCAGTCGTTTCATAATAGTTTCAGATCATGAATATACAACCCTCGTATTTCAATTACACTACTATCATTGATGACTATACGAAATAGTAGTGGGCCTAAGTCTGATCCTTGTGGAACATCTGAATTTACACTATGTTTCAGAATTTGTATCTATTACAGTTCACAGGCTGCGATCTATTACATAATATTTATAAAATGTAATTGAATCTATAAAAAAATATTGAATTTTATACGAATAACATGAGTAAGTATTATGTACGTCTATGTTTAATGGATTTCCTTCATATTTCAACGTGATGAATCTACCTTGATATTTTCCCGTCAACAGTGTGTAACACCTTGTATGTCTGGTGCCTAGAAGGCATTCGAAAATGATGAATGATGAACTTTTCAAGTATTTATTTTGGTCCAACGTCCTGTTGCAGGTCCCAACAAGAGACGGTGCATGGGAGGTGATTGGGATGGCATAAAACCAGCTTGCTCTGGTTTGAACCAAGAAAACGATTACTCTATGGAAAAAGCACCCACGATCCTATTCAGATATCAAGATGGACCCATAGCTCAGTCGAATGACGGAAAGCTGATCGTGTACCCTGGAACAATACTTCACATGGAGTGCTTGTGGATGAGACGCTTTGGGAACCCTAAGTGGACAGTGAGTCATGATTACAGGTAAGAAAAGTCACGATATTACTTAAATAGGGGCTAATCGTTATATCGTTGAGAAACTCCAGAGCTTTTTCTAGTAAGGAGTGACAGGAAAGATTATATAGTCGTAAAAAATGATTGGTATACCCATTTATCGGCCATTTCATATTTTCATGCTGGGTAGCGTTGTGCCAGAATTTATATCAGACGTATTTGTTTTTCCCTTTTTCGCCTCAAAAGCCTGGAACGTGGAACGCTGTCTCATCCTCCCGCCAGCACAAGGATCAAAAACAATCTCTTTTCGCCCTTACGATGGATAAGTGGCCGGTGAGAATCCCCAACCAAAGGTTGAGCCATTCTCCACTTTCTTTCAGTAGCCAGCGCATTTTGGAACCCCACATGAACCTCTTGGCCTGCATGCAGTCATCTTTCTCTCGCCACACCTTTCCTAAGTCCCTATACGTCCATTCATTCGGGACGGCGTTCACCTGGCGCCTTCAAACGGTATTCGTCTTTTTCCCTTTCCTCCCCATAAATACCTTTTCTAAGTAAGCATGCAGGAGGAGGGTGGGCCTAGGAGAAGAATAACAACCTTATCCGACAGCCAGGCTGCAATGAAAGCACTAAGTGCCTGTAAGATTACTTCGAGTCTTGTATTGCAATGCAGGGAGGCTCTGGATTGCCTCGCAGCGAGGCATCCGGTATCGTTAATATGGGGCAATGAGACGGCGGAGACTCTGGCGAAGACAGGATCAGCCAGCAAGTTCTTTTTTTTTATATCGAAACAGCCGCGCAGGCAGAAGCCTAAATGCCGGAACACCGCGGCTGCTATGATGATCCCAAAGAAATTTTGTTAATACGATTTTTGAACTGCCTAAGGTTAGTAGAACTGGGAAAAGCTTCCTCCCGTAGATTGTTCCACAATCTAGACACCCTCGGGACAAAGGAGCGGTCGTATCGGCCAGTTCTGGATGTACGAAGTTTGACACGGTTAGGATGGGATGCCGAAGTCAGGCGGGTCTGTCTGGCAGGCGCATCGCGCGGCGGCATCATGGAAGAGAGCTCTGAGGAGCAAAGCCCGTTGGTGTAGCGATAGAAAAGAGCTAGATCGCCGACGGCCCGCCGGTGCGAAAGAGTCCCGAGACTGTCTGTTAGAGAAGAGTCATCGATCAGTCGAACCGCCCTCGTCTGGACAGCATCGAGCATGGACAATGTAGTCGGGGCGGCAGCACCCCAAATGTGTGAGCAATACTCGAGGCTAGGCCTTATCTGGGCCTTGTATAGAGTGAGAAGGTCATGCGGAGAAAAGTACTTCTTAGCCCTAAACAAATAGCCTAGCTTTTTCCCAGCAGCTGCAGCTATTGAAGAGATGTGTTCGTGCCAGATCAGGTCCTCGGTGATCTGGACTCCGACCAGCCGAAATGAATGGCTCTTTGGTAGAACTCGACCGTCCATCGAAACTGTATGAGCGCTAGGACGCTTTTTGTTCGTCAAGGTACAGTACTGTGTTTTGGAAGCATTGAACTGTACAAGATTGTTGCGTCCCCAAGCAGTGATAGCCTCCAGGTCTCTTGTCAGAGAAGAAGTCGTCGCTAGTCTTCTTTTTTCCAGCTCAGCGGCAGAGATCGGCTTGTCACTCTGAATTCCTGCATGTAGAGTGCTGTCATCAGCGAAGCTGTGGATTGGGTTGATCGTGCAGGAAAGGAGGTCGTTGATATGTAAGAGAAACAGTGTTGGAGCCAAGACCGATCCCTGGGGAACACCCGCGTTGACGTTGTGGGATGAAGAGGAGAATCCGTCAATTACGACGGATATCTTGCGGCCAGAGATAAAGTCAGCCACCCATCTGCAAAGCTTTTCTGGGAGGCCATAGGATGGAAGTTTGCTTAAAAGGGCAGCGTGCCACAGCTCATCGAACGCTTTCGTGATGTCAAGAGCAACGACATGAGCCTCACCATGAGACTGGATGAGTTTACTCCACAGTTGCGTGACGTAAGCTAGGAGGTCCCCTGTGGATCGTTGGTGCCGGAAACCGTACTGCCTGTCGCTAATCAAGCTGTGACGTTCGAGGTAGTCCAGAAGCTCGCGATTTATGCACCTCTCCATCACTTTACTTATAACAGAAAGCAGAGCTATAGGCCTGTAGTTGTAAGGGTCGGTTTTAGATCCTTTTTTGGGATGGGCTGTACATGAGCAAATTTCCAGTTTTCTGGGAAGGTGCCTGATTCATAAGATATCTGGAAGGGACGCGAAAGAACTGGAGCAAGCTCCGCTGCACATCTCTTCAGTACAATGGCAGGAATCAAGTCCGGACCAGAAGCTTTGTTGATGTCGAGCGACAAGAGCACTCGTCTTACGGTCTTATGCCTGAATGTTACTTCCCGCATAGTGTGGGGAACCCTTTGAATTGACGGCACTTGGGCGTTGGTGGGGACGTCCATGGTGGAGTTGGCAGCAAAGATCTTGGCTAGCACTTCCGCCTTGGCCTTTGAGTCGAATACAATAGTTCCATCCTGACACGTAAGTGGTGGAAGGCTACTGTGTGAGAAGTTCTTTTCAATCTGCTTGGCCAGCGTCCAGAAAGACCGACTGCCATTGCGCTGCGACATTACCCTGTGCCTAACTTTTATATCATGCTGGTTTTTGGCAATGCGAACCGCTTCGTTATATTTGTTTCTGGACTCGACGTCGGCTTGTCTGTTCTCTACAGTGGGGTTTTGTAAGTAGGTTTTGTGGGTCTTGATCTTCTGCTGGCGAGCAGTGTCACACGATTTGTTGAACCAGCCGTTGGACCCTGGTTTAGGAACTTTCACTGTGTGAGGGATGTATTCCTCCATTCCGACGTGGATAATTTCAGTTATTGAAGAACAGACAGTCGACGCATCCGCGTCAGTGAAACAGGCATCTCTCCAAGGAAATCTAGAGAAGAAGTCTCTGAGCCCCTCCTAGTCGGCATGTCCGTAATGCCAAGTTTTGCGGCCTGTGCGAGTTTCTGCTGCCACAGCGGCTTCTGACCGAAACCTAACCTCCACCACACCGTGATCTGAATTACCCAGGGAGGACAGGACAGCAGTGCTGTAAGGGGCAGGATGCGTGGTCAGAAAGAGATCTAGCAGACTACTGGTGTGTGACGAGACGCGGGGGAAAAAAGTAGGGCTCGTCACCAGCTGGGTCAGCCCTTGAGTAAGAGCGAACGCTTCGACTGCACGACCTGCTGCATCGGTCTTATTTGAGCCCAACCAAAGCTCATTATGGGCATTGAAATCACCGAGAAGAACTACCTCTGAAGCGGGGTGATTGATGTTCAGGAAGTCGATCTGGACGGCGAGGTATTCGAGTAGGTCATCCCAGTTATGGTTCGAGGGAGAGCGATAAAGGCAGCAAATAAATTTGGGTGATGTTTTGGAGTTGAGGCGAAGCCACAGAATGTCCTTCCGGTCTGATTCCAAAGAAAGATCCCTGGAGCAGGTAAGACTGCTTGCTGCTGCTGCTCTTTGGTCCTGAGCCAGCTCTAGGAGTGACCGCGCATAAAGCTAGGAGGAAAATGGATACGTGGGTTGCAAGACAACACTCTCAGAAATGGAGAAGTATCTCCAGACATCTCCGCCAGGCACGGGAACTCATTGAAGGGCCCAGTGCTAAGGATGGACGCTTCTGCCTATCTCTGGATGGAGCCAACCTAAGGTTGCTGGTGGGACTGTTGTCTGGCCATAATACGTTAAGGCGTCACCTGCACGTGATGGGGGTGGCTGAGGATCCCTTGTGTGAACGCTGCGGGGTAGAGGAAGAGACCTCGGCGCACGTTTTGTGTCGCTGTGAAGCCCTGAGCTACTATAGGCAGACTATACTGGGGTCCATTACTTTGGACCCTCAGAACGTCAAGGAGCTTGGACTCAAGGCGATTCTCAACTTTGCCAAAAAGGGCGAGGCTTTTGATCTACGGATTGTAGTGGTGCATAAGGGCCCGCTTAAGCGGCCTATGCACTGGCTCCTTATGGTGGCCGGAATGCCTCTAATTTCAAGATTCTTTCATTCATTCAAGCATTCAATTCATTCAACCTAGTATACAAAAAAGGTTAGTGCTGTATTGTCTGTATACTAAAGGTATCAGTTTGCATTTAGGAGGAAAAGTGGCGGTGGTGGTGGGGAGATGAAGCAAGTTGGCCATCTTTGGCTGTTTTTGCCAACCCAGAGTATACCGTCACTCCACATGCTTATCCACTGACCCATAGAACCGCCCCGTTCTCCTAATGAAGCTCACCCGCTCCGCTCCCCGTTACGCATGCTCCAGACCCAGCCTAGAAAGTGGAAAGCTGTCTCATCAGCACCCCCTCCCCTCCCCACACAGCAAACGGGTCCTATAGAATCGCTTTTCAACCTTAGGAGGGACAAGCGGTCAAGTGACTGTTTAGTCCACAGTAATCGGTGAGAATCCCCACCAAAAGGTTAAGCGATTCTATACCCTTGTACAGTAGCCAGCGCGTCCGACGCTTATCGGGACCCGATATGAACCTCTTAGCTTGCCTGCACCTAGTATGCAAGAAAGCCTACTTCTAGATTATGTGTACACTAAAGGTGTCAGTTTGCATTTAGTAGAAGTAGTGATGGTGGTGGTGGGGTGGCTCTTTCTGGCGACCCCGAGTGTACCGTTACTCTACAGGCTTATAAATTAAACGTTCGATCTTTTCCGATCCTAATGAAGCTCAGGATGTCCGACCACTCCGGTTTGCTCCTCGTTCCGCATGTTTTAGTCCTTGGGCTAAAAGCAAACATCTAGAACGTGGAACGCTGTCTCATCCTCCCCCCAAGCAAAGGGGTCTTGTCGCCCTTAGAAGCGACAAAGGACTGTTCAGTCTAGAGTAGCCGGTGAGAACCCCACCAAAAGGTTGATCTATCCTACAGACGAGTCAGATAGAATCTCTTTTCACCCTTATGAGGGACAAGTGACCGTTTAGTCTGCAGTGGCCTGTGACAATCCCCACCAAAAGGTTGAGCTATTCCTCTACCTTTATCCAGCAGCCAGGGTATCTGAAGCTTGTAGGGGTCCGATATGAGCCTCTTGGCCTGCCCCTGCAGTATAATTTCTCTCCCCACACTTTTTCCAGGTCTCCCCATGCATTCAGGGCAGCTTAGATTCGCGACCGGTACAGGAACTACTGTCTCATGGCCTAGCCATATAATTAGAGCATTTAAGCCGAATCGTCAATCGTTCCTACAATTGTAGCACACTTTTATGACCTCTTTGATTTTCAAAGTATTTTCTCTCCTTAAGAAAGGCTGGAATACTTCTAGATTTATATTGTTCATGTCAGAGTCAGCGCTCTCCTATTGTGAGGCTATGATTTCTATTTGAATTGCACGAAATTTCAGGCTATATAGCAGAGGATATAAATCCAGAGCATGACAATTTGATGCAAATGGATATTTGTAACATAACCTCAAAATAGAGCGCGGATATGGAACAGTAGAAAACTATGAAAATCAAGGAATATATAATATGATAAATAAAGGCGTCCTACAATTGTAGGAACGACTGACAATACGACTCTTGGTGATCTGAAGATGATACGTGCAATCGTGGGCAAACAGGCAAATTCGAGTATTATACAGGTTTTTGCATAGTATCTACTTAGCTTTAAAGTATACTACTTTTTCGCTTTATAAGTAGTACATAAAAATGAGTAACACCGTTTCAGGAAATACCCAGAAGGGTGGACAACCGATCCAGGCAGAGACTCTCAATTGGAGTACAGACTTTCGATTATACATGCATCCAAAGATGATTCTGGCATCTTTACATGCCTAACTCCTGCAAGATATACCCACTCCGTTGAGATCGAAGTGAAAGGTCAGTCTCAGAGATGCTATAATTATAGTTATTTTTTATACCTGAACCACCATGAAGGTCTAAGGCTTAAACACCCGTGGATACCTTGGGGCGATTCAGGGGAATGGGGGAAGTGCCGTCACACGGACCCTAGCGTGGAAACATCGGTGAATGCAGCATGCACACTTTCTGCATCTGCCTTAGAGATCCGCCAGGTGGTACCTCCACGTTCGTCGGCGGCTGATTAGTAAACCACCACACAGAATCTAGTTATAGCCAATTGTGTGACTGTTGATCGTGCATGTGATTTCAACAGAATCGTCGAACCAAAGTCAAGTTCATTTTGTGTTAGTTTTCTAAAAGCGTTTCTTAAGGAGGTTTTTGACGTCGAAATCCTCACAGTTGTTCAACAATAACAAATGTATGTAATAAGTATAATATAAAAATTCAAGCTTCTGATATTTATTGGTCTATCAAATAATTATCTGCTCCTCTCCCATAATACAGCACCTGTCAGAGTTTATGGATTTATCAGCTCTACACGTCTATGAAAATACAAACAACGCTGCTTTTTGTAACTGTTTGCGAAAATTAAGCTTGTAATTCACATTTTTCTTATACTTCGCATGGAAGAATCGTAAATGATCGATTTTTACTTATTTTTGTAGCTGTACATTGTCCCGTGGTACCCCAAAGAAGAGGACTAACAGTCAATACACAGAGTACTAAAATGAACACAGTACTGAAGTTTTCATGCATAAACGGAAACTCCCTGATTGGTGCTTCAGAAGTCACCTGTCTTCCATCAGGAAATTGGAGTTCTCCTTTCCCTGTTTGTGAAAGTAAGTAGCTGTTTTCATCAAGCAATATCGGTAACTACAGCAATGATTTTAAAAGAACTCGTGAAATGGTTGCTGTGTGGATACTGTAGATAATATTATCTACACTATATTCAGATAAGAGATAGACCGGACATAAACAAGACCACGTGATCATCGAACGCTGTAACATTCGGCAGGGACGTATTAAGAGTCACGCAGTACATATTTTAGACAGTAGATGCTGCTTTGCGTAACTTTGTAGTAAATTAGCACAATTCGATGTGTATACGATTGGTGATGGATATAGGATCATGTGGGGGTGGGGTAAGAAATATATAATGATGTAAATATACATAAGGGTTTCAAAATTTTCGCTTCGATTTCCAGCTTCGGATGCCGCCTGATGTTTGGTGAAATACAGTCGAATATAATCTCAAAATGGCGTTTAAATTAGCCTAAAATAAAAATAATCGTATATCTCTTAAAATTGCTTTTAGAATATTGATTAGTATATTTTTTGATTTCTAGGTAAATATGTAACCAAATTAAAACGTTCAAAACGTAAAAAAGTGTGCATGGTTGAACATTGTCAGAAAGTAGATTCTTGAATAGGTTTTGCCAAAATGGGTTCAAAAATGTCAATAATTAATTAAAAAATACAGTAGCTTTATAATTACTTATAACTTACCGAATTTGATGAACGACATCTTTTATTGGAAAGATGAGCTTGATGAGCTTTCATCATCGCTACTGCCTGAAGCACCAACGTCAATAATGAATGGCTCGACTTGTTCCTCTAAAATATTGTCCAGTTCCCACATTCTCTTTTCAACTTTGTCTTTCACGTGCTTAATACAGTTTTCCCATTTTTGCGCTGTTATTAATTCTAGTGCTTCTTTGAAAAGTCCTTTGAGGTCACAAAATTTAAAAGTTGTATTGTGCTTAGCTATATAATTTTTAACCTCTGCCCATATGAGCTCAATGGGATTGAGCTCGCAATGGTATGGAGGTAAACGGAGCACAGTTTTATTTTGACTTGCTGCCATTTCGTCAATGGCGTATTTTTGATATTCCGCCTTGTGATCCTTGACAATTCTTAATAATTGTACTTTCAGCATTGCTTCTTCAAAGTTGATATTTTTCGAGCGGAGCCAATTTTGAACATCAACTTTCCTTGAAGCCGTTGTTGGGACCTTCTCCATTCTTCGAGAATGATAAGGCGCATTATCCAACACAATTACTGCGTTTTCCTCTAAGTTCGGTAAAATTTTTGAAAACCACTGTTCAAACTATTCGCCATTCATTTCCTCGTGGTAATCTCCAGTTTTCTTAGACTCAAAGCACCACAGACCGTCAACAACAAATCCATCCTCACTGCCAATATGGCAGATAATGAGCCTTTTCCCTTTACCTGGAAATCGAAGTACTAACTGGTGTAGATTTATTTCAATAAGCGAACCTTTTTCAAATGTTTTCATCACATTCAGCGAAAAAACATTGAGACATGAGTATCAGATTGCTATAATTGGGATTATTTAGTCATATTGAAAGAAAGAATATTGAACGTCGTATGATTACTCAGCGCTTCACAATTTAATTTAAAGTTATAAACCTTTAAAAAATGAATGATCAGGAACATGAAATACCCGCAAATATTAATATTAACAAATTATAACTTTATAAAGCTTAAAGTATGAATTAAAATGATTAGAAATATTAGGAACGGTACACAATATAAAACTTAGTAACTTTTTTTAAGTTTATAATATTCGACATATTTTAAGATTATATTAAAAAATTATTGAAATATCGAAAACACATAAAAACATGGCTTAAAAAAGTTCTAACAAATGAAAATGACAATAAAACATCCACGCATTTTATCGAAAGTTATAAAAGTTTTGTTACTTGTAATATGTTTTATCTGCCCCCTGGAATTAATGTTTAGAACCTTGTTCCCAAGGTTTGAAAAACATCCGATTGTTGTCTATTACTCGTATTTACCTGCTGGATTTTTTAATCCGGTGGACAGTCCATCTAGAAAGGCCCTCCTGGATGAAGTTACAGAATCATCAACCCATACTTTACTTGTAGTGTGTCCTGCGTTTACCCACGTTTCATCAAGGTAATAAATCTTCCTGTTTTGATTTCTATATTTCCCAATTTTTGTTAAATAATCCCTCCTCCATAGCACAATTTCTTCTCTATCCAGTAGTAATCTATTACGACCCCGTTTTTTCCATTTGAAATTTAAATGCTTCAGTAATGCATGGAAAGTTGATCGTTTGAAATTTGGCAACGTTGTATCTCCATTTACCTCCTGCAGTACTTTATCTATAGTAGGTATTTCATTCCTAAAGAAGAATTCATGCACTTTCCTCCTAATCGCATGCTTATCAGCTTCATCCAATGATTTAACAATACTTTTGCGATGTTTACTGGTCATTGGCTCAGAAAAGGAGTGATTTTTTTTTGTATTGTCTTAACACATTAAACACTGATGCGCGACACACCCCAACTTTGTGAGAAACCTTCACAACAATTTCTTTGATGGTTGATGCCTCGTTCTCCTCGCGCTCGATCTTATATATATTCAAAATGACCTCTTTCATTTCTGCACTCAGGTGTCTTTTTTTAGAGCGTTTCCTAGGTGGACTACAGGAGTTTACAACTTCATCGGCAGTATCTGTACTACTGGACATTTTGCGCAAGCAGTTGATAACAATAACAATCAATAACAAGGTATAACAATAACAACGACAAACTCAACAACTTAATAAGATAACAAACGAAAACGTCCAAAGAAATATCAAATTGCAATGATGCACACGACATACGTAACACGACTGAACCTGAATGTGACTCTGCCTTGATACGACTGCTCTGCCGCTCGGCATAGGCATTTAATTGCGAATTGACCAATGAGGGCTCCTGTTTTACGTCGAGACGGCGGCTTTAGCGTGAAAATCACCGGAACCTTTTGTTTACATCCGGTCTATCTCTTATCTGAATATACTGTAGTAATATTGCTATTGCTACCTGAGACTGGTCTGGTGGTGAACATTTTTTTGTTCTACCATCATTTTAATTGTACGCCGTATTTTTCAGGTATTGAATGTGGGGAGATGAGCGAGCTGCTTGGCGAACATTTGAAGGTTATGGTACTTTCAAGAGAAGTTGGTGGTAAAGCAGTGTTCAGTTGTGATCCAGGGTTTGGTTTGAAAGGCGCTGCTGAAACTGTATGTCAGACAAATGGAGAATGGGCTATCCCATTCCCTACATGCAAAGGTCAGTAAGCTTCTTACAAAAATTAGAGCAAAAACATATAAGCATTAGAAATTCTGTCAAACACTTTTATCCTTTGAATCTTAGAAGAACAAGACATTTAGCAAAGCAGGTAGGTGGGTCAAACTTAAGAACTGAGAAGGCAAGACGTGGCTGTTATAGCTAGGCTATTTGTTTACGGCTAAGAAGTACTTTTCCCCGCAACAATCTGATACAGTTTAATGCTTCCAAAACACAGTACCGTGCCTTGACGAAAAAGAAGTGTCCTAGCGCTCAACTGGTTTTTATGGATGGCCAAAGATCCGTTCATTTCGGCTGGTCGGAGTCCAGATTAACGAGTACTTGAACTGTCATACATCTCGTCAATAGCGGCAGTAGCTGGGGAAAAAGCTAGCCTATTTGTCTAGGCACCTTTTCCCACCATGACATCCTCACTCTATACAAGAACAAGATAAGACCTAGCCTCGAATATTGCACACACGTTTGGGGTGCTGCCGTCCCGACTACATTATCTATGCTCGATGCTGTCCAGATGAGGGCTCAATGACTCTTCTCTAACAGACCGTCTCGGGACCATTTCGCACCAGCGGGCCGTCGGTGATCTAGCTCTCTTATACCGCTACATCAACGAGCTTTGCTCCTCAGAGCTCTCTTCCGTCATGCCGCCGCTCGACGGGCCTGCTAGACAGACCCGCCTGACGTTGGCCTCCCATCCTAACTGTGTCGAACTTCGTACATCCAGATCTGGCCGATACGATCGCTCTTTTGTGCCGAAGGTGTCGAGATTGAGGAACAATCTACAAAAGGAGGCTTTTCCCAGTTCTACTAACCTTAGGCAGTTCAAAAATCGAATTAACAAAATTTCTTTGGGATCCTCATAGCAGCCGCGGTGTTCTGGAATTTAGGCTTCTACTGCGCGGCTGCTTGGGTGTAAAAAAATAGAGAATCTATTTTGTTAACGTTTGTTATCTTCCTATTCCAAACTTCCACAGAACACTGGAAGCAAGAACAACTAAATTTGTACTTTACTTTATTGCAGAGGTACACTGTGACAGTCCTACACCTCCCCAAAATGGTTACATCCAAGGCAGTGGTCCCTACAAGGCTGGAGATGTCGTTCAGTTCAATTGCAATCCAAATTATATGATGGAAGGACAGCCGATAATGGCTTGCCAGGAAAACTCACGATGGTCCGGAAAGTTACCAAAATGTAAGATAATTAATTCTAACATGCTACTGCTGCCACCCTAACTACGAGGATTGGTCGAGGAATAAGCTTCTCAAAGAAATCCAGCACACGCCGCATAATTCTTGGATCAGCAGCCGTCCGATATGGAGATTCCCACTGTTGATGCCGCCAAGTGCAAAATACGTTCCATCCAATCCACCCGTCGATATCATTGTCAGATGACAGGTGTATGGCGACAAGTGTATGTCCGAGAGTAGTACAGAGAGTTTAGTGTCGCTTGGAAAGAAGTTCGCGATGAAGAACGCAGTGGACGACTGTTTGTTTCAGAGATGGTTATCGAGATGGTCCAAAGCGAAGTGACAGGGAGGTTCACCGTCCGTGAATCTAAGCAACAAATTCACGGACAGAGATCCTCCTGTTTTAAAGCACATCACGTTGGTCCATATAGATATTTGCCTCCGAGAATAAGTCGTCCACTCCTTTCTTCATCGTGGACTTCCTTACGACCGGCAATAAACTCCCCGTACCACTTTCGGATGTGTTGAACGGACTTACACTTGTCACCTCTTTCCGTTGACGATGAATATCTACGGATGGAGTCTATTTGCCCTGCTAAAAGTGAATTTTGGAGCGAATCTCGCAACTGGCGGCATCTCCATATCGGATGGTTGCTGAGCCAATAGTAAGCGGCGTAGCGCGCAGCGGAGTGCGGCCGAGGGGAATCGAGAGAGAGGGAATAGCACGCATTTTCGCATTTTCCAATGTCGCTGGGGAACTTTGGAAAACTTATTTTTGGATCGTCTCTAGTAAAGGACTTGACAACTTTCTTTTTAAATAAAACGCAAACGATTTGAGATATCTCGAAAATTTTGTTATTGGATTGAAGTATATTCAAAAAATGTATGTGTGGAATTCGACCTTAGTCCATATGTCCACTACGGGCACGTTTGCAGCGACCGATTCGCGGAACCCAATTTTCAATGATTCGGCCACACATTTCGACAGAAACGGCAGGTACCTTTCGTTCAATATTAGCTCTGAGCTCGTCTAGCGACGCCGGCTTGTTGGAGACCAAATATTTAATTTAGCCCCACAAAAAAAGGTCTAGAGGTGTTAAATCACACGATCTAGGCGGCCATTCGACAGGACCATTTCTCGATATAACACGTTGAATTTTGATTCAATATGTTGACAGTTTCATCCGCAGTGTGGCTTGTAGCACCGTCTTGTTGAAACCACATATCACTGTCTAGCCCATCCAACTGACCAAACAAATAACGTTGCATCATGTCTATGTAGCGACCTCCGTTGACTGTAACGTGACCGGTCATTTTCATCAACGAAAAAAAAAGGCTCTATGACACCACCGGCATGAAAACCACACCATACAGTTATTTTTTGTGGATGAAGTTGTGTTTCTTGAAGCACACGAGGGTTTTCACCTGAGCAATAACGCATATTCTGGTTCATCACTGAAGATGATTTTACGATGACATTGGTCATTCTCGCAACATTTCTAGAGTCCAATTCGAGAACGTACGTCGGTTCATATGATCGAACGGCTTTAGTTCTTGTGCTAACTTGATCTTATAAGGGTGTACGCCAAGATTTCTTCGCAAAAGTCGGTGGTCTGAGCAATGCCCAATTCTTGAGAATGCCGTTTGCGACGAAAGCTTGAGAGGCAGCAGTATTCTCGGCACTTGGCCCAACATGTTGTCTCACTGGCACGGGAACATCCAGCAGCGAATATGCGGACTCAATTTTTTTTACTAGACTATGGGCCGATTTCACCAACAATAATATTATGGACCAATGGGAAAATACCTTATCGAAATGCAATTTGACAGAAGCTGTCAAAGGTCTCTGAATATTAGTGATTTCTATTGAAATATTGAATAAAATCGTAAAAATTCGACTGTATTATAAACAAGACACCACTTTTTGATTCCAACATGATGCTTTTGTACAGAAAAAACATGACAACTTTCATGTATTTTGATATATGTTATAGGTTTACATTTAACAATCCGTTATCCCCTTCAGCAAATGGGAATGCGGCAAATAATAGGACGATTTTCTAGCTGTTAAATTTGGCAGCAGATTTGGACGTTTGTTAATGCATGGCAACTTCAATATACTGAAAGTTATCATTACATACCTGTTGAATAGTGTGAATTTGTCTGTATTTTGCAAGAAAATAGAATATAAAATACATTCTATCCAATTCCTCATCTTCGTTTACGTCATAATAGTAATCATTTATTAATTTATGGGTTAATGAATTTCTTCAAAGCAATAAAAACATTAAGTCCTCTCCATCCTAAAACACAGATAATATGTCTATGACGTGTCAATCCTTACATCTCCCTGATGCATAATGCAATTACTATGGACATAGACAAAAAAATATGAAAAATGTTTCACAAATAATGTCTCTTAAGTCTAAAAATCCATAAAAACTAGTAATGTTTTTCTTTTTGACTGGCGGGGATATCTATCTGTCACTCGCAGGGTTGCCAAGTCTAACGACGACCACGTCCCGTGGTGGATGGTGCGAAATGAATCTTTTACATTTGCTGGTTCTGAATTTTTTTTCGTGAAAATTTACTAGGTATCATGATTATAAGCATCTTTGGTAGATTGTTCGATCCGGAATGGAAAAGATCTCCTATTTATGAAAATATTTTTGGTGTCATCTAACCGTTACAATCAGTGCACAAACACTGTGGCATATGATTTATAGCATAACCCGCTGCCCTATCAATACAAATTTAACATACAGGTCGCCTAGCCGTGGGGATGCAGTGGTAGGGATGAATATCACGGCAGCAACTGATGATTTGGGCATGTCTGGTAACAACGTATGAAGTGAAACTCGCTAACTTCACAGATTTGAAGATTTTGTACAATTTCTTTGAAAATGATGAAAGATATGCCTGATTTGGCAGGGTAATGTCGCAGCTAAATGGCAGTCACTCTTTCTGACACAGTCCGGATCGAAAGATGACGATATTGAAATGTATTGATACTTCTAAATATAGGATCGTATCGAACATCCCTACTGTCAAGATGTATAACCCAAGGTACCGACGGAGCTATTTTGCGGCGTCATGGAAATAATTTTAAATTTTCATTTGCATTTTTTCAAGTGTTGTGCAATGATTTTGGGAAAAATGTCACGAATAGTCTTATAAAGCATAGTAGAATATATTTCAAACAGTTGGCGGAACTTACTCCACTGGGACCAGGAGGGTGAAACGGGATATTGATGCACAATCTGGCAACCCTGTCGCACCCTCACAAAATGGCCGCTGACAAACACTAAACACCGTGTTGTCATTGAATAGCATGGAATTAAACCTTCAGAGTATATGTTTTGTGACTGGTACCAAGAGTTGATAAATCCCACACAAGTGTAACTCCTTGAAATCCAATAATCAGCTGTATTCAAATAATGTCTAATATAAATATAACCTAGAATGTGTACTCGTGAAAAAAGAAAAATATGGCAAATTTGTAGTTTTTTTGCAGCTTTTAGGTTTGCTGGTAGCTTTAAGGCGTATATTTGGGAATTTCTTAATCGCTGTGAATATAGTGTGGATGTTTGTTCAGATCCTGAACAACGAAAAATATTCAACTTTATGGATGTATGGATATCAAAAAACCTGAATGGTTTTGTGGGAATATCAATCTAAGGTGCCATAATGGTTCTGATGAATGGCAAGTAAATGAATGAATGTTTGGAAACGAGCAATATCTTATGGTAGAGCCTGTCATCAAGTAGGTGCTTAATGGCTATCTACAAGAAGTTTATAGGAAAAAACACCCAGTATCACATATCAATTGAAGAAAATAATATAAACATGAATAAAAGATCAACAATAGTAATTAAAACATAAATTTAATTCAAAAATCAAACATTTCTTAAAATTTTGACTGAATTATATGTAATTTCTTAATATTCAATAAGCTGGTGATGTTTCAATGACAAGTTGCCATATCATACTTTGACAGTATTTTGTTTTCAACATTTCATAGCTATTGGTTGCTAAAATTTGTTGATCGGAACTTGAAGCTGTATCTGACGGTCTGTTACCCTATAGGTTGACAATAACGGACTGTTGTTGGTGAAATTGGCCCTATGTGTTGCATCTCTACTGGGACGAGAATTACGACCAAAACTTAGCGTTAACGCTCTGGAAGTTGCAGTCACCGACTCGGAATGTCGGTAGTCAATTTTAATTATTTGTAAGCGTTGTTCGTTCGTGTAACTCACCACGATGAAAATATTTTTTACTGAATTTTTTGACATTGACAGTTCGGTAATTGATTTGAAGGTGTGCTCACAGTGAAGGTTCAAAGTTGTCAAGTCTCTATCGGAAAACCAGATATTTAGCTGGGATTTCGGTAATGGGTGGTAGAGGGCGAGCCATCTAGTGTTTGTAATTTTAAATTCGGTTACGTTGAGATCAAAACCTTATTAATATGGTGTCAGAAAGTTAGTTTTATTTTAGGTATTGTTTCAATAATATCTTTTCAGTAAAGCTCATTTTCATCTCGAGGGCTACATGAGTAAGCATAATAGAGGCGTTAGTGCGGCTTGTGGCTCGGGTAACATCATTGGTCATGACCCCTCCCTGGCCGAATTTAGATTGACCAATATTTATGACTTTCGAATCTCTTTGATAAATTTAATAAAACACAAAATTATTACAAATACGTGACGGGTACAAACAGGTAAGAAATCACCAGATTTGGTAAAAAACCACAACCGGCAACCCTGATCAATTTATAAGCGCATCGATGATGGCGTGGAAATAAGAGGGTTGTGTAAGTCTGGTTGCCTATAAGTTTAGCTTGAGGCACATGTAAATAAAATAGTGATTCTGCGTTTTTCGGTTTTGTAGCATTGCATGTCCGTTAGTGTATCATTGGAAATTGAGCCTCATGTGTTCTGTGATTAAGGTAGTTAATTGAAAATTCAGACGTTTGGACAAAAATATAAGAAAAAACATTTCGCA